ATATTGATCGTGCTGAGCTACCCCTGAACAGAGTGTCCACAGAGGTCAGCTGAAACCTATGATAGTATATACAACAAACGCCACCTGCTGTCATTGTGCAACTTGATAGTTGCCAAGCGACATAGCTCATTGAGACCGATACTGAGACAATAGCTGTCACACAGTTTGATAGTCACCGAGTATCTTGACAGACCGACCTGGGTTTCAGGCGCGAGACCCCTGACACCTTCCTTCCTGAGTCTACTAGTACTTGCTCGTATTGGCCAACTTGTTGAGGCATGCTGATCTGACTGATTCTGACCAATCCCCATGAGATTAATCTGGAACCCTGGGGTTTGATCAATCTCATAATTCATATGTGCTGCCAGCCTGATTAACCTTGTTGATCCCTGTTGGTTCAGTGCCAATCAATCTGGTGCTCCCTTCATATATTGATCCATTGCATACCCTTCATATACTGCTCCGTTGCATGACATTCCCATGACTGCCATTGATCAATTTGGCGCACTCTCTTGCGCTATCCTTCTGACCCTGTGACAGGTATGCCCAGTGGCAGGTTCTGGACTATGATCAAACCTTCAGCCCGGTGGTTTGCCTCCAAACCATCCACATGCTACTCACCTTTACTTGCAGATATGGGCTACACATCATTCAGCTCGACGTCAGTGTCAGGGGTTGCACACCTGAAACCTGAGATCAGTAGTAGTATCAGTACTATTACCGATTCTGTCGAGTTATGTGATAATGCTAGTGGTATTTCGATTCTTAGTAAGATATGTGATAGAGCCTTCTCTATCACTTTTCTCACTCGAATCTGTAGTTGTAGTAATGCTATTGCAGATTTCGACTAACCACTGTGGACACTCCATCCAGAGGTAGCTCAGCACAATCAATAACAATACGATGTTGGTGAACTTGATGATGACACCAAAGGTATGGTGTGAGTGTGATACTTGGTGGCATCAACATGAGTGTCCAGTGTGTCAACTAATGCTTGAGGTGATCCCTGGACCACAGTGGATGACTGCCTTTGGGTCTATCTTTATCTGGACTGCTGGTTTGCTATGAACCACCTTCAGACATCAGTGAGTGGTGATATGACACACACACTACAATGAGGAGCAATCTATCAATTACTACTATGCTGACTGAACTAATGAATACTTATGCTTCTGAAGTAATACTAGTTATGTTGTGTGTAGAGTGGATGGGAATCCACTCGACCATTTGTGATGAGAAGGTATGGTTATATACCTCTTCGCAGCATCGCCAGCAACACTGCTCCAACTTTCTCTCCAGAGAGTACCTTCGCTGCCGAGTACTGTGCTAGAGTCTCCACTGAGACTCCTCCCCCTCAACGAGCCTCGTCGCTCCTGTCTTTCCTGAGCTGTATCGACTCCATTGACACTGCTCCTCCTCCTTATGACTTGTTTGCCAGTGTCCACCACACAGCTCTTCTTCCTTCAACCAGCAATGGTTCTCTTGTCTGCATATCTCCTGAGCCCCTGAGCGGTAACCATCTGCATGCTTTGTGAGCTCAGTCCTTGTCTTGGCAGTGCTTGATCCTCCTCGCTTGTGAATGTAGTCCCTCTCGCATGTGAAATTGTTGTATGAATGTTGTTGTCACTGATCTCAGCAAAATCTGCCATACTATCATACTTACTGCAGATTCTGGTAGGATCTGTGATATTGACTTTGTTCATGCAGATCCCAATGAGATCTGTCATAGAACCAGGTCTACTACTAATTCCACTGAATTCTTCTATAAATCCACCAATCCACCAGATCCTTCGATTCCTGTGCTACCTTCATATGAACTGTCAGGTCTTCCTGCTTCCTGCGCTGTCAAGCCCATGACAGTCAGTACAGCGTTCCTGAATGGAAAGATCGACAAGGATGTTTATGTCAGGATACCTCCAACATTCGAGATGAAGGAGACTAATGGAAAGTGCTACAGGCTAAGGAAGGCACTTTACAGCCTCAAACAAGCGGGGTGCCTATGGCATGCTGCACTTGATGAGCAGTTACAAGCCTTCAACTTCCAATGCTGTTGATCAGAACCATGTGTATACACACATGGTTCATGCGACACAATGGTATTTCTGGCAATCTACATCAATGACCTGCTCGTTATTGGAGCAACTGCCACACAGGTACAATTGGTCTGACAACAACTCTCTAGCATATTTAGCATCACTGACCAGGGAGAGGTAGCTCACATTATTGGCCTAAGTGTAAACTACAACCAACAAGAATGTACACTCTCAATCAACCAGAGCAGGTACATCGAAGGAATCCTGGTGAAATTTGGAATGGGCAAAGCTTGGGCAGCCTCAACACCCATGACCAAAGCAATCAACACCCTCAAACCATGAGAGGGAGACTTTGCAAATGCAGAGGAAGTCAGGTACTATGCTTCACTCATAGGATCATTATTGTGGATTGCACAAGGGAGCAGACCTGACATCGCCTTCGCCATTGGCAGGTGTGCAAGATTTGTTGCGAACCTGTCAGGAGAACACTGTAAGCGGTCGCGCGCCAGAGACTTAGTTTTGGGGTGTTAAATTGAGTTGATTGAGTAAGGTCTACTCAGTATGTTTCACCTAAATGTAACCAAACATTGCTGCCTGGTAAGTCTTGACTGACCACCTTGAACACTCCATTCAGAGGTTGTGCAGCATGGACACTGGTCATTGGTGAGTGAGTGAAACACTCTCTCCTACAGTACAAGTGTTCATAGTACTGTTGATAATGCTCTTGGACATTGTCTGGACCACAATATGCTAATTGCCTACAGAGGACAGGAGTTACTGGACTGCAGGTGTGAGTCACCACCTACAATAACTGACTGGACCACAGGTGTCAAGCAACACTGCCTACAGCAAGGGACTGGACCACAAGTGTTGAAGAACACTGCCTACAGTAAGGGCACTGGACCACTAGTGTTGAAGAACACTGCCTACAGTTGTCAACTAACAGTGATACAACACACATGTTGAGAGTCATTGCAAGAGCACTGCTATTGCAATGGTACATAACTGAGTAAGTAAAGTAGATAGAGTAAGTAGTATAGAGTGGATGGGGATCCACTCATATGCTATGGTAGATTGAGAGTATTTATGCATTTGATTGGTGTTGCCCATGACACCTATCCTGCTCCTCTTGAGGGGCCTTTGTCCCCTGTTTGACACTGTCTTGTCCTGCTGGCATCAATCCTATTGATACTGCACCCCTACTGTTTGTATGGCATAAGGGTTATGCAACACTGCCCTCTCACCTTCATGCTCTCCTTCTGCCTGATGATGTGTGATGCCCCCTTTTGAGACAGCTCCTTCTTGACTTTATCTTGTGAATCCCTTTAGCCACTTGTTGAACCTCATGACCAAACCCCTTGGTCATGTGGTCACTTTGACACAGCTCCTAGTACTTGCTCATATCAGCCAACTTGTTGAAGCATACTGATCTGACTAATTCTGACTGATCCCTGTGAGATTAATCTGGAACCCAGGGTTCGATTGATCTCATAATTCATATGTGCTACCAGCCCGATTAATCTCATTGATCCCTGATGGTTTGGCACTGATCAATCTGGCATGCCCTTCATATATTGATCCATTGCACACCCTTCATACATTGCTCCGTTGCATGACATTCCCATGACTGCTGTTGATCAATTTGGCGCACTCTCTTGCGCTGGCCTGCTGACCCTGTGACAAACACCTGGCAGCAGCCAAACGCATCTTAAGGTATCTCAAGGGAACTACAACGGTGAGTCTCTCAGCAACAACTCAGGCCAGTGGACAGATGCTCATGGGGTGGGCTGATAGCAACTGGGCCAGATCACACAACTGTAGGAGGTCTACTTTGGGGTATGTGTTCATTATTGATGGGCTCATGTGCAGCTGGTCATCTCGACTCCAGCCAATGGTAGCCAACAGCTCCATGGAAGCAGAGTACATGGCGCTAGCAGCAGCAGCTAGGGAGCTGCTATGGACCTCAATGTTCCTGCATGAATTGGAACAACCCATGTTGAAGGCAACTGAGATTCATGTAAGTGTTGAAACATTGGTCCTACACTCCCATGACTGGGATCTCATCTTCAATCGAGACATCCCAGTACTACATAGTGACTTGTCTGGCACTTGCACCATTGCAAATGACCCTCAACACTTCAAGAGAACGAAGCATATCAACATTGCACACTTCTTTTTGAGAGACAAAATTGTGAGTCAGCAGCTCACTATTGCTCCAGTTCAAAGTAGTGAAAACCTGGCCAACATCATGACCAAACTGCTAGCAGCACCAACACTTCTGCACCACTGTCATTCACTCAGGTTAACAACATCAGATAGACATGCTGGATCAAGAGGGGGTGACAAAGGTAACAATCAAACATGATAAGGAGAGGTGATGCAAGCCAATGGTGAAGGGATTGGGATAGGCCGATCTGATCAGGGATTCAAGAGAACCAATCTAGGAAGAAATTGGGTGCAACACAGTCCTGCTGGTTGTCATGGTAAATCATTAGATAGGAGTACTCCCACTTGTGGAAGATGTCACAAAGATGTATATATATCTAGCTGAGAGCACTAGGCTCTCAGCCTGTTCATACTAGTCAATTGAGTATATGTTTCTGCCTTAACGAGTAGTGACATTATACTTAGACTATCCCTGATTGCCTGTATCAGGACCATAAAACTTCTTTACTTATATCATAAAATTGCTCCTCTTTCTTCTCTCTCACGCAGGCATACACGGACGAACACTCGGCCCGAGTTTTGTTTTGTTTTTGTTTTTGTTTTTGTTTTTGTTAGGTCACACGAAAAAAACATTACCAAAAGCTCAAACACTCGTCTGAATCGGACCCGCCAGGTAATATGCGTTTACCTCGGTCCTCTTGTTTTCTTCTTGTCTCTCCTCTTCTCGCTACGACCTTGCTGAGTTTATACGCATCTTCGGCACTGCAGACACAGCTCTTGTTTGAAGTGGCCTCTTTCAAGATGTCAGCTTTTGGTCGTTTCCTGGCGGCTACGTCATCGACGTTGCCACGACAATGTTTGACTGGCGGCGTCCTGTTTGCAACTGGGGATACAATTGCTCAACAGTTGGTGGAAAAACGTCGTTCTGCCCATGACATTCCTCGCACCTTCCGCCTAGCGTTATACGGAGGTTGTATATTCTCGCCACTCGCCTCAATGTGGTTTGGAAAAGTTCTGGAACGAGTGCAATTTGGTTGGAAACCAGCAAATATCGTAACAAAAGTCGCATTGGATCAAGGAATCGCTTCACCTGCTTTCGTAGCAATGTTCTTTTCAGTAACTTCCCTGATGCAAGGAAAGACAGTGGAACAAGCAAAACTCAAGGTGAAACATAATTGGTGGTCAACTCTTAAAACAGCTTGGGCTTTGTGGATTCCAGTGCAAGCGATCAACATGGCTTTGGTTCCGGTAAATGGCAGATTGTTGTTCGTTAATGTCGTCAGTATCTTTTGGAATACATTCTTGAGTATCAAAAGTGCTGGAGGCGGGAATAAGGTGAAACAAGAGGCTGGCAGAGTGGTCGAGTTGGTAGAGACTAAGGTGGAGAAACTTCACTAAAGGCCAAGCGTGGAAGCAATACAGGAGAGCGCGAACAGAGGAGTTGATCGTGTAGATAGATTGCAGGGATGGTAGAAATCAAGTTAAGCCTATGGACTCGTTTCCCACTCACCGATACACAGCAAACAGCAGGTTTGATCCTTTGGAAAGCAAGCAAAGCAAGCAAAGCAAGCAAGGTTCGAATGCACTCACATGATGCGGATTCGAGCCGAACATCGGCGACTGCAAGGGCGGATTGCGTTTGCTAAAGGCAAAGTGAATGAGTATGTATGAGATAGCAACATGCATTCTTACAGTGACAGAGACCATGTGTATGGCTGAGGTTGATTGAGTCGAACTCATCTGTGATCTTGTGCTTCGTTTTGATACGATTGGGTGTGTCTTGAAGCTTGCACTGAGTTGCTTTGAGCACTTGTAGTGTGTGTGTGTGTGTGTGTATAGAGTTTTAGATAGGAATGCCCTTGGCAGCAGCGAGTGAGTCGATAATGACCAATCGCCAAAGCTTTTCGACAAACGCTTCTGCTTCTTCCGCCAGAACCTGCCATCCGCATCATCCGCACACCCAAGAAAAAAAGCAAAAACAGTCAGTATACTCAACACCAAACAGTCGACATGATTTTGAAAGCAACTTACCGGCTCAACTGACTCCACCAGCTCCTTGGCTTGCAAATGAACCTGCAAACCTTGGATCACCACACTGACCAATTCCTCAACTTTCTCGCCGAGACTCTGTTCAATCTCTGCATCTGCCCAAGGTCTGTACTTGTTCTGAATAAAGGCTTCATCCACATACTCCCACTTTGGTTCCTGTGCGAACAACGCTGCTGTGTCGTTGGGCAAGGATTGTTCAATCTGAGCCAATTTCGCCTTGTTCTCTTCTTCAGACATGGTTGTACCGAGCTTGATATGCTTGAGTCGACCTGTGCGTTTGGCTTGTTCGTCTTCTTCTGATTCGCCCAAAACTGCTGGCTTGTTTGGTGCTGCTCCACCGATCTCGCCATTGCTGGTAGCAGCAGTATCTCCAGCGTCGGCTTTGTTAGCGAAACTGAGTTTGATGGGTGCAAGCGTACCACCCTGAGACTGGACGAGTACACCTGACTTGCGTTGCTGTTCGGCGAGTTTGGCCATTTCTGCAGCTTGTTGTGCGAGGAAGTTGTCAGTTTCTTGTTGTGCTTTTGCTTTTTCCTCTTGTTCTGCTGCACGATCTCGTTGGTCTGCTTGCTCTTCTCTTTTTCGAGCTGGTGCTCGGAGTTGTCGCCATCTTTGTCGATCGGTGTAGAAAAGCTCTTTGCGTGTTGCGGTATCGTGTCGGCAATCAGACCAACGTTTGAGGAGTGCAAGGCCGTCTCTTTGCCATTTTGCATTCTCTGCTTGCTCCTTATCCTGTTGCTTCTGCCAGTGTGCGAGACGTTGTCGTTCGCGGAGGAGATAAGCACGCTCTGCATCGGCAGCAGCAGCTTTCTTGCGTGCTTGACGTTGTTGTTCTTCCACTTGGTCTGCTTCTTCCGGCTGGCGGGGGATGTCAGCTTTTGCGTCGTAGGAGCTGGCGGAGTGGAAGTCGAGAGGACGTCGATAGCTCTGTGGATCATCTGCTGAAGGAGCGTTGCGTAAGGAGGAGGGGGAGGAGGAGGAGGAGGGGGAAGAGGAGAAGGGAGCTGCGGCTTGGAGATGAGCTCTTCTAGCACGCTCCATCGCTCTTTGTCGCTCGAATTCGGCTTCGCGTCTTCTTGTCTCTGCATCTCTTGCTGCGGCTGCTTGACGGAACTGGTGGATCTCAGAGAGCACTGTTGCCCTCTGATCTTCTGGTAGCTCTTCTGGAGGCAAATCCTTCAAATGATCCGGAACAACATAGCCTGGCTTGGAGGGATCCAAGAGGATCTCTGCATTCGGATCGTTCATCTGCCGTACGATATCCTTGACGGCTGACAAAGCACGGCTCTCTCTGGCTTTCTGGTCGGCCGAAGGGAGACGCGTCTGTTGGTACTGGTCGAGGAAGCGCTTTGTCCGCTCGTCTGCCTTGACCAGAAGCCTGTTCGGTGCAGCCGATGCTTCCGCTCCCATCGAGGGCAACTCTCGGCCGTGCAGCACTTGGATAGCACGCAATACCGAGTCCGGATCCGAATATTCGGCGAATCCGAAAGCTTTCGAGGCGCGCCTGAGCGAGCCAAGCTTTCCGCATGCTTCGAGCAGTTTGCTGAGCCAAGCGTCGGAGATGCCGGGAGAAATGCTACCGACGAAAACAGTCAACGCCACTTCAGCACCGACAGAACAAGACGAGGTCGAGGAGGTACCACAAGTAGGTTCAGGGGCAGGACTGCCTCTATCGCCGTAGGCAAAATGAGCAGAGCCAGAATGAGCAGAGCCAGAGTGATTCAAGTGGTTCGAACTGCCGATGCCTCCTCGAGGTCGCGGTGGAAGAGGGGCCATGTTTGGGTTATGTGAGCCCTGCCAGTTGGAGCCATGGCCTCGACGTGACATCCTGGCGTCACTCGCTGTTGCAAATCCGAACCACCCGGGGTCTTGAGATCGATCAGTGCCTGATGGGAGAGAGAGAGAGAGATAGAGAGAGAGAGAGAATGGCAGAAGCTCAGGCGGCAAAGATGGGCGATACGCAATTCAATTCGCAATTCAATTCGCAATTCAATTCGGCTTTGCCGTTAAATGCAAAAGAGAGAGCCCTAAACCTGCGTTTCCGTGAATCGGGCGCCGATCTAAACACGAACCAGATCCAAGCAGTGGCTGTGTCTGCTTTACAGCGTGCAAGGAAAGAGGCCACAGGCCAATCTGCCAGTGTTGTACCCGATCTCTGGACACAGATCGGTTCCGTCCAATCCCCGATTACGTTTATGTCAGCATATATCATCATATTGGATCGCTTCCTTCGGCAGACAAGAGCTGAGACGTGTCAAGTGCAGCTCAGCAAGCGAATCAGCGAAAAGAGAGATGGCTCGACCGCCAAAGCGCCTGTTGGCTGTTGCTGTACACAGTCAAGTCGGTCTCTCTCTTCTCTCTCTCTCTCTCTCTCTCTCCACTTACGATACCAACCCCCCTTAACGCCGACCATCTCGACTCGACGTAAAAGCATGGCTCAACCACCTCCTCAGCTTCCACCTGGCTGGGCTGCTCAATGGGACCAGAATGCCGGTCGTCAGGTCTACATCGAGACCGCTACAGGTCGCACTAGCTGGCAGCCGCCCAACGCTGCCAATGGTGTTCCTCCTCCTCAGCAGCAACAGCAGCAGCAGCGTCCCACCCACCCTCAAGGGCAGGCCCGGATGTCGATGCCACAGATCCAGCCTCCACCAGGGATGCGAGGCCCTTCGCTGAGCCCCATCCCTTCGCACGGTCCAGGTGCTCCTCTCAGCCCTCCCGCCGCTGGTGGCCCTCCTCCTGCATCTATCGGTCCTGGTGCCAGCCGTAGGCGAGCTTACCCCACCGCCCATCTTGCTGCCAACAGCATCAGCTATGCCGGTGGCTACGATGCAGGTGCTGCTGCCACCACTGCTGCCACCACTGCTGCTGGTGCCGGTGCTGGATACCCTGGCCCACACGGTGCTGGACAGCCTCAGCTCTTTACTCCCGGTGCTCCTGAGCCAGTTCCTTCACCATACGCAGCCGCTCAGCCCGCTCTTGTTGCTCCGGCTATGGCTCCTGCATCCGCTATGCCTGCTGGTGCTGCTCCAGGCTACCCAGGAAGCGCCGTTCAGGGTCTCACCAACCAGTTCCAGGGCATGGGCATGGGCGGCGGTGTGGCCGGTGGTATGGCTCAAAAGTTGAGCACCTTGCAAACTGTCAACATCAGTGGTGTTCAACCCAACGTCAACGACCTCGAGCGTCCCCCTCCTGAGATTCGTCTGCCTCCCAACGCATGCATCTCCTCCAACCCCGAAGCCAACGCCGACCCTTCTTACCAGCGATGTACTCTCAACGCCATCCCTACCACCTCTTCGCTCCTCCAAAAGTCCAAGATCCCTCTCGGTCTCATTCTTTCCCCCTACCGCTCCGTTCGCGAGGCTGATGGTGATCAGCCCGTCCCCGTAGTGAGCGATACTGTCATCGCACGTTGCCGCAGATGCCGAACCTACATCAACCCTTACGTCACCTTCATCGAGAACGGCAATCGCTGGAAATGCTGCATGTGCAACATCAGCAACGAAGTGCCCCAACTCTTTGACTGGAACTCGGAAACCAACCAGCCCGCCGACCGATGGCAGCGTCCCGAACTTAACCACAGTGTCGTCGAGTTCATCGCTCCCCGAGAATACATGGTTCGCCCTCCTCAGCCTCCCGTTTACACCTTGCTCATCGACGTCAGCTACCAGGCTATCAACAGCGGTATGGTCGCCACTGCTGCTCGCACCATTCTCGAGACCCTCGACCGTTTGCCTAACTCGGACGACCGCGCTAAGATCTGCATCATCGGTGTCGACACCAGCCTTCACTTCTTCAGCATCACCCCGGAGAGCACCGAGCCTGAGATGCTCGTTGTTAGCGATCTGGACGACGTCTTCCTTCCCAAGCCCAACGACTTGCTCCTCAACTTGACCGAGTGCAGGGCTGGTATTGAGGCTTTGCTTCACAGGTTGGGTGATATGTACAAGGACTCGCTCGTCACTGGCTCTGCCCTTGGTGCTGCTTTGCAAGCTGCATACAAGCTCATCTCGCCCATCGGTGGTAAGATCATGGTTCTCACCGCTTCCCTTCCCAGCGTCGGGCCTGGTGCGCTCAAGAACCGAGAGGATCCCAAGTTGCTCGGTACTGCCAAGGAGAGCACGCTTCTCGCAGCAGCTTCGTCCTTCTACAAGACCTTCCCCATCGACTGCTCGCGATCGCAGGTCTCGGTCGACATGTTCCTCTTTGCCTCTTCGTACACCGACGTTGCCACGCTTTCCTGCCTGCCTCGTTACACTGGTGGTCAGACTTTTTTCTACCCTGCTTTCCACGCCGGTCGCTCAGAGGATGCAGTCAAGTTCTCTCACGAGTTTTCGCAAGTGCTTTCCAGCCCGATCAGTTACGAAGCTGTGTTGCGTCTTCGTGCTACCAAAGGTATCCGAGCTACTGCATTCCACGGTAACTTTTTCGTTCGATCTACCGACTTGCTCGCTCTGCCTGCTGTTCCTCTCGACCAGAGCTACGCCATCGAGTGCGAGATTGAAGAGACCATCAACGCACCCTTTGTCGTCTTCCAGTCCGTCGTTCTGCACTCTACTAGCTCGGGCGAACGACGTATTCGTGTCGTCAACTTGGCTTTGCCTACCACCAGCTCCATGTCGGAAGTCTATGCCAATGCTGATCAGGTTGCCATCGCTACCTTGCTCGCAGACAAGGCGGTGGAGCGTTCGATCCACTCTCGTCTTGAAGACGCGCGTGATGCACTGTTCAACAAGCTAGTGGACATCTTCTCGACCTACAAATCCACCATGACTTCTGCGGGTAGTGGAGCAAGCCCGCAGCTCAGCATCGCACAGAACATGGCTCAACTCCCTTTGCTCGTTCTTGCTTTGCTCAAGCATGTTGGTATTCGACAATCCTCCTCGATCCCTTCCGACCTACGTGCATACGCTCAGGCACTACTCACAACCCTCCCTGCTCAACAATTGCTGCCTTATCTACACCCCAATTTCTACTGTCTTCACAATATGCCCCCGGAAGCAGGCACCAGCCTCCCGGACAAAGGTGGTTTTATCATGCCGGCGAAACTCAACCTCACTTCGGAAAGGTTCGAACGTCATGGGTTGTACCTGATCGAAGATGGGCAGAATATCTTCCTGTGGGTTGGTCGAGAGGCAGTTCCGCAGTTGTGTATGGACGTCTTTGATGCAGCTAATTACGGTGCGCTTAGGGGTGGCAAACTTACCTTGCCCAAGTTGGAGAATAGTATGAATCAGAGGGTGAATGCCATCGTACAAACGATCAGGGAGAGTAGAAGGGGACCCTACAGACCTCATCTCTATGTGGTCAAGGAGGATGGAGAGCCGAGTTTGAGACTATGGGCGCTGAGTTTGTTGATCGAGGATAGGTTTGAGCAGACGCCGAGTTATACGCAGTTTTTGGGTGATTTGAGGAACAAGGTTAATGGTGGATCGTAAGGCGGATATTATGACTTTGTCTTTGGGTCGTCGTTGTTGTTGTTAAATACCAGATTGGTTCGCTTGCATTGTGCCTTTGTGTGAGAGATTCGATTGAGATGATGTTGTCGAGAGCTGTTTAAGTAAGGCCGTTCCCGAGTTCGTGTGAGAGTTGCAACAGCTCAGCACAGAGACGCAGCTGAATCTTCAAAGCTTTTTGCTGGTTCGAGACCAACACTGTTCTCCGCCTTCTCACTTACCCAGCCTCTTGCCACCTCTTCTGTCCTTCTCCTTTCACTTGACTTGGATTAACTTGGTTCCTGTTGTGACCATCTATGATAGGATTGCAGCCCAGATCTTTGTTTCTGTGCTTTATGTATAAGAGGGTATGGATTTGAGCGAGGCAAGGCAGGGAACAGGTTCATGTTGAAGATTACGATCCAGTGCGACGCTAAAGGATGACGCGGAGCTGATCTCACCAGAGATCGGGTGCAACACAGTCCCGCTTGTTGCCATGGTAGACCATTAAGTAGGAGTACTCCCACCTTTGGCAGTTGCCACGCCAATGTATATATATCTGCTAAAGATAACGATCCAGTGGAGTTCAAAGGTGACAAAGGATCGGGCAAGGTTGATCTAAAGGGTCCGATCGGGAGAGGAAATCTGATCATGGACCAGACGGGGCCGATCTGACGAGAGATCGGATACAACACAGTCCCACATGTTGTCAGGCTAGGTCATGAAGAAGCATACTCCCATGATAGGTATCAACCTCACGAATGTATATATATCAAGCTAAGAATGCTAGGTTCTCACCATGATCATCAGTCAATTTAGTATATGTTTCTGCCTGAAAAGAGTAGTTACATTGTACTTAGACTATCCCTGATTGCCAGTATCAGGACCCAAATGATGTCAAACTTCAACAGGTTATGAGCCCAAGCAGCCAATACACTACCACAACAGTATGTCAAACATTAACTACTCTATCTACAGTGCATTTGCTGCCCCCATGCAAAACCTCCTGCCACAGCTGCCCCAGGTATTCCAAGACCAATTCAATTGAGTCATGGAAGAGGAGACTTATGGCACCCCTAATGCACCTAAAGATGGCCAACTACTAAAGTTCACCTTCAATGATGACAAGGAGCAGATAATCTCACATCTGTCCATCATGATTGAGTGTGTTAGTGTACTCTACCAAGGAATGCATGACCTTGGACCTTTCACCAACTGTTCCAAGCTTGGAAAGCAAATGCATGCTAGAGTAAACCTTTTCATTGCCAACAAAGAGTGGAATGCTGCTTGCATCCTTGACCTCAAGATCAAAGGTTCAGTCAAAGTCATCCAAAATACTGAGCAATTTGACCACCTGGTTAAGAGGGAAGCCCTGGTGTCAGCTAGAAGTGACACTCCCACCCTCAACTTAAATGTCACCAATGTCACCAGCTGTCATTTGATTGGTTGTGAAGCTATGCCAGGCCCTACCCCTGAGCTCAGCACACTCATGAATTACCACCTAAAGGTGCTTTTGGGCCTGAATGACAAAATGAAATGGGATGAGCAAGACCTTCTTGACCCAAGGTTGGTCTCTGTGCATGCTTGGCAATGCAAGATGTTCACCATGCTTTTGGTTGTTCCTTTTGCACAAAATGTTCTCAACTGAAAGACAACAACTTTTGAGGATGCTGACTCTATGCTCAGCTCAATCATCATGCATAGCTTCTCTAATAAGTTGCACACAGAGTATTTTGCTGAATATGGCAATCAACCAGTACCAATCACCATAGATCTATTTGAATGGGCATTAAACAAGTGCACTGCACATTCCACTGCTAAGGAGTATGAGCTCCACACCACCACCTATGGGTTACACTGAAACCAGATCAGAAGCCATGCTTATGACTTCCTTACCAAATGGGAAGCCCATGTGTTGGAGCTATTTACATACCTGCAGGAACCCAGGATGCCGGACCATCGCTACAGGACGCTCAAGCACTAGGACAAGATGGTGGGAGCATTGGGTTCACCACCCTGATGAAGCAGGGGGCCAGATCAATGATGAACTCAGAGCTGGAGGATGGGAGAGATGAAGTAGGGGGTGTCAGGGGTCTCGCACCTGAAACCCAGGTTGGTCTGTCGAGATACTCGGTGACTATCAAACTGTGCAACAGCTATTGTCTCAGTATCGGTCTTGACGAGCTACGTTGCTCAGCGACTATCAAGTTGCATGATGACAGCAGGTGGTGTTCATTGTATATACTATCATAGGTTTTGGCTGACCTCTGTGGACACTCCATTCAGAGCTAGCTTGGCATGATCAATATCAATATGTAGGTTAAGATGACACCAAGGTCTGGTGTGAGTGTTGATGATGATGAGGTTGATGGTGTTGGTGATAAGGTTGATGGTGTTGGTGATAAGGTTGGTGGCATCAACACGAGTGTCCAGTGTGTTGACTGATGCTTGAGGTGATCCCCAGACTGCAGTGGACTACTTCCTTCGGTTCTATCTATATCCGGACTGCTGACCTGCTATGGGCTGCCTTTGGACATCAGGTAGTGGTGATACAACACATGCACTACAATGAGGAGCAACCTTGATAGATTGCTACTATGCTGACTGAAACTAATATATACTTATGCTGAAGTGATAACTAGTTATGATGGGTGTAGAGTGGATGAGGATCCACTTGACCTTTGATGATGAGAAAGTATGGTTATATACCTCTTCACAGTGTCGCCAGCGATGCTGCTCCTGCTCTCTCTCTCCAGAGAGTACCTTCTTCATCGAGTACTGTACAGGGGCCCCTCTAGCACCGCTCCTCCTCCTTGCTATCCTGCTTGCTTGGCACCCCTGTGCCTCCTGAGTGGTGTCAACTCCTTCGACACTGCTCCTCCTCCTCAGGACCTGCTTGCCAGTTCCCTATACACTGCTCCTTCTCCTTTGACCAGTGATGGTTCCTTTGGCTCTTGTCTCTCGAGCCCCTGAGTGGTAACCATCTGCATGCTCCTTGAGCTTGGTCCTCTTCGTGGCTGTGCCTGCTCTTTGAGCTTGGTCCTCCTCGTGGCTGTGCCTGGCCTCCTCGCATATGGGCTTGGTCCTCCTTTGCATGTGAGTCCATAGGAGTCCATGGTCTCCATGGAGACTGCACTATGACCATGCTCTCTACTGGTATCAACTAGATCTCTGATACCTGTGCTCCTTCCATATGAACCAGTGACCCTCCTGCTTCTTGAGCATTCAGGCCCATGACACTACCCCCCTCTTAAGAGCCGAGCTCCGTCGAGGCATGCTCTGGTCTGGTTCATGCTGACTCCTCCTCTCTCTACTTTGTCTACTCGCTCGTCCCCCCTCCGACACCTCATACTCCTGGATGAGGTCGGGGCAGTTGAGGTTCTCTACTGGTTCCCATGAAGCAGCTTCTTTGGAGTACCCTCTCCACAACACTTTGTACTCTGTAGTCCCATTGTGTGAATGCTTGTCGATGAGGGCCTCAACTTCAAAGTCAAGATCCTCATCTGGAAGTGGTGGTATAGTGGGCTGTTCAGCCTGTTGAGGGAGAGAACTTGTTCTTGCTGGTTTGAGCATGGAGACATGGAACACATCATGCACCCTAAGGTTTGCTGGCAATGTGATTTGATAAGCTTGGCATCCTACCCATTCCTGAACTGGGTAGGGTCCTGCAAATTGGGTATCTAACTTGGGTGTGGGTCTCCTTGTCTTCCAGTTTCGACAGTTGATATAGACCATATCACCCACCTTGAACTCGATGTCCTTGTGCTTCCTGTTATACTGGTCTACTGATCTATGTTGTGCTTCTCTGATCTGCTCCTGGAGGTACTTGCAACGCTCCTTCCCATCCATGAGGTACTTGAAGTGACCTGGGTCATTGACTCCTAGTCATTGAGGGATATCAGGATGAGCTTTGGGGTTCCATCCATAGCATGCAAAGAATGGTGAGACACCAATGCTGTTGTGGACTGTGTTGTTGTATACAAAGGCTGCAGTGTCCAGCAGGTTGGCCCAGTCATTCTGCTCATAGTTGCAGTACATCCTTAAGTACTGCTCTACAACCTGATTGACCCTCTCTGTCTGACCATCAGTTTGAGGATGGTAAGCCATGCTAAGTGAGTGCTTCACACCCATTTGTTCTGTGAATGCCTTCCATGCTCCTGATATGAACTGCCTGCCTTGGTCCAAGACCATGTGATCTGGGTAGCTGAAGAGTCTAACCATGTGTCCATGTAGCAACACTGCAGTCTGTTTGGCTGTGACTGTCTTATGGGTTGGAGCTAGTATGGCAAACTTGGTTAACCTGTCGACGATGACTAGGATAGAGTCATAGGTCTTGGAGTCATACTTCTTTGATGGTGGTAGTCCTTCAATGAAGTCGAGGGATATGGAGCCCCAGGGCCTGTCTGGTGTTGCTAGTGGCTGTAGCAAACCATATGGACGGTGACGAGGAGCTTTGTACCTAGCACATACAGGACAACTTGCTACATAGTCTGCAATCCAAGCTGTCATGTTTGGCCACCAGTAATGTTGTTGGGCTGCCTTGATGGTAGCATCTCTTCCCATGTGTCCAGCAGTGATGCTGTCATGGCATTGGGTCATCACCATGAATTGCAGGTGCTCTACAGAGAGAGACTGTCCATCTACTTCTTTGGCACTCCTTGAGTGTCAGTTGTTGGTCCTCCCTGGCATGATTACCTTGGGGATAACCAACCTACCTCCACTGTACCATAGGTTGTCCTTGACCTCAAAAGGCTTCTTTGTATGTATCTCCTGTAGCTCTTGGTCTAAGGGCTGGAAGATCTTGACCAGGTCTCTGAGACCCTTTGATGCTATGGACTCCATCGAGAGCATAGGGGCTACTAGGGTTGAGTCATGGTCTGCTGTCTCCTTGAACACTCGAGGAGGCAGTAGTTGCCTCACGTTGTGATCCTGCTCTTCACCAACTGGTTGCATATCAGTCCTTCTGGTGAGAGCATCAGGCTCACCACCTTTGTCTCATGGTTGATACTGCAGTATGAAGTCGAAGTCTGCTAGTAGTATTGCCCATCGAGCTTGTCAACCTGTGATGCATCTCTGTGACTTGAAGTACTTGAGGGCTTCATGGTCAGTGAGGATGACCAGTTGACTTGGTAGTCCAGCTAGCATGTGTCGCCACTGGGTAAGGCAAGCGACCACAGCTAGGAGCTCCTTGTCATGGATCTCATAGTTCTTCTTGGCAGAAGACATCTTCCTAGAGTAGAAGGCTACTGGGTGCCATCATCCTTCATGCTCCTGCTTGAGCACTCCTGCTATAGCAAAGTCACTTGCATTGGTCTCCAACCTTGTTGGAAGGTGGTAGTTGAAGTGCTGGAGCACTCCTGCAGATGTGAATGCCTGGATGAGCTTGTGGAAGGCCTGCTGGGCCTCCTCTGGTAGCTCGAACTTCTTGAACCATTCTGTAGGCTTTACCAGTGATGTCAAGGGCTTGGCTATGTGAGCAAAGTGGGCTATGAACCTTTGATAGAAGTTGGCAAAACCCAGGAACCTTTGGATGTCATGGATTGACTCTGGCATTGGCCACTCCTTGACAGTGTGCACCTTTTCTGGGTCCATCTCTATGCCTGTTGGCTTGATGATGTACCCCAGGAACTCGACTGTCTTGGTGTGGAACTCACACTTCGACAGCTTAGCAAAGAGCCTGTTGCTCCTTAAGCAAGTGAGGACCTCAGTAACATGCTTCACATGTGACTTTTCAGTGTCACTGAAGATCAGGAAGTCATCTAGGTATACTACTACATATACCCCAATGATGTCTTGGAAGATGTCATTGATGAACAACTGGAAGTGAGCTGGAGCATTAGCTAGGCCAAAGGGCATCACTAGGTACTCATAGAGTCCCAACTGAGTGCCAAAAGCTGTCTTCCATTCATCTCCTTTAGCAATCTGGATGAGGTTGTATGCTGCTCTAAGGTCTAGCTTGGTATAGATCCTTGCCTTCCTGAGTAAGAACAGCTGCTCCTCGATGAGGGGCAATGGTGCCCTGTTCTTGACAGTGATCTCGTTGAGACCTCTGTAGTCCACACAGAGTCTGAGACCTCCATCCTTCTTTGGTACAAAGAGCACTGGTGATTGTGCCAGGCTCTTCGATGGTCTTATGAACCCCTTCTCGAGGTTCTCATCCAAGTATCTCCTCAACTCGGGCATCTCCTTGGGTCCCTTAAGGTATAGGGGCCCTTGAGGTGGCTTACCTCCTTCTATCAACTTGACGTGGAGATCATGCTCAGTATGATGGGGCAGCTTGTCTGCTTCCACCTCATCGAACACATCTTGCAGGTGTTGGTATGGCTTTGGTATGTCTGCAGCCATCACCACCTTGTCTACCTCCACCTCCATCTCGACTCCTTTGTCTGCGCCTGTAGGTACAAAACCAAAGGCCGGGAGTGATGATGGTGGCTCCTCCAACAGCATGAATCCTATGGGTCCATCTTCTAGAGCTGCTCATAGTATGCGCTCTGCTGAGACAAACTCATTACCATGAAGGGTTGGTCCTCTCATGGTTAGGTCCCCTGCTCTTGCTGCTTCAGGGGGTCTCCTAGGGGGTCGGTCCTGCTCCTGAGTCTTGAACTCTAGCTGGCCCGTATCCCATTGTATGGTGGGTTTGAGCCTCCATAGCTCCGTGAACCCCAGGATGAGGTCATAGTCCGCAGTGTCGGCCACTGAAGCTTCGACCACACCCAGATTGTGTGTACCAATAGATACCTGCATGCTTGCAGAACTATTGATGGAGAGTTGGTGCCCGGTGACACCATGGATCGATCTTGTCTTTATGGGTTTTGTGGGTATTTGGTACTTACTAATGAAAGAATCTGAGACTATGGACAAACCAGCACCGGTGTCAGCTAGTATCCAAGCAGGATGGTCTTGAACCATTCCAGAGAGCTCCAGTACTGCTTTGCCTCCACTGGTAGAGAAACACACTTGACAATCTTGATATATACAGAGTGATGGCGAGGAGGTTTGTAGAGCAATGCATGCCATCAGTGCATCACCCCACTGATGTTTCCCTCATCGTCATCATCATCATGCTCCTCCTCCTCATGGTTGAGGTCCATGGGCTTTTGGTATGAGCTGAGGTCCATGGCCTCGGGGTCACCTGTCTCAGTACTGCCTGTGTGGCCATCTCCTGAGTCGGTGGCCTCCTCAAAGGGGTCTGCTGTGGTGACCATAACCTTTGGTCCCATGGGTCGAGAGCTAAGAGGGTCTACCCTCCTGCTGGGGCAGTCTCTGGCCCAATGGCTGATACCCTTGCATACATGACAGGTGTTGATACCTGATGGAGCAGGGCTTCCTTGCTTCGAGGGTTGGGTGGGATGATGAGGAAGGGGTCGGTTTAGGTTTTGTATAGTTGCTTGTGTAGTTGCTTGTGATGGTGATCGAGCTGGATAAGGTTGAGTGGGTTGTCGGATGGGGATCAAACTTTGATTTGGCTGAGACCCAGTTCTTAGTGGAGGTGACGTGGCGTTTGGGAGTGAGTGTCTAGCCGAGGACTGCTGTAGTAGCATCCTCTGTCGATCGATCTCCTCAACCTCTCGGTACCACTCCCATCTCTTCCCAGGTGGATTCCTCTCGAACTTCTCCTGTATGCTACAAGTGAGACTACCTCTGAAGAGATCAATCACTAGCTCATTGTCATCTAGGTTGACCTGTCCCTCCAAGTCTCTGAACCGCTCTACATGATGTGTGGCGGCACCAGGAGCATCACTTGTGAGTCTGAGAGCCAACAGCTTATTGTATGCCTCCATCCTAGCATTGCGTGGGTTGAACTGTTCTGTCAGTCGCTCTGTGAAGTAGTGCCAATCATTGAACAACCTTCCTTCTCTAGCTCTATCAATACAGAGCTTGGAGGTCCACCACTCTCTTGCTGTCCCTTCCAGTTGAGCACCCATGTGATTGATCATCCTAGACTGCTCATACACCTGGTTGAACTTAAACCATGCTTCGGCTTCTAGAATGAAGATCTCCATGTCTCGGGGATTGAACTTTGGAAAGGGGGTGGCGATGGGCTTTGACCAGTTAAGCTCTGCCATGATGCTGGTATCCTCCTCGTGGTCCAGGGGGTAAGGGTCCGTCCTAGTCCTGCTGTAGGGGTCCAGCTTAGTCTTGACATATCTTGGCCCAGTAGGTGAAGCATACTTCTCGTAGTTGATGTCCTCCTGCTCATCCAGGTTGAATGAGACTGATCGTCTTGGTCGTGGAGCTGGAGTAGGAGTATGTGGGTCTCCTATCATAGACTCATCTCCTCCTCCTGCTTGGTCTTCTGAGTGAGAGAGGTCCAATGTCTCCTCCCTGCTCAGTTGAGCTCGTTGTAATCGTTCCTCTCGATGACCCTGTCTGGTAAGCTCTAGCTGTGCCTCCAATAGAGTGAGTAGTCTATCGATCTTATTGTTGAGGTCTGGGTCCATCATGGTGATTGTGAGGAGCTGCTTGAATGATCCACTCTAATGTCAGGGGTCTCGTGCCTGAAACCCAGGTCAGTCTGTCGAGATACTTGGTGACTATCAAACTGTGCGAAAGCTATTGTCTCGGTATTGGTGACTATCAAGTTGCGCAGTGACAGCAGGTGGCGTTTGTTGTATATACTATCATAGGTTTCGGCTGACCTCTGTGGACACTCCGTTCAGGGGTAGCTTGGCACGATCAATATCAATGCTTTGGTTATGATGACACCAAGGTCTGGTGTGAGTGTTGATGATGATGAGGTTGATGACATTGGTGATAAGGTTGGTGGCATCAACATGAGTGTCCAGTGTGTTGACTTGATGCTTGAAGTGATCCCCGGACCACAGAGGACTACTGCCTTTGGTTCTATCTTAATCCGGACCGCTAACCTGCTATGGGTGCCTTTGGACGTCAGGTAGTGGTGATACAACACACACACTATGATGAGGAGCAACCTTGATAGATTGCTGCTATGCTGACTGAAACTAATATATACTTATGCTGAAGTGATAACTAGTTATGGTGAGTAGAGTGGATGAGGATCCACTCGACCTATGATGATGAGAAAGCATCGTTATATACCTCTTCGCAGCATCGCCAGCGATGCTGCTCCTGCCCTCTCTCCAGAGAGTACCTTCTTCATCGAGTACTGTTCAGGGGCCTCTCCTGCTTGGCACCCCTGTGCCTCCTGAGTGGTGTCGACTCCTTCGACACTGCTCCTCCTCCTCAGGACCTGCTTGCCAGTGTCCTATACACTGCTCCTTCTCCTTTGACTGGTGACAGTTCCTTTGACTCTTGTCTCTCGAGCCCCTGAGTGGTAACCAACTGCATGCTCCTTGAGCTTGGTCCCCTTCATGGCTGTGCCTGCTCCTTGGGCTTGGTCCTCCTCGTGGCTGTGCCTGGCCTTCCTCGCATATGGCTCAGTGCTCCTTTGCATGTGAGTCCATAGGAGTCCATGGTCTCCATGGAGACTGCACTACGACCATGCTCTCTACTGGTATCGACTAGATCTCTACCTGTGCCCCTCTCATATGAACCAGTGACCCTCCTGCTTCCTGAGCATTTAGGCCCATGACATCTATCAAGGTCGCCTCTCATTGTAGTGTGTGTGTTGTATCACCACTACCTGACATCCAAAGGCAGCCCATAGCAGGTCAGCGGTCTAGATATAGATAGAACCAAAGGCAGTAGTCCACTGTGGTCCAGGGATCACTTCAAGCATTAGTCAGCACACTGGACACTCGTGTTGATGCCACCGAATTACCACCAACACCACCAACCTTATCACCAACACCATCAACCTCATCATCATCAACACTCACACCAGACCTTGGTGTCATCATAACCTACATATTGATATTGATCATGCTGAGCTACCCCTGAATGGAGTGTCCACAGAGGTCAGCCGAAACCTACAATAGTATATACAATGAATGCCACCCACTGTCATCATGCAACTTGATAGTCACCAAGCAACATAGCTCGTCAAGACTGATACCAAGACAATAGCTGTCACACAGTTTGATAGTCACTGAGTATCTCGACAGACCGACCTGGGTTTCAGGTGCGAGACCCCTGACACTCACCCCCATGCTCAAGGCTCCGTTTTCTCCGAACACTCGTCAATACAAAATGCACAATACTATCACAACAAGTTTGCCACAACACATGAGATGTTCCCTTGGCTGCATCCAATGACACTTGCTGAACTGCTTCATATTTACCTGAGAATTGTATTGCGCCTACGCTCACGTTGGCCTCTCGGGCAGGATGTTCGCAGTGCAAGGCGAGCTCACTCTGTCATGACATGCTCATCTCAGTCTCTCAGCTGGGATGTTTGTGGTCAGACAAGATGTCACTCTTCTAGTCACCAAACCTCGCTTCCTTCGAGAATACCATCGATTCACAACCTCATCATATGACTGTGCAGCAGCACATGGTGACAAGAGTCGTTCAAATGCCACACCCGAAGTTCTCTCTACCCTTTCAACCTCGCTGCTAACACCTGACAGTTGTAACAAACAATATCATCCGTCCTTTTCGCCTTCTTCATCCATCCACTCCATTCAATCCCTCATTTCCTCTTGTCAACCTTTCCACTTCTAACTTCATCTTCCATCTGCTCAATTCCATCCTACCTCATATACTTTTCTTTTCTCATCTTGCTTCTTTTGCCATATTCCAACTTCATCTCCCCTCCACTATATGCCACTCATTTCCACTATGCCACCTTCAACTCACTCATCCTGGAACCCAGATGCCACTTCCAATCTGGGGGAGAGGCACAAACCTGATCCTGAAATCAGCAACACCACCTTATCTAACACCTCAAACATCAAAACTATAATCCAAACAATCACAGCTCAACTCAGTCAAACATTCAAAGAACATTTTCAACAGTTAGCAATCACTTTAACTCCTCCCACAGCAACAACTGAATCTGACACATGATGACATCAACAAGTGGAGGCCAAAGCATCCAAAGCTGCTAACCTTGCCAGATGCAGAGTTTTTCAATGCCACAGGTTTCCACCTGAGCCCTCCGACGAACCACAAGCCATGGGTGAACAAGGGACATCAGAGTCCTCAGCCCCACTCATGACATGCTGCCCAACAATCAAGCCTGAGGACATTGGCACATATGACAGCAATGCCAACAACCTTGAGTTCTTTCTCAGCTGCATAAAATCCCTCATCGAGAGTTGATGGGACCCTGCCTGGGAGAGTGTCATCATCGAAACTCTTCCGCTCTGCCTCCAAGAAACTGCCTTGCAGTGGTACGAGGTCTCAGGATCACACTGGCACACTGAACTCAACATGGGTTGGCTGATCTGGGAGATGTCGCTCCACAATGCTTTCCAGCCAGATGCAAGCAAGATCCAACATTTGGCAGGAGAGCAAAAGTGGGAATGGGCAAAGGAATCCATTGCCTCCTATTTCTATACCAAGCTCTCTCTCCTCCATGCAGCCTTCCCAACATGTCAAGAAACAGATCTGCTTAACGAAATTCAGTATGGTCTGCCAGCATCCTTGCAGCTCGATGTTTGGACACATCTTCTTGCCAGGCCAAACATGGATGAACTCCTCACTGAACTTCACAACTTGGAGGGGCCTTGGAAAGCAACTCTATGTTCTGGCAGCTGCTATGACCAACACAATGACTTGCTGCCCTGACCACTTACATCATCCCTTACATTCAGCACTCTGACCAGAACAACTTCAAGTTCAGTGAACCCCTCATGAGACAATGTTACCCCTTCCCATCTAGATACCAGGGCTACAACCAAGTATGGACTCACAGCAAACTACAGCCTGGCCAACATATCATACATTGACAAGGATGGTTGAAGCATTCAGACATATAAACTCCCAAACTTGTGACAGGTCATCACTTTGGGATACCCATGCAGACTGTGCTCTCAAGATCACTTCAACTTCAAGCATGAATTCTTGTCATGACAACCAAAGTCCGAGGCCTACATCATCCAAGCCGAATTGGACCTCACCCAGGCTTATGGATATTCAACCACCAGCAAGAAACCAATCCATGCTCCAGGCAAGTACATCTTAAACTCGGATGCTCTGGTGGTGATGACTACCTCTCCAAATCCAACAAGTGCAGAAACACCTCTATACAACACCGAAGACATGGGCTATCACATTCTACCCTTCCAGGGGGGGGACTGGACCAAAATGTCCAGAAACTAGGATGACTGGAGAATGATGATCAGCACAAGAACATGAAAGATTCACTCCAATGTGACTCTGCAGCCCAGGGACTAGTGAACGTAGTCTTCCTCCTGGACCCAGAAATCTGTTCAAAACAAATTCCACTCCTCTGTCATTGAAGAAATCCATTGTCCACAACCATTGACCTTACCCCAGCACATGCAACTGGTTCAGGTCAGGCCTTCGCTGGGCACATTCCAACCACAGCTTTTGTTAGCCTTGACACCCTTGACCCCCACCTGTCTCTCATTGACACAGGTGTGACACTCTCCATCCTCAATGAAAAGTTGGCTCAAGACCTTCACCTCCTCCCCCTACAAGGACCCAGCATTCAGGTGAATGGAGTCAGAAATGACTGCTTGCTTGGGTTTGCCATGCTGGCATTCTCTATTCAAGGCAGACGAGATAATGAACTGGTCTTACTTCAATCCTCAGCAGACTTCCACATGCTCAGCAACTTCAGTCCAGGCATACTCTTGGGCCTTGACATCATTCATTTGACCAGCATGGTCATTGACATTCGTTCTGGCAGAGCACAGGTCCAGGATGTCTCCTTTCCCATTTATGATACAAGGGGCAAGACCATGTCTGCCAAGAATGTCAGCCAAGCTCTCATCATTTGGCACACCTCCTCCATACTGCCTCACTGCCACTTCTTCATGCAAGTTTGCCACAGCTTGTTACAGGATGTACAATACACCATCAACAGCTCACTCTGGACCTCTCCTGACAAAGCAGGGCCTCTAGTAGTCCCCTCCATGATTATTGATCACAACAACCTGGGCCTTTGGGTAGTAAATTTTGGCCCAAATTCGATGGACATCCAGAGTGACACCAGACTTGCTGAAGCAACACCACTAGCCCCTGATGATATCGCTGCATCCACAGGCTCATTCTGTTTTGATGATGCAACAGCAGATTCTGCCGAAGCTATTGAGTGGTATGCTCTGGTCTCTGACATGACATTGACAGGGGAGGCCCCTGTGGAGTTAATCAAAAATTCTGTGCATCCCTTGCCAAACCTTTCCTCAATCAAACCAAATGAGATTCAGATAGCAGTAGAACCTTGGCCAAGCATCACCAACCCTCAACTGCACCAAGCTTCTTTCTCCTCTCCCAAGTCCACTCCTTTCTCTAATGCATGCAAAAGATCTTACTCCTTTGACAACTATTGGCCCAGAGTCAGTTGTTTCCCAGTGTCAACCTCCACCTGAACTGAACTCTCAAATGATGCCCAACCACTCGACTTCTTGGATGACCTGTTGGTACAATCTCCAGAACTGATTGACCTGGGGACCACCCTTGTGGACAATGTGTTCCAGGTGGGTCGAGATGCTCAAGGCCATCCACACCCCACCATTGTCACCATACTCCACAACAATTTGGAAGCCTTCTCGCTCAATGGAAGGCCTGGGCATGTCTCCAACATTGCAATGCAGCTTGAACTGACCCACCTGGATGCCCTTTGACCTGAAGTGCCATGCAGAGTCAGCCCCAACAAATGTCAAATAATTGATGACTCTCTGGACCAGCTTCTGAGCTGGGACATCATTGAGCCTTCCAATTCACCAGTATTGTATCCAGTCCTTCTCATTAAACAAGGCACCAAGTGGAGATTTTGTGTGGATTATTGAGGACTGAACTCTGCCACCATCACCAATTGATATCCACTGCCACAAATTGACGATGTATTTCAAGCCCTCTGTGGCCACAAATTCTTCTCCAGACTTGATGCAGTGTGGGGATATCATCAACGTGATGTAGACAAAGACAATCACTGGAAGACAGCTTTTGTTTGTCATCACAGGCTGTACCAATACAAACATGTTCCATTTGGCCTCAAAAATGTGCTGGCCTTTTCCCAATGCTTCATGGATCATCTCCTTGGTCACATGAGATGGACAGAAGCCCTAGTGTATCTTGACAACACCATGGTCTTTTCTTCATCCCTGGAACAACATGCCAAATCGCTAGACTGCCTCTTATCAGCAGCTTGCAAAGCTGGTCTCAAGTTCTCACCCACCAAGTGCCACTTTGCTCTGTCCTCATTAACTCTTTTGGGCCAATGAGTTTCCACTCAAGGAATCTCTGTGCTAACCAATTGCACTCAAGCCGTCCACAGTTTGTCTCTGCCAGAGACACTGCAGGACCTTTACCACATGGTAGGTCTCTTCAACTATTATCGCGATTTTATTCCCAAATATGCTGGCCTTGCTGCCCCTCTCACAAACTTGCTCAGGGGCCACAAGTATCAATGCTCCATCAAGGGCATGTGGCAACTGGTCGATAAAGAGGGTAAGACAATGAGAGCCACAGACATCAAATTCAATTGGGGGGCAGCACAAAACAAGGCCCTTGCCCAACTGAAGGCTGCCTTGTCTTCCCTGCCAATGTTGGCATACCCAGATTTCGACTGTCCATTCCTCCTCTATGTTGATGCATCACAACAAGCCTTCACAGCCACACTCCACCAACATCTGCCCTTGGCCAAGTGCACCCAGGACAAGATGGCCGCAGCCTCACTTACAGAAGCAAACAACATCAACATCAACAACATGCCAACACATCAACAGAAATTGGATAGCATGCTGAAGTCCATCATGGACACCATCATGGCAGGACACAACAGAGTCGGTTACGAGATGCAGGACGACATTCTGGTGTATGTGGGACCACACTGCACTGCCTGTTGCCTTTGTGTCCTGTTCTCTGATCTCCATATCTTCTTCCATAAGGCACACAACCTGGGAGGCCACTTTGGCTTTGCTAAGACTGCTCTGTGTCTTGGATCAATCAACCACCCACATCTGTCAACCACACTCGAAGCATACATTGATAACTGTCTGACTTGCCTATGCACAAAACTAGGCCATTGTGTTGGAGAACTCAGCATGGATTGGATTTTGTCAGCTGACAGACCCTTCCACACCATATTGGTGGACTTGCTTCTTGGCCTTCTGGACTGCGAGGGTTTAGATGCTGCTCTGGTCATCATGGATACCTTCTTGAAGCTCATGCTCACTGCTCCATGCAGCAGTAGCATCATGAGCTCCCAGCTCTTCAACTCCCTTGCTGATCTCATCCTCCACAAGGGTTGGAGGCCCAAAATCATCATCATGGACTCTGACAAGCATTTCATTGGTGTCACCAGCCAGAGGTTCGCCACCAGCATAGGAGCCAAGTTGTGTCCATTGGCCCCATATCATCAACAGGCAAACCCAGTTGAATGCCACATCCAAACACTACAACATGTCCTGCGAGCCTTTGCCATGGAGTCTGCAAAAGATTGGGTTGATGTTCTCCCAGCTGCAGAGTTGGCAATCAACTTGACTCCTTCTCTGACAATGGAGCAGACACCCTTTGATCTTGTATACATGGTCCAGCCAGATCCACCCCTCCTTCCATCTGTTTCTAATGTTAACATAGAGGACCACCTCACCATTGCCAAGGCTTGTCTTGACTCTGCTTGGCAGACAATACTTCAACACACAGAGGAGAACAAGCCTTGGTATGATGTGAAACACAAGCCCCTACACAACCTGCATGTTGGAGATTGTGTCTTCATATGCACCAATGATCAACCAGTCCCAGGTGCACAGAGGCATGCCAAACTTGATCCAAAGAAGGTTGGTCCTTTCCCAATCAAGCAAGTTCTTTCTTGCCATTGCTTCAAGCTTGGTTTACCTCCCAACTTGTATTCTGACAATCTCTTTGACACCTCACAGCTGGAACCTGCTCCCAAGGAGCACAACCTGTTTAATCGCTCATTAGACACACCTATCACTATAGACAGTCGAGGTGACATGCATTTTGAGGTTGAAGCCATTGTGGGCCAACAAACCTTCAGGAACTATGTCCAATACTGCATCAAGTGGTGCAGTGATCCACACACCATGTGGGAGTTCGAAGAGGATCTGCTCGAGGATGGCTGCAAAGCAGCTATCTGAGATTGGAACAGCAGAAACACCTCATCATCTGCTGCAATTGCTCACATGCTCAACCCCTCTCTTTGCAAGCATCCCATCGCCTTCATCTCTATGACCACATCCCCAGCTGATGCAAAGCTTCTTGGTCTCGAACTCGAGATCTCCTGCTTGGCATGGGCTTTTCACCACCTCCAACACTTTCTTGAAGGTGTGAGTAAAATCACAGTTGTAACTGATCATGCTCCACTTGGCACAGTCCTTTGAGGCAACTTGCCAAGCTTGCAACAATTCACCCCTCATATCGAACGATTTCAGGCCTATTTGATGCCTTTCCTCAACTTGATGGAGTTTACTCACAAGCCTGGCAAGCATCATTCCAATGTCAACACCCTTTCATGCCTACCAGCCAAACATAGTCTCCCCAGCAACCATCCTTCATAGTTTCACTCAAAGTCTCATTTCATGTACATACAAATCATCTGTTGAGAGGGGGGATGTATTGCACCTATGCTCACCTTGGCCTCTCGGCTGGGATGTTCGCAGTGCAAGGCGAGCTCACTCTGTTGTGACATGCTCATCTTGGTCTCTCGGCCAGGATGTTTGTGGTCAGACAAGATGTCACTCTTCTAGTCACCAAACCTCGCTTCCTTCGAGAATACCATCGATTCACAACCTCATCATATGACTGCGCAGCAGCACAAGAATGTTCCCATCTGCAGCAGAGATGCACCAGTTTCAAGAGAAACTCTGGCGCAATGGCAAACTAGCGGATATAGGCCCCATTCCAGAATACAACACAAATGTATATACACTCTTGGTCACTAATCTCATACTATCAGTGAAAGAAGCATTCACTGGGCCTGACCAGATCCATTGGTGTGAGGCAATCAAAGCAGAGATGGACAGACTTGAGAGTATGCACATCTGGGAGACCATGGATTGGCCCAAGGATATGAACCTCATGGACTCAAAAGTAGTCCTGCAAGTAAAGACAGATGTCAGGGGTCTCGCGCCTGAAACCCAGGTCAGTCTGTCGAGATACTCGGTGACTATCAAACTGTGCGACAGCTATTGTCTCGGTATCGGTGACTATCAAGTTGTGCAGTGACAGCAGGTGGTGTTCGTTGTATATACTATCGTAGGTTTCGGCTGACCTCTGTGGACACTCCGTTCAGGGGTAGCTCGGCACGATCAATATCAAGGTTATGATGACACCAAGGTCTGGTGTGAGTGTCGATGATAATGAGGTTGATGGTGTTGGTGATAAGGTTGGTGGCGTCAACATGAGTGTCCAGTGTGTTGACCTGATGCTTGAAGTGATCCCCGGACTGCAGTGGACTACTGCCTTCGGTTCTATCTTGATCCGGACCGCTAACCTGCTATGGGCGCCTTCGGACGTCAGGTAGTGGTGATACAACACACACACTATGATGAGGAGCAACCTTGATAGATTGCTGCTATGCTGACTGAAACTAATGTATACTTATGCTGAAGTGATAACTAGTTATATGGTGAGTAGAGTGGATGAGGATCCACTCGACCTATGATGATGAGAAAGCATGGTTATATACCTCTACTCAGCATCGCCAGCGATGCTGCTCCTGCTCTCTCTCTCCAGAGAGTACCTTCTTCATTGAGTACTGCTCAGGGGCCTCTCCTGCTTGGCACCCCTGTGCCTCTTGAGCTGTGTCGACTCCTTCGACACTGCTCCTCCTCCTCATGACCTGATGTCAACTCCTTTGACACTGCTCCTCCTCCTCATGACCTGGTGTCGACTCCTTTGACACTGCTCCTCCTCCTCATGACCTGGTGTCGACTCCTTCGACACTGCTCCTCCTCCTTTGATCAGTGACAGTTCCTTTGGCTCTTGTCTCTCGAGCCCCTGAGTGGTAACCATCTGCATGCTCCTTGAGCTTGGTCCTCTTCGTGGCTGTGCCTGCTCCTTGAGCTTGGTCCTCCTCGTGGCTGTGCTTGGCCCTCCTTTGCATGTGAGTCCATAGGAGTCCATGGTCTCCATGGAGACTGCACTATGACCATGCTCTCTACTGATCTCGACTAGATCTTCGATACCTGTGCTCCTTCCATATGAACCCGTGACCCTCCTGCTTCTTGAGCATCCAGGCCCATGACAACAGACACAAACAACATCCCATATAAGTTCAAAGCCAGGTTCTGCATGTGTGGTTTCTCTCAGAAGGAGGGGATAGACTTTGACAAAATCTTTGCACCAGTGGTGCCCAGAGACACTATCTGGACCATTCTCACAATCACAGCCAAGTTCAACTGGGAAGTGGATTCCATTGATGTCACCCAAGCATACCTCAACACCCACCTGCATCACAACATCTACTTGAAACTGCCAGAGGGTGCAGAAGTCCTGATGGGGAAGGTGTACAAGCTAATCAAGAGCCTATATGGACTGAAACAATCTGGCTGGGAATGGCATAAGGAGCTCAACACACACCTACAAAGGCTGGGTTTCTTCCCACTCCTCAACATACCCTGTGTATACCTTAAAGGCACAGGTGCATTGCAAGTGATCATTGCAGTATATGTGGATGACATGCTCATTGTATCCCCACAAAGAGACCAGGTCAATCAGGCAAATAAGGCCATCATTGACAAGTGGAAAATCACTGACAATGAGCCTGCAACAGAGTTCCTCAAGATCAAGATCACACAAGACCAAGAGAAGAGGACAATCAACCTGGATCAGCATGCATACATCAAGGAAATCATAAGGGAGTGGATCCAGCTGCACAAGAAGACATGGACACCAATGGTTCACACCCTGTTGAAGGCAACCAGCAATGAGGAGACAGATGACAAACTGAAGGCCAGATACCCAGTCCTGGTGGGAAAGCTATTATGGATCTTGAATACTGCCCAACCAAATGTCTCATATGCAGTCAACACCCTGGCCCGTCACATGTCCAACCCCACCAAAGGAGCAATGTGTGAAGTATCTGAATCAGACACAAGACAAGGGTTTGAGGCTTGGTGGTGGAAACAAAGATGAGCCACCCATTACTGCCTTCACAGACTCAAACTGGGCCTCTGATCTGAACACAAATAGAAGGAGCATGTTGGGCTCAATCATGTAGGTTTTTGGCAGTGTAGTGACCTGGAGTTCACATGTCCAGAAGTGCATCTTGGACTCAGCCATCAAAGTGGAGTACATGGCAGGATTGGCTGCTATGCATGAGGTGCATTTCCATTGGCATTTGCTATGAGGGCTTGGTTTTGGGGACCACATGCCAATTGTTTTCATGGACAACACTGGATGCATCCAAGTTGCAAAGGACCAGGTGTCATGGGCCTGAATGCTCAAGAAGCAGGAGGGTCACTGGTTCATATGGAAGGAACACAAGTATCGAAGATCTAGTCGATACCATTAGAGAGCATGTGCAGTCTCCATGGAGACCATGGACTCCTACGGACTCACATGCAAAGGAGGACCGAGCCATATGCAAGGAGGGCCAGGCACAGCCACGAGGAGGACCAAGCTCAAGGAGCAGGCACAGCCACAAAGAGGACCAAGCTCAAGGAGCATGCAGATGGTTACCACTCAGGGGCTCGAGAGACAAGAGTCAAAGGAACCATCACCGGTCAAAGGAGAAGGAGCAGTGTATAGGGAACCGGCAAGCAGGTCCTGAGGAGGAGGAGCAGTGTCGAAGGAGGAGGAGCAGTGTCGAAGGAGGAGGAGCAGTGTCGAAGGAGGAGGAGCAGTGTCGAAGGAGTCGACACCAGGTCCTGAGGAGGAGGAGCAGTGTCGAAGGAGTCGACACCACTCAGGAGGCACAAGGGTGCCAAGCAAGCAGGATAGCAAGGAGGAGGAGCAGTGTCGAAGGAGTTGACACAGCTCAAGAGGCAAAGGGGTGCCAAGCAAGCAGGAGAGGCCTCCTGAACAGTACTCGATGAAGAAGGTACTCTCTGGAGAGAGAGCAGGAGCAGCATCACTGGCGATGCTGTGAAGAGGTATATAACCATGCTTTCTCATCATCAAAGGTTGAGTGGATCCTCATCCACTCTACTCACCATACAACTAGTCAATACTTTAGAAACATAAGTACTCATTAGTTACAGTCAGCATAGCAGCAATCTATCAAGGTTGCTCCTCATCATAGTGTGTGTGTTGTATCACCACTACCTGATGTCCGAAGGTGCCCCATAGCAGGTTAGTGGTCCAGATATAGATAGAACTGAAGGCAGTAGTCCACTGCGGTCCAGGGATCACCTCAAGCATCAGTCAACACACTGGACACTTGTGTTGATGCCACCAACCTTATCACCAACACCATCAACCTCATCATCATCAACACTCACACCAGACCTTGGTGTCATCATAACCTACACATTGATATTGATCATGCTGAGCTACCCCTGAACAGAGTGTCCACAGAGGTCAGCCAAAACCTACGATAGTATATACAATGAACACCACCTGCTGTCATTGTGCAACTTGATAGTTGCTGAGCAACTAGCTCATCAAGACCAACACTGAGACAATAGCTGTTGCACAGTTTGATAGTCACCGAGTATCTCGACAGACCGACCTGGGTTTCAGGCGCGAGACCCCTGACACCAGGCACTCCACTTGAGGCTCAAACACATTGACACAAAGTATCACCTCATCCAAAATCATGTCCTGGAGCATGACATTATCATGTGATACATTAAGACCAAATACAACAATATGGACTACCTCACTAAGCCAGTGTCCCAACACCTCCTCATGCACACCCAGAAATGTCTTGGTATGGTGGACCTCAACTCCTGTGACTGTTCAGTATGCAAGGGGGACAGTGAAATCACATGACTGCATGTTCATGCTCTAACATGACCACAAACTTCACTTGGCATCACCACCTGTCAACTCCCACCAATGCTCAACATCACCCACCAACACCCCTATCTTATCTGAGAATGGTACACCCTCATATGTGTCACCTCTTCTACATACACACATTGATTGACAGTAGAGGCATATATATACTCATGATATCCCTTTGTATCTAGCTCTTTGAAGAATGCTAACAAATTCGCTGCTTGCTTGACCACCCTGATTGTGCTTTCCTCAACAAGGCCAACATGCTACAGATCCGAGTGAGCGAAGGCGGGGAAGATGTGAGATCGAACTAGAGCTCACATACTTTTACTTTAACCCTTTCCAGAAAGAGAGGCGGTGAATAAAAAGAAAAGGGAGAAAGAGAGAGAGAGAGAGAGAGAGAGAGAGAGAAAGAGCGCGCGCGATGTTTCTGCGTTTCGGTCGCTCCACGTCCGAGCATTGCTCCTGTTTTTCCGCATTGCTCACTCTTGCGCATCCTCCACTGTCACTCTCATCATCATCTACCTGATCACCACCTTCAACAACGCAATCTTGACCTCTATCGAGCCATCAAACGACGAACAGCATTTCGCAGGACTGTATCGGGCAAAGACTAAGCATCTGGATCGCAATCTCCAACAACTCATTTCAACGTGCAGAACAGCACATCATCACGCTCAAGACCGAGTGCTACAACAGCACAGCTTCGACAAGCAAAACAGCTTTGGAGAACGACGCAGAAGGCGGAAAGAGAGCAGCGCAACAAGGCTTGGAAAGCAAGAAGAGTCATAATGTCGAAAGACGGGAAGCACGAGAAGCACGGGAAGTACGGAAAGCACGAAAAGCCCGAAAACCACGAAAACCACGAGAAGCTGGAGAAGCACGAGAAGCTGGAGAAGCATGAGAAGCACGAGAAGCATGATAAGCAAGAAAAGCATGATAAGCAAGAAAAGCAAGACAAGCAAGAAAAGCAAGAAAAGCAAGAAAAGCAAGAAAAGCAAGAACCTACTTACGAGGATTATCTCGAACGGTAAGTTTTCCCCCTTCACAACCTCAACCCCCCTAAGCTGCCGCTACGTCAAGCCAGGTTGGGCAGAAACTGACAGGTTTCTCACCGTCTCCACTCTATGATGGCCCTTCGGTCTCTGGACGGGGATCGACATTAACAGAATCCACTATAGCGACAAATACAACGATGATGAATGGGAATACAGGTATGCCCACAACCGCTTCTATCACAGGCTCGTATCTACACACACTAACCCACCTCGATTCCCTGCTGCATCTGTGGTTTTTTGGTTGTGGTAGGCATGTGATTTTGCCCAAACCAATGCTCAAACTTTTCCCAGAGTCCTATTTCGATCCTTCCGAACCCGGTGTTTTGCGCATTTTATCCGTAAAGGAATGGAGAGATATTGGGATCAACCAATCAATGGGTTGGGAACATTACGAAGTCCATGCTCCCGAACCTCACATTTTACTTTTCAGAAGAGAGAAGGACTTTTCGGTAAAGGTAAGGTAGTCAACTGCTTCCCTTTCATGACGGCAATGCCTACTACACAGAGGAACGGGAAAATGAGCGAATCAGCAAGGTGGAACTCAGGGTTTGAGATTGCGGGCAGAATCGATACTGACCCAAATTAACTCCGTTCTCTCGTTCTCTTTCTTTGCGATCTTGTGCCTTCCAACAGTATCGAGAACAGATCGAAGCATATAAAGCCCAGATGAAAGCAGAACGAGCGCAGTTCGAAGCAGAACAAGCCGCAATCAAAGCAGAACAAGCCGAGGTCGAAGCAAAACAAGCAGAGATCAAAGGCAACAGCAACAGCAACAGCAACGCACAGCAGGCGAATGGGAAAAAGTAACCTTGCACCTCTGCACGCATTCGAAAGGCGCGAGATGGCGGAAAGCGCAAAAGCTCGTTCGAGGCAGTTAGTGACATTTTTCATGTATTCGCAACGATTTCCAAAGTCATATTCCAGCGTTACTGATGCGTCAAGTGAGTCGAGAGTACGATGTGTATCAAAGAAAGCGTGCAGTACACCAAAGAGCATTCCCCCCCCCCCCTTTGCTCCGTTCTCATTGCAGTCACTCCTCTAAACCTCCGAAAGTATGGGTAGACCCAGCAATACTAGGACTGGAATCGCAATACTCACTGGCACCTGCAATGCTCGTACCATCGTTGAACGTCGGCATGGCACTAGGTGCGGGAGAGGGCGTACTGCTTGATCTCCTCTTGCCGTTTTCCGCATCCATTCCGCCGGCTGTGGGGGAATCGTGTGGGTTTGTTGAAGCAGATGAAGCAGATGGTGATGCATGACCGTTTGTTGCTCCGCTTAGGGATCTAGTCAAGGTGCAGTTCGAGGTGGGTAGGGGGGGAGGAGCGTATGAGGGAACTCGAGATTGTTGTGGTAGGTTGCGATGTTTGATTGCAGTTCTGCGATTGGGATTGGGTGAGGAAGAGCAAGAGGTGCGACCGAAAGTTGTGTTTTGGTGCTTGTCAGGGGTCACTCGTCTAATTCCTAGACCAGGATTAGTGGTGGAGGTGGTGGTGGTGGCTCGATCGGTCGCATACCCCTCCTCTTCCTCCTCGCGATCATTATCATGATCAGGGCAAGTAGAGGAGGGGTGGAGGGGAAAACGAGATTGTTTCTGCAACCTAGCACTAGCGGCTGCAGCTACTGCTCCTCCCGCACCACCATTCCTCGTAGTCGATCTGGGCGGAACAGGAAGTGACGATGTAGAAGAAGCATATTTGCTATCATTCGAAACCTCGTTCGACCGCTGCCCACCTGCACCATTACGACGATCCAAGACTGTAAGCATGCTATCTGCACTTGTCTCGCCTCCATTCACAGCTGGCTTTAATGGCATTCTGGCGATATTGCCGTTCGCGTAGAGGGTTATTGAATCTTGCTCCTTGGATGTTTGAGAAGCGTTTTCTAACGATACCTTGTTGAGCAAGGAACTGGATCTAGCACTTGGAATCACCGTTGCTACCGCAACTGCACCTTGCGAAGCGATGCGGCGACAAGTTGCACTCGAGCGTTGCAACTCGCTCTTGTTGGCATTCTTGAGTGCCGCTACTAGGGTGGCTGCATGTCCAGAGTCTCTCGAGTCAGGGCCGGGTGAGGTGTGGCTCGTTTCACCGGTAGAAATGGATCGAGCAGAGATGGTGGAAGGAGTAGCCCAACCAGATCCGGAACCTGATTCTTGTCTGGAACGTGGACTGCGATCTGCATACTCGCTCGCATTGGCTTGTTGTTGCGTCGTCAAATCGTCTAATCGCATAGATCGAACTCTTGCAGCCACTTTGTCTGTCGACCTTGCAGCCGGATTGGGACTAACGCATCTCTTTCTTGGCACATGGTCGAAGCTCCTATTTGCCAACTTGTAGTCGACGTGCAATGGTTCATCGTAGACACCTGTGCTTGAGGGGGAAGGTCTCAACCAAGCCTTGAGGGTTTTCTTGGATTTATGGCTTCTAATGGAACCATTAGCATTTGCTTCGGCGGCGATCGACAAGGCACCTGCATCCTTGTCTCCTGATGCTGGTGACGGTAACTGTTTGGAGCTAGCCTTCTTAACCTTGTCGGCACTCAAAGCAGCACCAAACCTCGGTGCAGCAGCTATGCCTCTGCCGGGCACTAGATCTCCATAGACAACCTTGACATTGCTGGTGATAGCATCGCATGCGGCTGCCTGCTCGGCCTGATGTTGCAAATAAAACCTCTTTCTGGGGGACAAGTCATGCTCGATCCTACACAACCATTTCTCAGCAAACTGCCGATGTCCTTGATAGTCCCAAACTCCATCGAACATAGCCCTCACTCGGCCATGGTGATCTATGATAAATGTACATCTACCATCTATCAAGCCGAACAAGGCTCTGCCGACCCCCCAGGTGTTCATAATCTGACGGTTCTCGTCGTGCAATATTGTAAAGGGCAAATCATGTTGGTCTACGAAGCGTTTGGACCGAGAAGGAGGATCTTGGGAGATACCGATGACTACTGCATTGAGGTCGTTGAAGACTGGTGAGGTTCCAAGGGCATCGCGGAAGGAACAAGACTGTTTGGTGCAGTGAGGCGAACCGGCTAGGGGGAAAAAGTAGAGTACGATCGGTCGTCCGAGTGCGATGGTGGAATGCAGCGAGACTGTTCGGCCGAGATGATCCTTTGCGATGATTTCGGGGGCGAGGTGGTTGATGAGTGGCGATCCGCCTTCTTTCGCGGGGATTTTGAGCGCAGAGCCGGCGGCGGTGAGCATGCTTCGTTCGCCAGCGATGGGGAACGCTCCTACTCGCGGGAGAAGGGGCATCCTGGCTGGCTGGCTGGCTGGCTGGCTGGCTGGCTGGCTGGGGGGATATTGTCGGATGTGCTGAGATGAAGCCACAATCGCCTATTCCCACGGTCGGTCAGACTGCGATCGAACCAAAGCCGAGGGCAGAATCACTTGGAAAGCATGTGAGAAGGATGCTGACTAGCAGGGGTTCGGATGTGCCGGCGCTGCGTTCTTATACCAGACACAAGCCAAATGCGCTTTCTATGGAATCCGAGCCTAACTATCGGGCTAAAGTCCGAATCTTACCAAAGCAATAGTCTCCTTTATTCTCCTTCCGAAGCCAGGCGGCGTTGTATGATGAAAGGCGGCAAGACGGCAAGGCGGCAGGACGGCAAAGCGGCAAGACGGCAAGACGGCAAGACGGCAAGACGGCAAGACGGCAAGACGGCAAGATGGCAAGATGGCAAGATGGCATGACCAAGACAAGAGAGCCTTTCTCAAGAGGCTCCAACGAGGGGGCGGGACTCGGTGAAAAGAAGACTGCTGCTGCTGCTGCTCAATGATGCAGGTACACCGCAGACACCAGCAACGGCAAGCCAAATCTTGTTTCGAACCTCGCCCTCGTGACTCTGGCTTCTTTTCAAAGGCCTTGCTCCAGCAGCCTTTCTTCTGTACCAACTCAGCCACGCCTATACTGAGTTTGGGCCGTCCAGGAACTTGCTTTCAACCCCCCGCAACCCACCTTGGACCAGTGATGGCAGGACTTGATCTCATACAAGCCAGAGCATGGGTTCAAGGGAAAATGCTGACGTCTACATGACGTCTACACAATGCCAGACAAAGGTTTCAGATGTTTCGCTTCAACTTTGTGACACTGCTGTTTCGCCGCTGAACAGAGATTCGACTGCGTCGGTCCTTCAATTTGCCTTTTCATGGTGCTTTTGCACTTTCCATTCGAACAACCCAAACCAGCAGCAGAGCAAATCGGGAGATCTGCGAAAAGATCGATCCTCATCCAGGCTGGATTATATTATTATTATTATTATTTTGGTGAGGTTGTGAGACCTCGCGATCGCACATGCTCGAACTTGGCCAAAAATCTTGATTCTCGCCGACACCGCACTATCTGAAGTGCCAGCTGCCAAGCACCTTTTCACGAGAAGACATCATCGTCACAATCAGTGCTTCAGTGAGCGAGACGAAAAGAGTGCAGTGCAGTAGGAAAAGGAGTTGCTTTTTGGGATTCCAACACCACCTCTCTCGGTCGGTGTGGTATGAGACAAGTAGTAGTATACAGCAGCAATTACGCTATCCAAGGGAAAAAAAAAAATAATAAGACCCTAGGGAAATACAAATAGGACCAAGCAAGAGCCGACTGGACCAAGAAGAAGCCATACCCGGAAACAGTGTCCATGTCATCAGCGGGCCCCGGCCAAAGATATGACGGGCCCGAAGCTAATGATGTTGTAAAGCATCCTCACTTGCTCAAGCGCCTAGTCTAAGACCACCATGAGATTGGGACAACACCAGCATCGAGGCCTCCGAGCTGCTGGAAAGCGCCAACGGAAAGGTCGAGAGAGCCCCAAGAGCAAGTAGGGCAAGTGTCGGCGACGGTAGCTTCGATCGTCTTTCCGTTACCCTGAATCCACACCTTCTGACCGCACATTCCGCTGTTCATCTGAGCAGAGTTGACAGCAACAATGGGGGTCTGGTCGTTGTGGTACTTTCCGCACGAGCCTGGGTTGCCGTTCTGTTGTACAGAGGAGATGGTGGTAGCAAGCGAAGAAAGTCAGTACATGGTTTATAGATGACGAGAAATGATTACCGCCGACGGAAACCAAGTATGACCGATGTGGGTGTCGAATGAAATCAACTCGTCCTGGGTGGTGGGTGGCAATACGTACCTGGTAGTAGTAAGTAGCTTGACCGGAACCGCCAGCTCGCTTCTGAGCGGGGGCAGCAGCGACGGCGGAGACAGCGGCGAGAGCCGAGACAGCGAGAGTGGTGAACTGCATTTTTGTGTATGTGTAGAGAGTGTGGGACTCGGAAAGTGTGTCTAAAGAGTTGGTATGGAGTGTGAGAGAAAGTGTTTTGGTGAGAAGAAAAGGATAGTAGGGGTAGATAAGCTGGTCGAATTTATACCATTCGACACGTCCTCCCACAGGTACGCCAGGGATGTTCAGCAAGCTACGAGGTAAGCTCTACCAGATCCACAGTCAGATCTCGATGCTGTAGGAACATCTGCTGGTGTAGGAACACAGTCTAGCGACGACCTAGCGAAACCAACACCAGCTGCAGTCTGCAACCAAAAAAAAAAAAGAAAAAGAAAAAAGTTTTGTACAGCGACGTCAGCACAACGATCGCATACGGTACAAGTTAAAAAGTGGGGTGTCCAACTGACCCACCAAGCTGGGCAGAGAGAGACATTTGCGGACCTCGCTCGGTGTAAGAGTGCAGGCATACACCGGCATGACAAACACCAAACGGCAGCTTGTCAACGAGGGTACATGCCACCAACCCTCAACTTTCTTCACACCTGCTCAGCCTGTGCCATTCGGCGCCGGATCTGAAACGATGAGTGTTAACCTGCCTGTCGAATTTGCCATTACCATTGGCGGGCTTTGTTCTGAAGATCGACACCAACTTCAAGCAGAGCTTCTCGGAAAGCGCGGCGAGGCGTTGAACATTCATCAATGTGCAGAAGCGAGCATCGGAGCTAGCATCTACACATCCCTGAAATCCACGACCGGACCGGAACCCAAGGCGAACTCATCCGGCTGCAGATTGCAGAGCATCGAGAAGAAAACCAAAGCTTGCGAGTGAGTGGATGACGTTGAAAAGGAAAGGGCCTAAATTTGGCAGGTGGTGACCACCCTCGAAATTGTCTTTGGTTGGGTGTGGGTGTGGGTTCAGGCGCAAATTCTTCATACCAAAGAAAACCCGAAAGAAAAACCACAAAAAGAAAAAGAAAAAGAAAAAGAAAAAAAAAAAAAAAAAAAAAAAAAAAAAAAAAAAAAAGAAAAGGAGGGAAATTGAAGATCTTGGTCGCACGGTGCTGCTATGTTCCCGCTTCAGACCGGTGGGCCGCAGCATGGTTCTTACTCTTTGCACTCTTCAACCAGGTCGATCCGCGACTCAGTTGTGCAACACCACTTGTCTGACCGAGTAGAATCGAAGGCTTGCTTGCGGCAGTGCGACAACCAAGAGAGAGAGGCACACGGACTAGCCGTGCCATCTAGAGAAGCTATCATCCAACAGCCACGCGGTACACACCCATTCCATGTGGTCGATCCAAAGTCTCACTGGCACTTTTTTCGAGTCTTATTGTGCCTATGATTGCTTGCAAACCGGCGCGGGAGGGACATGATCACTTTCGCTTCCATTGTATTCGCACGAGGCGCAAGAAGTGCAGAAGGCTGAAAACATGTCTCAGAAGATCGTTCTCCTTTTGCTCGCGTGGACTAGGGTGGAAAGCATGATGACCAATCCCCAAGTTTGGACAAGCACCCCAGTTTCACCTCCATCTACCCGACCGACCTACCGCAGCACCTTGGGCCTGCTCAGCATCTGCTCGCAGTAAAAAATGCCCGTGACTGAAAGCTCGGTTGGAAATTCAAGGGGGGTGACAGTTGATCGCTGGACCTTGCTCCCTTCCTTACACTCTAAAGCTGAGGTTCGATGCGGGTCGGTAGCGTCCCAAGGGCAATTCGATATTCTGAGAGCATCGAGTTCAACATCTCTCGCCTCGGGTGTTTTTTTTGAGGGGACGATGTTGATGCACCGAGAGTGATCTTGAGATAAGGTGAATACTGTGTGTGAGATTTCCCCGATCGGCTTTCGTTGATGGCCGGTTTTCTGTGTCTGAATTTGGAAGCGACATTCCTGTTGCAGAATTTCCTCGAGTTTTTCGAAAGAGCATGTTGCGCTCTAACAAGCTTTGAAGAGGAGCTTGAGATCTAGAACCGTTTTCCCACAGATCTCCGAGTCCCATCGGCAAAATCGGGTTGAGATCGCACCCAACCTGCTAGTCAGATCGGAACATTGAGGAGCCAATCGACTGTCAACGGATCGGATCGACGGCGGCTCTGACACGATGCCAAAGGGCGAGATTGCTGATCGATTGCTGAGAGAGGAAGTGCGCAAAAGGAGAAGAAAGGCGTCGTGGTCGTCGTGGTCATCGTGGTCATCGTGGTCGTCGTGGTCGTCGTGGTCGTCGTCTCTCTTTCTCTCTCTCTTCTCAGCGCTTTGAAGCTGTTGGGATGGGATGGGATGGGATGCGACGCGACGCGATGTGATGTCAACTTGACAGTCGAAATCTAAACTATCGATTTGTACAGCGGCTGTGAGCCTTTCGGCCGGTAAGGTAGCCAGGAAAAGAAAAACAACCGAGGCCAAGGAGGAGAAAAGTTCCATATTGGAGCTGGGCCCCTTTTTACCTTTATTTTTCTGGCAACACACAGGCTGCTATGTGACGAGCTACGGTCCCTTATGAGGCTGAGCAAGGCCAAGCGTGAAATCAGGGTCGGGTCTTTGGGCAAAATCGCATGGCAACCGTCAGTCAATCGTGTCTGGCTGGCTGACTGGCTGGCTGACTGGCTGGTTGGCTGGCTGGCGAGTCTCGTCGCTCAGATCGCCTCTATCGCTACACTTGCACTTTGCTACTCCTTGCCCTTGCTCCTCATCCTTCCTCGCCTCCCTCCTACTGTCGTCGTCTCATTTCCCTCCCATTCTTGTCAACCTCGCTTTCCGGCTCTTCATCCGCACTCCTCCTTCTCTCTCTTCATCGTCTTTTCTGCACCACCATCCTGAGACACGCACCGCCGCTATTGTCAACATAGGCAAGCGTTCATCTCGCACACCACTCCTGCCTCGACTTGATTTGCATACCACCTCGTTCGAGCCGCAACGCCATTCTGCAAAGGCCTCGTCTGACCTCGATCCCACACCACTCGCTTCCATCGCCATTCATCGCGGCAGGACCGTTGACAGAGGGTTGTAGGAAACAGCGACACCTCGCTTGATCTATAGCTTTTAACCATCCTCGTTACCACTGCAAACACCAACGCTCCGCTCTTCTCCTCCCAGCAGCCAGTCAAACTCCGCTTCCATTCCATACCATTCCGCGCGCTTGAAAGCGTCGCAACCTCACCATCATGGCCGCCCCAGCAACCTCGGGGCATGCCTTTCATCATCGCTTTGATGCCCTCCCCGACAAGGAAGCCAACCCAACCGCAAAGGACAATCCACGCTTGAGCTCCGAAGGCTTCTCCTATCCTGACCTCGATGCTCGCCACTTGTACTCGTCCGCTTCAAATCACTCTGGTGCTGCTGCCCCCGCCCCAGCCATGTCCAAACTGCCAGACTTCCCCGAGTTCAAGGGCTTCGATGACCGATCCGAACTCTTCCAGAACAACAACTTCTTTCAGCAGTACGCACCTCATCCTGCCGCCTCGGCTGCTTTGGTCGAGCCTCAGTCCGCACAGATCGAGGCAAGCCCCTCTTCTGAACAGCTCACCTCTACATCCCCAGCAGCGCACCAAGATGCCTCGGCACAGTCTGTAGTCCCAGCTGCCGAGCCGCAGCAGCCTCTCGCCCAAGCAGCACAACTGGCACCGACATCAGCGCAACATCAGCACAACCACCACCACCAGCCATTGCCGCAGCAACCAGCAGCAGAGTTGTACCAGCAGCCACAGCTCGAGCCTCTTTTCTCCTCGGCCAGCTCGTATGCCCAGCAGCCCTCTTTGCAAAACAGCAGCGAGTCGCAAGCTCCTTCCCACCACTCGCATCACTCGCATCACTCGCACTCCAGCCATCGCAGTCCCCTCCCCAAGCCTCCAACTCTGCCATCCTCGCCCCCCTCACAGTCCGCACACACCAACGGTGGCCCTTTCGCACCAGGATCGCCATCGCGCAACCCTCTGTCGCAACCAGGAGCCAACTTTGCCTTTGCCGGACATCAAGCTCGACCTGCATCCCAGCAGCCTCCGCATGCCATGTCACCACAACAGCAGTCCCCACAGACAAATCCAGATTCGCTGCCCATGGCTGCACTTCGCCTCAACGATGGAGAGCGTTCCACTGATCACCATTCCACTGATCACCATTCCACTGATCACCATTCCACTGATCACCATTCCACTGACGACCGCGCCGAGAATGAGGACTCCATCCGACCTAGCAGCTTCTTTGGTATGCAGAGACCCGCTGCAGCGCTCAACGCAACCGGTCACCAAGTGCCTGTCCCTGCCAGTATGCTTGCTGACCATGATGGCTTCTACCAGGATCAGCAGCACCTTGACCAGGCCAACGCTCTCGCTCAGCCTCAGCCTCAGCCTCAGCAACGCAACCAGGATGCCATCAACCAAGGTCCCCGCCCTTCCTCCTTCTTCGGTGTGGAAGGCGACTCGGCTTCCAGCCTGCCATCCGATTCGGCTGTTGCACAGACACCTGCCAGCCATGTTGGCGCACCAGGAACGCCTCGATCCTCCTTCCGCGCTGATATCGCTCCCCGAGGCATCTCCACCGCTGCCGGCGGCACAGGCAATGGTCCCATGCCATCCTCGGGCGGATTTGGTGGTCTCGGCCCTGCAGGCACCAACCGTCCTGCCAGCATCGCTCCCTCCGTTGCAAGCGGTCCACTGCTCGACCACAGCCATCTCAAGGTTGGCCAGAAGGCTTCCTTGCTCAGTCACGGAAAGACGCTTGAGCTCTACCGCCAGAATGCAAAGAAGACCAACGACCCCAACTTGATCTACGAGCTGGCTGTCTTTATGATCGACGCTGCCAAGACGATGGGTACCGAAGAAGAAGGCAACGCTCCTCCCACCGCCCTCAACGGACCCAACAAGGTCGACACGCAGAAGGAGGAACTTACCAAAGAGGCCACTGGTCTGCTCAAGAAGATTGCTGATCGTGGTCATCCCGATGCGCAGTACTTCTTGGCCGACTGCTACGCCAACGGTATCGGCACACGCACAGGTAAGCAAGACTTTGGCCAGGCATACACCTACTTTGTACTCGCTGCCAAGCACGGTCATCCTGATGCTGCTTACCGTGCCGGTACATGCTACGAGAAGGGTTGGGGATGTCGCAAGGACGCAGGCAAGGCGCTTCAGTTCTACCGCAAGTCAGCTGCCCAAAGCCATCCCGGTGCCATGTACCGCCTCGCCACTGCTGAACTCAACGGCGAACTTGGTCTCAAGAAGAACGCCAAGGAAGGCGTCAAGTGGCTCAAGCGTTCTGCCGAAGCTGCTACACCCGAGTTCCCGCATGCACTTCACGAGCTCGCTCTGCTCCACGAGCGCGGTATCGACAACGTCCTCTTTGTTGACCCCGAATACAGCTGTGAGTTGCTTGCACAGGCTGGAGAGATGGGCTATGCTCCGAGTGCCTACAAGCTTGGTGTCAACTACGAGTACGGTCGCATGGGCTGTCCTCAGGACGGAGGTCTCAGTATCCACATGTACAACATTGCTGCTCAGCAGAATCACAAGGAGGCCTGCTTTGCCCTCACGGCATGGTATCTTGTTGGTGCTCCCGGAATCTTGCCTCAATCCGACACGGAAGCTTACCTGTGGGCCAAGAAGGCGGCTGAGCAAGGTCTCGCTAAGGCTGAATACGCAGTTGGCTACTTTACAGAGATGGGCATCGGCACTGTCAAGGATCTTGCTGAAGCTAAGGCTTGGTACAAGAGGGCTGCTGACCACGGCGACAAGCGCGCCAACCAGCGTGTTGCTGCATTGCAAGGTCATGGTGGTCCGACTGGTCTCGCTGATGCCAATGCCGCTGCTCCCGTCAACCGTCAACAGCAGCGTATGGAGCAGAGGCAGGAGCAGCGCCAAAGCATGCACGAGTTTGGTCGACGCGCTCAGCCTACCTCGGCACCTTTCCCTGCCAGTGTCACGCAGAGCTCCATGACACCGAGCACCCAGATGAGCTATCCTTCGCCGCTTGCCATGCGAGAAGCACAAACAGCGCAGCGCCAAGAGCAGTACATGGCCAATGTTGCTGCCAACGAGCGTGCACAGGCACGTGCGATGCTCCCACGCTCGCCATCGCAGCAAGAGTTTGGCTCTCCTATCTCTGCAGGCTCGCCTACCACGGGCTTGCCTCGTCCACCTTTCATACCAACACCTCAGCATCAGCAACAGCTGCAGTCGCCACAAGCGCAGCCATCGCAGCCATCGCAGCCATCGCAGCCACAGATGCCGTTCTCGCAGCCGCAAGCGTATCCTTCCTACCCGATGAGCGCAAGCACTGCTCCTCGGCAGCAACACGCAAACGGACCTCAGGGGCCTCACAACCCATTGTTGCCTCCTGGGCCTCCCGGATCTGGACCTGGACCTGGACCTAGTCCGCAGTACGCTGCTCGTCCTGGTATCGGTCCCGGCGGTGGTTCTCAAGGCGGACCGGGATACGGTCCCCCTCCTCCCGATTCTGCCGCTCCAGCAAAAGCTGATTTGGGTGATGACGGCAAGAAAAAGAAGAAAGGCTGGTTTGCAAGGTCCTAATCCTCACACCGCTCTTGGCTTTTGTAGAAAGAGACAGTCGAATCTGTCTCACGCACCATCTCTCTCATTCGAGACTCTGTCTCTCTCTCTCTCTCTCTCTCTCTCTCTCTCTCACTCACTGCACATCCCCCAGTCGATGTCTGTTTTCCACACATGTTGGTATTTTTGTTTGAACAATTCCTTTCTGATGCCTTGTTGTGATTGCGTTTGCTGTTTGTGTCCACTTGTCCGCTGCTGTGAAGTGCGTGTTCGGATTGCGCTGCGACTGTGTGAGCGTTGAAAAGGAAGGATCTTGTGAGATGAATGCGTCTCTGCTGATGCCTTTCAACAACATTGCTTCCTGTGATGCTGCTGGACTACTTGCCATCGCGAAGCATAATCCTGAGTCCCAAAATCGGCCAACCTGTCCATTGCGACTGCTGGTCTTAATTGAAAATTAGACACCCGTGCATCTCTCACCATGATGCCAACGTTTGCCAAGCTTTGTTGATCTCTATAGCAACCATGTAGCAACTAAGTATGTCTAGTCTCCGGTATAGGTTCAGCCAAAACACTGGACAGATCGACCTCTTTATCCTTTTCAACATCCAATTGACCCACCAAAGATATACCATCTCCTCTTAAAATGTACAAGCCTAAGGGAAGCTCTTCTACTCCTTGATCAGAACTGAATATTCTTTCCACCGAATTTGCTAAGATGATACTACCCACGGAGTCGGAGCCCTTTAGAAGACCGACTATGACCCGGCCATCTTGGGTGATAACGAGGACGGTTTGGTTGTGATATTGTTGGATGGCGGACATCCTTGCTACTACCAGGCTGCACCTGTGCGACAGGCAAGAGGTGTGGCTTGAAGAGCAAAGGTTTCGGATGTAGCCCTCTTGGGGTGAAGCCAGATCGGACCTCGATGAGGCAAGAGGGTAGATTGGACTATGTGCTGAGAAGCATGGACTTGGTGTGGCTGATGCGGTGGGTGCAAGGGTTCGTTCTGAGCAAACAGATGTCTCGTGGACTTGCTCGATTTGACCTCTTGGACCCGATGAGCTTCTAATCGTGCTGAGCAAGGTCGAGCGGAGGTCTGTTCTGTAAACAACTGCTGGTAGGTTGGAGATGGGTGATCGATGGTGGTGACAATGTTGCTCCAAGAGGATGCAAGAGTCCTCAGAAGTGGACAACATCACGGGTCACGTGCAGCCAACTTGAATCGGAACTCGGGAAATTGTTTTTAGAGAGCAAGATGTCAGATTCCAGATTCCAACAATGGTTAGAGATGATGATCTCGGATTTGGGCGAGATGAATCGCTTTCGGAAGAATGTGGAATGGAATTGCAACAAATGCGAATGGATCATCGACACAAAGGACCTCAACAACAGCTACCGTCGTCCTTGTTGGCTTCACGATCGACATCACCATCCTTCTCGATTCGGCAGCAGCATCAGAATAGTAGCAGCTACAGGAATGCTCGTCTCTCGTAGCGTTTGTGCCGCTGCGGCGTCGATGCGCACCTCGATCGCAGCTCGTTCATCGCTGATGAGGACCGCCGCTGCATTCACGACCGGCACCAGCACATCATCACCATTCGCAGCTCGCTCTGCTACAACGTTCGACCAAATCGGAAAACGCACCTTGTTCACCCGCACACCACCAACGCCCTTGGCTCGCACCAAGCAGTTCATCTACCTCGTCTTTGCCCTTGCAGCTGGTACATTTGGTATCGCCTACTATGCCGATTCTCGATCTGCCATTCATCGCTGGATCGTAATCCCTGCTCTCAAGGCTTTTGCTGATCCTGAATCGGCACAGAAGCTAGCGATCAAGGTGCTCGAGACTGGCTTGGCTCCTCGCGACATGGTCGATGATGACGCCGTGCTCGAAACCGAGCTCTTTGGCAGGAAGCTTTCCAACCCCATCGGCCTTGCAGCTGGATTCGACAAGCAGGCAGAAGCCATCGATGGCCTGCTCGACCTTGGTTTCGGCTTTATCGAGATCGGCAGTGTGACACCCGAGCCCCAGCCTGGTAACCCTCTACCTCGTTACTTCCGTCTGATCGAGGACAACGCCTGCATCAACCGATTTGGCTTCAACTCGCAAGGTCACAATGTCATCCTCAATCGTCTCAGAGACCGTATTCGACGATGGCTGCTTCACCCTTCCAGTGTAGCAAGCTTGCAAGATGCTCTTGTTGCGCACCCTGACTCGGCTAGAGCTGATGCTAGACAGTTGATTGCAACGCATCCCAAGAGCACTTCTGCCTTTGTCGATGCTACCGACCTGCCACGAAGTTTGCGACCTGCCAAGATGCTTGGTATCAACCTGGGCAAGAACAAGGAAAGCCCAGAGGAAAGTGTCCAAGACTACATCAAGGGTGTCCAGCGTCTCGGTCCTTATGCGGATATGATCATCGTCAATGTCAGCAGTCCCAACACTCCTGGCTTGCGTCGATTGCAGCGTCGAGACGTGCTGCAAGACTTGCTCACCAAGGTGGTCAACGCTCGCGACGGAATGGAGCAGTCTCATCTTGGTTTCTCGAACAAAAAGGTGAGCGTGCCACTGCTTGTCAAGATCGCTCCGGATCTCAGCGAGGAGGAACTGCAGGATGTGGCTGATGCAGCACTCAAGAGCGGTATCGATGGATTGGTGATTAGCAACACCACCATCTCTCGTCCTGCTACGCTTCGATCCTCGGAGAATGTGCGGGAGACGGGTGGTCTCTCCGGTCCTCCTCTCAAGCCGCTCGCTCTCAAAGCGTTGACCATCGTCAACCAACGTCTGCAAGGTAAGCTCCCCATCATCGGTTGTGGTGGTATCGCTTCTGGTCAAGATGCACTCGACTATGCCAAGGCAGGTGCCAGCGCCATTGAGCTCTACACTTCGTTCGGCTACCAAGGTGTTGGTCTACCCCGTCGTATCAAAGACGAGCTGGTCGAACTTTTGAAAGCGCAAGGCAAGACCTGGAAACAAGTCGTCGGCACCGGTTTCGATGTCTCGAAAACGTATAGCTCCACGCCCAACGCCGGCGAAACTGCCACCGGCTTCCACCCACTCAGCGATGCTGCCTTCGAAAAGAGCGTTGCTAGCGTCAAACTCGAACTCCAAGGTCTGCGTGAAAAATGGGCCGAGGAAAGGCTAGAAAGCTTCCTTCCCACACGAGAATCGGATGCTAGCTACTACGACTTGATCGAAAAAGCACACTCTGCTTTGGGACTCGAATTTGCTGCTCCCTCTCCCACTGCGCCAAGCAAGGATGAGAAAGCAACAGCGGGAGAGAAGCAGGTGGCAAAGGCACACGAGTTGCTACACGAAGCTAAGCAGGTGCCCAACATCAAGTTGGAGATCAAGGAAAAGACCAACAAGCTCTTTGGTGATTCAAGAGCGGCTAAGGTGTTGCAAGCAAACGAGAATGCCGCCAATCGGGATTTTTCCAAGACCGACAAGACTCGTGTTGTGTAAGTCCTCCTACTGTTTGTTAGAAGTGCATATTTCTGATGTGACATACGATCGATCTCAGTGTGAAGCTGTGTCGAATGGTGCATGTACAAGTGACGAGTGAGTGCAGTTGAGGATGATGATGATAAGAGCGCGAAGAAAGGCGATGTTATCGGGGGAGAAATCGGGGAGTGGGGGGGGGGGGGGCAATCGGGGCCGATTTGCGAACAGAGGAATATGCCGAGCTCACCACGCACGGACCCCTTTTTTCTTTTGTTTTTCTTCTCTTTCTTTTGGCTGAAGAAGTTGATTTGAAGCGCACAAACGCGAGCTTTCGCACTCGCAACTGAGCAGCAATCCGAATCTCATTGGACTCTCCATCCTACTCTCCATCCTACTCTCCACCCTACTCTCCACCACACAGCGACGCACCGAGGGTAGCGGCTCATCAAGGCCATGTCCCTCCTCGGCGTACACCAGAGCGATGCGCTCAATCGCATCTTCGTCGGGCTCAAGAGCAGAGACGAGTCTTCACGCCAAGCGGCAGGCGAAGAGCTCAAATCCCACGTCGCCTTTGTCGTCTCCGAACTCAAAGGTGACAGCCTTTCCACCTTCAATAACGATCTCCACCGCCGCATCTTCGAACTCACACACAGCCAGCATGTCCACGAAAAGCTCGGTGGCATCGTCGCCATCGAGGATCTTATCGAGCAGGAGAGCGAAGATAACAGTGCACGTCTCTACCGATTCTACCAGTATCTCAAGCCCAACTTGCCATGCAACGATGCGTCGGTCATGATCGCTGCTTCCCGTGCGCTCGGCAGAGTTGCTTATCATGGTGGGCAATCGCTCGGAGAACAATTTATCGAATACGAAGTGCTTCGTGCCCTCGACTTTTTGCAAGCCGGCGACCGAAACGAGTCCGGACGATACGCAGCTGTGCTCATCATCCGAGAGATGGCAAACAAGGTGCCTCAGCAGTTCCATCCATATGTTCCAAGGGTGCTCGATAGGATATGGGTCGCTCTGCGTGATGTCCGTGTCATTGTCAGGGAAGGTGCTGCAGAGGCCATGGGTGCCTGCCTCGGTATCATTGCTGCAAGGGAAAAGCAGATGGGCAGCCACTTCTTCGAGTCCATATACCAAGAAGCTGAAAAGGGCTTGAAGATGAGCGCTCCAGAGGCGATTCACGGCAGTCTGCTTGCCGTCCAGCAACTCCTTCAACACTCCAAGACGTTCATGCGCAACCGCTTTCAGCGAGCATGCCAGCTCGTCTTTCGACTTCACAAGCACAGGGATCCACTCATTCGACGCACCATCACAAACCTCGTCCCTGTTCTTGCACGATACGACCCACATTACTTTGCAGAGGAGCACCTTGGCGCCGTCATGACCATTCTTACCGAGCAGCTTCGTAAAGAGAAGGACCGCTCGCCCAAAGAGTCAGCCCAGACCTTCGAGACGATCGGCTTTGTGGCAGCAGCGATGGGGCCGAGCATGAAGCCTTTCATCCAGCCCGTCCTCGCCTGTGTCAAGGAAGGTCTCCAGATGCGAGCCAAGAAGAACGCTCCACCAGAAGGTCCTATCTTCTTGTGCGTCGGCAATCTCGCCGCTGCAGTCGGACCGCATCTTACAAAATACATGCACGACCTGCTCGATTTGATGTTCTCCTGCGGGCTCAGCATCCCCCTTGTAACAGCACTCGATGGCATCGTCAAGGCCATTCCACCCCTGATCAAGGTGGTGCAGGATCGTTTGTTGGATATGCTCTCGATGACGCTCATTGGTCAGCCCTACCGCCCTCTCGGTGCACCTGCTAGTTTGCGGCCATCAGCGAATGCTAGTCGCCATGTCGCGCCTGCTCAGACTATCGAGTCGAAAGGTGTCGAGACCATCACTGTTGCCTTACAGACACTGGGCAGGTTTGACTTTCAAGGTCACATCCTCAACGAATTCGTCCGCAATTGCACGCTCCCATACCTCGAGGACGACCATGCAGCGGTCCGTCAAGCTGCTGCAGAGACGTGTGCAGACCTGTTCGTCAACGATCCTATCTGCCGACAGACCAGTATGCACGCTATCGAAGTCGTCAACGATGTTCTGGATAAGCTCATGACTGTCGGTATCGCCGATCCGGATCCCGAGCTTCGATGGACAGTGCTTAGCAAGTTCGGTGTGCAAGAGCAATTCGATCGCCACTTGGCGCAGTCAGAATACGTTCGATCTCTCTTCATCGCGCTCAACGACGAAAAGTTCAAAGTGCGTGAAGTGGCAATCGTCATCATTGGTCGTCTGGCCAAGCATAACCCCGCTTACGTCATGCCATCGCTACGAAAGGCGCTCATCCAGCTCCTTACCGAACTCGAATACTCGACTGTCAGCAGACACAAGGAGGAGGCAGCGAAGCTGCTGACCGAAGTCGTGCGAGCTTCGCAAAGGCTCGTCAAGTCGTATGCATTGCCGATGCTGGAAGTGCTCCTGCCAAAAGCAAACGACCCGAGTGTCGGTGTAGCGGCCCGAGTCATGGAGTGTCTCGGTGAGCTGGCCAAGGTGGGAGGAGAAGATCTAGCGCCAAATGTCGATCAGCTTATGCGACTTGCCATCGATCAGCTTTCCAGCACCGCACCTGGCTCTTTGACAGCAAAGCGCGATGCAGCACTCAAGACTCTTGGTCTTGTCGCATCCAACACGGGTCACGTCGTCAACCCTTACCTCACCTACAGGAATCTGCTCGGCACTGTTGTCAAGATCTTGAAGACCGAGCAGTCCAAGCCGGTGCGTCGCGAGACCATCCGTGTTATGGGCATCCTTGGTGCTTTGGATCCCTACAGATACAAGTTGCTCGAGAAGAACGGCGATGAAGGGCAAGACGAGACATCGAAAGGAAGCGGAACTGACTTGTTCGAGCTGGCATTGGCTATCGGCACCTCAACAGACGACTACTACCAAAACATTGCCATTGATGCGCTCATTACCATTCTCAAGGATCCTTCGCTCTCGACACATCACCATGCCGTCATTGAGGCCATCATGTACATGTTCAAGACGCAAGGTCTCAAGTGTGTCACGTTCCTGCCACAGATCATCCCGGCGTTCCTCAACGTTATTCGCACCTGCGCTACTGGTCTATCCGAGTTCTACTTCCAGCAGCTAGCCATTCTCATTTCGATCATCAAGCAGCACGTTCGTAGCTACCTCGAGCCCATTTTTGAACTCGTGCAGGAGAATTGGAATCCTAACTCGAGCATTCAGCTTACTATCGTCTCGCTCGTCGAGGCTGTGGCCAAGGCGCTCGAGGGCGAGTTCAAGTCGTACTTGCCCATCTTGTTGCCCAACATGTTACAGACCCTTGATGGCGAGATCACTAGCAAGCGTCAGCCGACGTTGCTGCGTATCTTGCAGGCCTTCTACGTGTTCGGTTCGAACATCGAAGAGTATCTGCACTTGGTGTTGCCCGTAATTGTCAAGATGTTCGAGAGACCGGATGCTTCACAAACGCTTCGTCGCACGGCAATCATTACGGTGGGTAAGCTTTCGAGTAAGGTGAGCTTCTGCGATCATGCCTCGCGTGTCATCCACCCACTGGTGCGCGTGCTGCCCACAGGTACGAGTGATATTCGCAATGCAGTGATGGAAACGCTCTCGGCCTTGGTAGTGCAGCTCGGTCCTTCGTACGCCATTTTCATTCCTGTAGTGAACAAGGTATTGGTGCAGAACCGTATTCAGCATGCAACGTACGATCAGCTCATCACTAAGCTGCTCAATGGCGAACGCCTTCCTCAGGACTTGTCCGCGAACGATAATGCACTCGGTAGCAAGATCGACGAGTCTCCTCAGGCCGAGGCGAACAAGATGACCGTCAACCAGCAACACTTGAAGCAAGCTTGGGACACCTCCAAGGTCTCAACGAGCGAAGACTGGCAGGAGTGGCTGCGAAGGATGGCTGTCGAGTTCATGCGTGAATCGCCGAGTCATGCTTTGCGTGCTTGCAGGAGTTTGGCGGATGTCTATCCTGCCTTGGCTTACGGTCTCTTTAATGTCGCTTTCGTCTCTTGCTGGACGGAGCTGTATGAACAGTACCAGAGCGATCTGGTCAAGGCCTTGGAAACGGCTTTCGACGCCCCCGAGGTGCCGGGAGATGTAGTCCATATGCTGCTCAACCTGGCCGAGTTCATGGAGCACGACGATAAGGCGCTACCCATCAACATCCGCCTTCTTGGTGACCGCGCTTACAAGTTCCACAGCTACGCCAAAGCTTTGCACTACAAGGAAGCCGAGTTTCTCACCGATCCTTCGCCACAAGTCGTCGAGAGTCTTATTGATATCAACACCAAGCTTCAGCAGTCGGATGCTGCTTTCGGTGCTCTGACGTATGCGAGAGAGCATCTCGACATCATCCATCACGAAGAATGGTACGAGAAGCTGCATCGTTGGGAAGAAGCATTGGCTGCGTATGATCGCAAGGCGATGCTCGATCCTGATGACTACCCTGTTGCGTTTGGTAAGATGCGTTGTCTCCATGCCTTGGGAGAGTGGGAGCATCTGTCGGACCTGGTACAGCAAAAGTGGGGCAGGGCGGATATGGAGGATCGTCGACATATGGCGCCGCTGGCTGCTGCCGCCGCTTGGTCTTTGGGTCAATGGGATACGATGGATGACTACATCTCGGCGATGCGATCCGACTCTTCCGAGCGCTCTTTCTACCGCGCTATCCTGCATACGCATCGGTCGCAACGAGCTGCAGCGAACAAGCAAATCGCCAAAGCTCGTGAATCGCTCGATGCCGAACTCACTGCTCTTATCAGCGAGAGCTATGGTCGCGCATACGATCTTATGGTGCGCACGCAGATGCTTTCCGAGCTCGAGGAGGCTTTGGCGTACAAGCTCGACTATAAGGAACAGCCTGATCGTCAAGCTACGATCCGTTCGACGTGGATGAAGCGATTGAAGGGATGTCAGCCGGAAGTCGAGGTATGGCAGCGCATTCTTTCGGTGCGTTCGATCGTGTTGACTCCAGCAGACGATACCGAGACGTGGATCAAGTTGGCCAATTTGTGCCGTAAGTCAGGGCGGATGGTGTTGGCTGAGAAGACGCTCAATTCGCTTCTTGGACCTGAACGGGCGAATAGCGATCCTAGGTCTCCGATTGGTCCGAGAGCACCTCCTCCGGTCATCTATGCCCACTTGAAGTTCATGTGGGCTTCGGGTGCAAGGATTGAATCGTTGAGCTATTTGCAAGAGTTTACGCTCAACCTTGCTGAAGATCTCGGCGTGCACTCGGTCGACGAGCATGGTAATCTTGTCACGCAAGATTGGCAGTGCTCACCACGTTTGGGAGAATTCGCACGGCTGCTGGCAAGATGCTTCTTCAAGCAAGGTGAATGGCAAATGTCATTGCGCGAGAATTGGGTCACTGACGAGAACAGCAATGTTATCGAAAGCTATCGTCGTGCGACGGAACTCGATCGGAACTGGTACAAAGCATGGCACGCCTGGGCGTTGGCGAATTTCGAAATCATCTCGCATCACGAAGAGCGCAACGAGCAGATCACACCACAGATGATCGCTGCTAGTATCGTGCCTTCCGTCCAAGGCTTTTTCCGGTCGATTGCTTTGGCTAGTGGCAATTCGTTGCAGGACACGCTGAGGTTGTTGACGTTATGGTTTAAGTACGGACACCAGGAGGATGTTTCGCAAGCAGTAAGCGAAGGTTTTGCTAGTGTAATCGTTGATACTTGGCTAGAAGTTATTCCTCAGATCATTGCTCGAATTACTGCTCCCTCACCTCGCGTTCGCAGGCTGATCCACAATCTGCTTTCCGATGTTGGTCTAGCGCATCCGCAAGCTTTGGTCTATCCTCTCACCGTCGCAGCCAAATCGCCTAGTCACATGCGCATTCAAGCAGCGATGGGAATCATGGAAAACGTTCGAGAGCATTCACCGGTTCTGGTCGAACAAGCTCTCCTTGTCTCTAACGAGCTGATCCGAGTTGCTATCCTATGGCACGAAATGTGGCACGAAGGACTTGAAGAAGCTTCTCGTCTCTATTTCACCGAACACAACATCGATGCTATGTTTGCCACTCTCGAGCCACTGCATGATGCGCTTGAAAAGGGACCGGAAACTTTGCGCGAGACCTCGTTTGCGCAAACGCATGGTAGAGATTTGGCAGAGGCAAGGGAATGCGGGAGGAGGTTTAGACAGTATGGAGATATTTCGGATTTGAATCAGGCTTGGGATCTATACTACCATGTGTTTAAGAAGATTGCAAAGCAAGTTCCGACTGGAAACTCGGTTCAGTTGGATCTACAATACGTTTCTCCCAAGCTTTTGGCTATGCGGGATTTGGAGTTGGCCGTTCCGGGCACTTATCAGTCGGGCAAAGCAATCGTTTGTATTAGGGCTTTCGAACAGATTGTTCTGGTGATTGCTAGTAAACAGAATCCGAGGAGATTGAAGATGAAGGGTAGTGATGGGAAAACGTATCAGTATCTGTTGAAAGGCCACGAGGATTTGAGACAGGATGAAAGAGTCATGCAACTCTTTGGACTGGTCAATACGCTTCTTTCCATCGATAGCGAGAGTTATAAGAGGAGGTTGGAGATTCGTAGATTCCCCGTAATCCCTCTTTCTCCCAACACGGGCATGTTGGGATGGGTGGAAAACACAGACACACTTCACGTCCTTATCAAAGAGTATCGCGAACAGCACAAGATCTTGCTCAACATCGAACATCGATTGATGCTCCAAATGGCTCCCGACTACGACCATCTTACACTGATGCAGAAAGTGGAAGTGTTCGAATATGCACTCGACAATACTCCTGGTCAAGACCTGTACCGGGTTCTGTGGCTCAAATCGCGACATTCCGAGTCGTGGCTAGAACGGAGACTTGCATATACTCGATCCTTAGCCGTGTCCAGTGTAGCTGGGTATATTCTCGGGTTGGGTGATCGACATCCGAGCAATCTCTTGTTGGATAGGTTGACTGGCCAGATAGTGCATATTGATTTTGGAGATTGTTTTGAAATTGCTTGTCACCGGCCCAAGTTTCCGGAGAAGGTGCCGTTCAGGTTGACTAGGATGTTGGTCAATGCCATGGAGGTTGGCGGGATCAAAGGAACCTTTAAAGTGACAGCCGAGAATACTATGCGCGTTTTGCGCGACAACAAAGAGTCGGTACTTGCTCTACTGGAAGCGTTTGTTCATGATCCGTTGATCTCTTGGCGTTTGGTTGCCGAAGATCAAGGTGAAGGTAGGGCTCCAGATGCACAAGAGAACGAAGCAGCTCTTGTTCCTGCCACGGCCGCTGCTGCTACTGGTGCTGCTAATCCCGGTGCGAGCGCAAAGGTAGCACCGAATCAGAGACAAGAACAGATGCGAGGTCGGGCAGGTGCGGAAAATGCAGGTGCTGGTGTAGCTGGCGGTAACGGTGGTGCAATCGCAGCTACAGGCGGCGATATGCGCAACCAGCGTGCATTGGAGGTAGTAAGGAGGATTCAAAACAAGCTGTCCGGTAGAGACTTTAATCCACAGGAGAGCTTGGGTGTAGCTGCTCAGATAGAAAGGTTGGTACAGGATGCGACGAGTAAGGAGAATCTATGTGTTGCTTTTGTTGGTTGGTGTAGTTTTTGGTAGAAGCCTTGCCTTGGTTCAGAAGAGATGGTGATTGTCTGTTGTATGCCATTGCATGTCGAGGTTCCGTCTCAGTTGGTTTCGGCTTGTGGTTGTGACGGTGTGAGTGGGATGGTGAGAATGAGGACAGAGGAGATGACGACGACAGAGGCTGACCAAGTGATGCGAGCGAGGCAAGAGGAGGTGAAGCGGCAATCTTCTCCACCATGCTTTCAGACTGAAGCTCTTCCAGCCCTGTCCTCAGCAACAAGGCTGGTAGACAAAACTCACATGGCATACGCATAACCTCTACCACACATTTCTACAGCATCTGGAAAAGCTTGATTACTGCTGGAAAGAAGGGTAGCATACATCAATGCATGACTGTGGGGTTAGTGCTGAGCCTGTTGAGCCTGCTGTTGTTGCTTTGTACTGCTCTCCTTGAGCGCCAGCAGCTGTTTGCTCCTGAAGGCCTCGTAATGAATCTGGGCGGTGGTTTCGATCAAATCCTGCAAATGCGTTCTAGTCAAAAAGTTTCTTAGATGTACGAATTCGCAGTGGCTTTCATTCTCCACATTGACAACGCCGTATCTATTCTTCCTGCCCCTCACCTGTTTTCCATCGATGACCACGCTTTTCTCGCTGCCGACAATAGCGAAAGGGATAAGCGTACGAATGCGTTCGTTCAGTTCGCGTTCTTCTTCTTCGTAATCTTGATTGTCGAAAGGATAGACACGGATGTTATTGTACTGCATCTCCGCCCGGATCCTTTCCTTGAACAAATCCCTTTCGTCCATCGTAAGAGAATCGGATTTAGCAATCACGGGGACAACATTGACAACATCGCTGAGTTTCTTCATCACCGTAACGTCAATCGGACGCAATCCATGACCGGTCGGGTTGATGAAGAAAAGACAAGAATGGATACGAGTGTCGACAATGTATCGATCTCGCATCGCAGTGAGTTCTTTACGAAGGTATGCCGAGTGTTGGTCTTTGATGTATTTGATGATGGGGTCCCAACAGTTTTCGTTGTTGACCTGGTCGCCGTAACCGGGGGTGTCGACGATGTTGAGTCGCAATTTGACGCCGTTTTCGACGATGACATGGGAAACAGGATGGATTTCGGTGGTTTGGCGGACGGGTTGGTCGGAGGCGAAACGGCCCTTTGTGTCGATAAGGTGCGCGGCGAAAAGGGTGTTGATAAGAGTGGATTTACCAAGACCAGTCTGGCCGACGACCATGACGTTGAATTGGAAACCACGTTTGAGAAGTTTGGACTCGATCTGCTTGGTGATCGAGTCGAATCCAACGTAGGACTGAAGCGGAGTGTGGTCCTGTTGGCTGGAAGATTGCGGTCCCAGCTGGGGGTCTTGCGAGGCGACGGCTGCCATGATGGCCTAAGGTAGTTTCGTTACACCAACGGATTCGGTCGTGCTTTGGTGTGCAAGACGGTCTGTGAAAGCGGTCGCGTTTGAGGGTAGATGCTGCGACTGACGTCTTTCGATGACGAGACCAAGCAAGGAAAGATATATATGTGCCAAGAGAAGAAAGAGTGGACAAGAGAGGGATGGTGTGAGAGAAGTTAAGCGCTGTGCGTACAAAGCCAAGGGATGGCCCGTGCACACACGCACGCACGCGCTGCGCATGTTTCTAATCCATCCTTGTCCGAATTTGTATTCAATTCGCAACTTGCCAGCAGAGCGCAGTTGCACTTGCTGAATTCGTTTCCTATTCGACCTTTTGCAATTCAAACCCTTTTTTTCTTTCTTTTTTTTTTTTTTTTTTTTTTTGCTGGATTTTCGTCTGTGTCTTCTATGCGATTTAACAGACTTGAGCTTTGCAAATCAGCTGACCACATTCACAGTTGAGGCCTTGGAAGGACTGAGATTCGTTGCAAGTGCATCATACAGGCCCATGAGAGCGACATCAGAGTGGCAAACGAGCCGCTTCGTTTCAGTCTGACATTCAAAGATATGGACATTACAGTACAGTACAACTGCAAGCCCGATGAGAGCTTGCCTGTCGTCAAAAAGGCGGGTGATCACACCTGGGAGCCTCTGGTAAAGTAAGCCTTCATTCCATGTGTCGCCAACTCATTCTTTGCTTGGGCAAAAGTATGACCCTTGTCGTTGTTATGTTTCCAAATCAACCTGTAATACCACAGATTACCCAAGCCTTGCAATCCAAATCCAGCCGTTGTAATCGCACCCAAAATCCCGGCGACCAACCTGCCTCCGGCAAACGCTTGGATCGTATTGATCAAGCCAGCCGACCCTGTCGAAGGGATGCCCAAAAATACATACACCGAAAACGCCAGATGGAAGCCGGCAAAGATCAAGTAAACGTAGAAGAACAAGGAATGCTCTTTCATCAATCCATTGTAGATCGGCCGATACCACAACAAGAAACTAGCCACGGTGATCACCGGCAAATACACAATACCGGAAATCATGTCTTTCCCTCCATCGGATGCGCCTTGGATGAGCAGGAAGATGCAGGCAACCATGTTGACGACCAGGGTGGCTACGAGAAGCAGCCAGAGTTTGTAGAGGTTCTGCATGATAGGTTGGCTGTCTGGTGGGATTTCGACGTCGATGTCGTGGTAGATGAGCGGGTAGAAGAAAGGCCAGTTGTTTCGACCGTGTCTTTGGATGTGGGCTGCACGATTCTCGAGTTCGCGTTCTCGACGAGCGAGTTGCTCCTCTCGACGACCAAGTTCTTCGGCACGATTGAGCTCGGATTGGGAGGCGGGCGTTTCGTCGACGGTGGAGGATTGGGCGCCTTTGTAGGTGGAGGCTACATCGTCGTCACCGCCGGCGTACATGCGAGAGGAGTCGTTGAGTGCGCCTTGTACAGATGGGTCGGCGAAGGGGTTGGCATCCAACGTATTGCGGTCGGCGAAAGGGTCGACTTGTGATGCCATGGTGACGAATGCTACTCGAGTCGAGTGTGTTTTGTTGAAGCCTGCTCTAGCCTTGTCCTATCGAGCCGTTTGGATGTGGGTCAGAATGAGCAAGACCCGCCGTGGTCGGTCAAGTTGAGCGTGACGCTGTGAATGATGCTGGCGAACGATGATGGTTGTAGAGCGTCAAATGAGAAAGGGTGGTGGCCTGAGCTTTCAACGCGCGCCCAATATCATTCCCAGAGAGACACACACAGACAGCAGAGCGAGAAAAAGGTAAAAACGAGGTAAAATCGGGCTGTGTTGGTTGCGTGGCCTCTTTGGCGCCTTTCATCTGCGCTAGAACACGTTGCCTTTCCAACAATTTCGCCCACTGGCCCGATTTTGGATCAACCCCGATCGATACAGTTTTACTACATTCAACGCGTGTCCGATCGCGTCCGGGTTGCTCTCTGCGCGCTACAAAGTGTCGTTGTCCATTCTATCGTGTCTTTTGCAAATTTCGCGCCTTAACAACGCAACGCCACGGCAACGCAACGCCACGGCAACGCACCGCAAAGCCAACACACAGTTAATCACGTGACCTAACTCACATGACCGCAATCACGTGACAGCGGTCAGGTGATGTGATCCGTGTTCAGAGATTCTACCAAGTCATCGCGCAGCAGCAGAATGCTCTCTCTCTCCATTCCCCACCATTCTCGCAGCTGCTCGCTTAGCAGGATCTCGCCGTCTCTTCCAGTGTTTTTCCCGCCCTTCACGCTCTCTTGCGCTCATCCGGTCCCCGTAACGGCGGTCCGGGAGCCTCTCAAGCCTGTGAGCACACTCACGCTCATCCCGCAATCTTAACCTCCCTTTATGCTCTCCGATTGTCTTTGCTATGGTATGAATCAATGGTTCGGACACACACACACACACATACACACACACGCACACACGCACGCACACGCACAACAGCAAGCAAGCAAGCAAGCAAGCAAGCAAGCAAGCAAGCAAGCAAGCAAGCAAGCAAGCAAGCAAGCCAGAAGCAAGCTCTGATTCTCGAGTTGGTTGTGACAGCTGATCGCGGGAACCTTTAGGAACGAGCACGAGTAGATGCAGCATCGTCCTTCACTAAGCACTCCTACTCTATACAGTATCGGCTCGGCATCATTGCCATTGAACAAGTGGGCAAGAAGACACTCCTTCAAGCTGCTGTCACAAGCTACAGCGGACACATTCAATCGTACGAAGCCCTCATCGAGGAGGAAGCTTCAGGTCGACCGTCTTCTTCACACACTGCTCACCGAAGAAGATCCCTCGCACTGCAACACTCGGTCTGCTCTGCTCGACGATCTCATTCCGCACTTGAACGCATTGCGATGCACCGCGACTGAGCCTAACGTTGCTCTTCAAAGCCCACCCTGCGACTTTTCGATACACAGATTCTAGCCTGTCTCGCACCTTCATTTGCACTGCTTGCATCTTTCACATCTCGCCCGTCTCTCATCTTAACTCAGCCCTGAACTCTATTCCGACATTCCCGCGTCGAGCAGTGTGTTCGCAGCACTTCCTATCCTCATCTTGCAAGCTCAAAGCTTACAGCCAACATGTCCAGACGTGGCGGAGGCGGCGGTATTCAATCCACCAACGTCCTCCAAGGTCCACGCAAGCGTCTCAGAGGCAACAACGACGCTTCAACTTTTAACCACGACGCACCTGCTGCTTTTGCTGCTTTCTCTTCTAGCGGCAGCAGCACAGCAACCATGGGGACCATCGAGCGCAAGATTCACAGTCTATCCGTCCAGCAAGTGACGCAGTATGGTCAGAAGCTTATGGACACCGTCATCCAGGCCATCGATCCTTCCGATCGCGCACCTCTCCACGAATTCTTCCTCCAACTTCCCGACGCCCAGGAATATCCCGATTACTACGAGATTATCAAACGTCCTATGGCACTCGAAGAGATACAACAAAAGCTCGATCAACACTCGTACGCCGCTCTGCCAGACGTCAAACACGATTTCGAGACCATCTGCAACAACGCCAAACGCTACAACCTTCGCGATACGCCTGTTTGGCTCAAGGCGAAAGAGTTGCATAGCTTGATCAAGATCACTTACGTTCACATTCTCCAGAGTTTGCCCGAGCCGAGTGTTAATCCTCCTCCACCCCCATCTGCGGCAGGTGCGCAATCAACACCGACGCGGTCAAAGCGCATTACTATTCGAACGAAGCAATCGTCACAGAAGCTTAACGATCAATTGCAGCCAAAAGCGGAACCTGAGCAACATCAACCACCAATACTGACACAACAACAACAGCAGCAGCAGCACCCGCAGCAACCACAACCACAACAACACGATGGACAGCAGAGTCAGCCTCTAGCATTGGGCGCAGGCATGCAACAACCACCAGAAGGCCCTTTCACAGCCGCTGGTACACCCAGTACCCAAGCAGGTGACGACGACGACGACGATGACGACGATGCATGGGAGAACGACGGTGATTCCTCAAGACTGACCAAAGGCGGTCAACTCGATGGTCGCAAACGTCCCGGCAAACGTGGCAAGCGTCTCAAAGCTACACTCCGTCAACTTGTTCACGATCTCCGCCGCGTCATCGGCACACGTGGCTATCCCATCGTCCAGCACTTTGACTATCTCCCCGACCGAAACCAAGTACCGCAGTACTACCAGGTTATCCAGAAACCCATCTGCTTGCGTGACATCGAACATCGCGTCTTCCACAAGTCCTACATCAACGCCCATGCACTCTTTTCTGACCTCGAGCTTATGCTTACCAACGCAATCACTTTCTACCCTCCAGACTCGCCCATCTGGCAAGACGCACAGGAGATCCGACAGTATTTTGAACGAGAAGCCATCCCCGCCCTCTTCCAAGATGGTTTCACGCTCGAGAAGGACGATGTTAGGCAGTCGGCGCTGCCGCTTCATCTGGCCGCGAATAGTACGATTGAGGCGCACAAGTCAGCGTACAAGATGATCGTGTCCAAGGCCATGGGTGGTGCTTCGCAGAGTCCGGAGCCTTCGTCCCGGTCGAGGTTGGGTTCGGCCGGTGTTGTGGGTTCTCCAGCGCTGTCGGCTGCACCCGGGTTGCCACTTGGATCACCTGCTCCTGGTGCTGGTGCTGGTGCTGGTGCTGGTGCTGGTGCTTTTGATTCGCCTTCACCTGCAGCACAGCCTAACCCTACTGCTGCTGCTATGATGGGAACCCCCAGTGCAAGCCCTGCACCAATGATGGGCTCACCAATAGGCTCGATGCCACCCATGTCGATGCCACCCATGTCGATGCCCTCCATGCCACCACCCATGTCTACACCTGGTTCAGCGTCCATGTCTCCCCTTGCGCCTGGTATGCCCGGCACTGCACCACCAATGGGAATGCTCAACTCCCCCGGTCCCGGTCGAGCCTTGCCCTATCCGGGCACACCCACCTCCGCATCCCCCTCCCGACCCACCCCTACCTGCGAAGGTCGTCGCCCAGTCGGTCGACCCCCCGGCAAAAGCACTCCTTCACGCTCCAACCCTTACCCCTTCCTCGAACGTCGTATCGGTCCTGGTCGACCAAAAAAACACGAAGCAGCAGCACGACAAGCCGCCATTGCAGCCCACGAAGAAATGCTTCGCAAAATGGCCCTTGAAAACCAACAAGATGAAATGTCACAACAACAACAAGCTGCCGCTTTTGCCGCCCAATCCGTCCCGCAATGGGGTCAACAACAGATGCTTCAGCAACAACAACTCCAACAGCAGCTCTACTTGCAACAACAACAGAGACAGCAGGAACAGCAATTACAGCGTCAACAACAACAGCAACAACGTCGGGCTCAACAAGCTGCTCAACAAGCTCAATTGCAGCAGCAACAGGCGTATGTGGAACAACAGAGATTGCAACAGCAACAGCAGATGTTGCCGCCGGGAGGAGGTGCACCTGCTCCATTTGGTGCGGGGATGGCGGTGGAGGCTGCTTCGCCAGCGAAGAGGAAAGAGGCGGTTCTGCCGGCTCAAGCGCCCAGATCTTTGGCGTTTGAAGGGTTGGAGAGTCGTACGCCTTTGATTAGCAATTTTGCGATCGATATGGAAGTCGAAGCTCCCGACGGGCAGACGCTGGCAGTGCCTTCAGTGGAGATTAAAAACGGCTTTACTACTCAACATTCCCTGCAGATTCCACCGAACGCTTCTAGCATCACTATCGAATTTCCGCTCCGCATACTCAAAAAGCCAAAAGCAGAGGATGCTCCTGCTGATGGTGAAGAAGATGTATCGATGTCCGAACCAAGCTGCAACAATGCTGTTGCTAATCGAGACACTCACTCAACCAGCGGGGATGCAGCAGAAGAAGAGGCGAAGAAAAACAGAATCCTCACCTACCCTTGGCGACCAGAACTATCCTTCAACGGCAAACAAACCACCGCTACTTGGGTTGCTGCTGACTCCCTCGTCGAATCTGCTCTACAGGAGGAGGAGGAGCTGGGTTATTCATATTGCAAAGTTCGACTCTTGCCGAAGAGAGGGATCAATGTGCTTGAGATCAACGTTAAACCTGCAGTTGAGGCAAACGAGTTGCAAGGGATTCCTGATGAGAGATATTCTATCTTCTTCTGCTAGTCAGGAATGCAATGTCGTTATCAGTGCAGATACTAGCTCGAAGGTGCAATTGAGTAGACTGTCTGAGAGGTAGGGAGAGTGTGAGAAGCAAGTGGCTGTGAGAAGCAAGTGGCTATGAGAAAGAATTGAAGATAACAATTAATACTCAGCGATATCGGGGTCACGATCAGACTCCCTTTACCACAGCCATGTGTTCTATGTAATGCTTAGTTTTCATAGTGTGAACCTAAATGACAAACATGTATATATACTCCATTCGCTGCTCTAGTCCTACCCAAGGCAGGACGTGTCACTTCATTCGTACTCCTATGTTGCTATGATACTGAGTGCCACTGAGCTGTCGCCATGACAACAATCATATATCTCATTGTGCTTCTCACTTAAGTAAGCCTCCTGTGCCTCAGTGTCTCGGCCATGACACATGCATCTTGCTTGAGTTGCCAATGCATCTTCAACTCCCCCCTTCGGTGGGATCTCCAGCCCTATCATCCTAGCCAATCATGAGGTGTTGAGACCCTGTAAAGGTTTTGTTAAGACATCTGCAACATTGTTTGCTGTCCCAACATGTTTGATTGCCACATCACCCTCTTGCATGTGATTGCAGACAAAGTGATACCATGTGTCAATGTGCTTTAACTTCCAGTGTTTGGCTGGATCTTTACTCACCTGTATGCATCCCTGGCTATCAGTGTATAGTATGGGCTGAACATCCATGATCTCCAAATCCTGGAGCAAATATGAGAAGAACAATGCTTCTTGCACTGCTTCAGAAGTGGCGATGAACTCTGCTTTGACTGCTGACAATGCTACACATTTTTGAATGTGAGACTTCCAACTCACTGGGCATCCATACACATATGTTATTGACCCCGAGGTGCTCCTTCATCCATTTGTGGGGTCGGATGCCCAATTTGTGTCAGTATACATCATTACCAGTGTATCTGAGTGCTCGTTTGCCTCCCCTCCTAAGTGTAACTGATATTCATTTGTCTGGTTCAGGTACTTTACCACATGAATAGCTGCCTTCCATGCACTGTCGATCAGGATCGACATGTATCGTGATAATATGCCAATGGCGAAGGCAATATCTGGTCGGGCTGTGTTGGAGACCCATAATAGTTGGCCGACCAACTCTTGGTACTTCTTTGCTTGCTGGGGGTCACATCTCTCACCTCCAGCAACATTCACTACACTCAGCATAGGTACCCAAGATTTCTCATTTGCTCCTCCTAACCATTTGTTCACCATTTCTTTGATGTATGCTGTTAGACTCAGAGATATCTTCCTCTGCCTTCTATCACGTGTGATCTTGATACCTAGAAATTCTTTGATTCTCCCATTGTCTTGCATCTCCCATTTGTCCATGATCTCTTGCTTAGTGCAGTCTACCTCATCACGACTGGGTGATGTTATCAGCATGTCGTCCATGTATGCTGTAATGATCGTGATCTTGTTGCCTGTCCCTCTTGAATATAAGCATGGTGTGCTCGGCATGCAATGAAAACTGATCATCCAGAGATGTGAGTCTAACTCAATGTTCCATTCTTGGCCTGATTGTTTCAGACCATACAGTCCTTTCACTACCTTCAATGCTTTTCTGGGTGGTACTTTGATTCCTACTGGGGGCTTTAGATATACATCATGGTGTATAGTAGAGTTCAGGTATGCTTGTTTTACATCAATAGAGTCTATTTCCCAGTCTTGTATTGCTGCAACGGTGATCACCCCTCGAATGGATTGGATGGGCACTACTGGTGCGAAGACCTCTGTGTAGTCAATGCCCTCGCATTGGGTGAAACCTTGTGCCATGAGCCGGGCTTTGAACTTTGTTGGCACAAGGTTTGCATCCGTTTTGATCTTGAGTACCCAACATGTGTCGATGGTGTTTGCACCCTTTGGGAGGTTGGCGATCTCCCACATGCCCATTGCTTCTAACCCATCCAGCTCCTTTTGCATGGCTTCTTCCCAGTGCTTTCTGTCTTCTCCATTCATTGCCTCATGTATAGTTGGGTCCAGGTTCTTTCTCTGTTCCAGTCGCATTGCCACAAGTCTGAAAGATTTACTGTCAATCTGGGCTTCAGCGATTGGTCCTTGTTCCATCACTTCTGCTGTTCCTCTGCTTAATCTTTCTTCTGAATCTGTCTCCATATCCATGTATTCTTGTAGTGGCCTTGCATCTGTTTCATCGAATATATTTTCTTTGTTATATCCTAGGTCTTCAAAATCCTCTTCTGTCATCATCGCTGGAGGTGCCTTTGTGTCGACTGGTTGCCACTCTGTTCTGTCTGACCAGCACTTTGATTCCATGAATTTTGCTGAATTGCTCCAGAACATGTTTGGGTTATAGTCTGGACTGTAGAATAACCAGCCCTTTCTCTCTAGACTGTATCCCAAGAAAATGGATGTGACGGCTCACTGGTCCAGTTTCTTGTTGTCCTGTTTGACTTGGGTATGTTTACCCATGCCAGACAACCAAATACTCATAGGAGTCTTAAAGCTCACTCTGGCAACTTGCCGAACATGGCTTGATAAGGGAACTCATTATCAATGCTCAGAGTGAGGTTGATTTTGAATGCTGCAGCTCTGATCGCATATGGCCAAAATCTCTTCAGCAGTCTCCTCTGCATCAGCAATGTTCTCATCTTCTCTCCAAGCGTCCTGTTCATTCTCTCCACCCACCCATTTTGTTTGCTGTTGTACCCCACAGTGGTTTGCCACTCTATGCCCTTTTCTAATGACCACTCTAATGCATCGTTGCTTTTCCATTCAGTTCCTTGGTCAGAACAGATCACTTTTAGCTTCCGATCCATCTGTGTCTCCAGGAACGAAACAATCCTTTTGAGTTGCATGAATGCATGACTCTTTCACACCAATGGCTGTGCATACACATACTTGCTATGATCATCGATTAGCACCAGAGTGCACGTATACTCTGTCACATGGGATGAGTCTATTATTAGATTGATGTGGATGAGGTCCAGGGGCCCCACAGCTCTTTCACTGCTGCCTTGCCCCATCTGGGCACTTGTGCTCTTGGATCATATGCACTGCTCACATGTCAGAGTGGTGTTTGGATCCAGATGCATGGTATGCTTATTCTTTAATTTACTCATGATCGTCCTGGCTTTGTCTCTTCCTGGGTGTCCAAGATGCTCATGCCATAGTTGTTCCTTTGAAACTTTTGGTTCATTCTTAATATGCTCGAACTCCTCATCAACACCTTCAAACAGTGATGCTGACGTGACCATCGTGCTTTCTTGCCATGTGTCGCCTCGGAACTCCAAAAGTCCTTGCTTGCGATTCTTTGCAATTTTAAGTGTCATGCTGTTTGTTAGAACAATCTGGCTGCCGGTTGCATCCAATGTCACTCATGCTCCTTCATCTGTCAATGAATTCGTTGACAGAAGGTTAACATTAAAATGCTTCACATATAGTACATTTTGGAGGGAGATTTCCCTGTAATCTGTTGATATGCTTGCATCTCCTATAGCTGCCACTTCCAAAACCTCACTTCCAGCAGTAATTATCTGCTTTCGGCAAGTTCTCGGGTGGATGAGCATGCTATAGTTGTTTACCATGTGATAACTTGCCCCCGAATCCAAGATCCAATGAGCTGTTTCCTTGGTGTTTGGGGGGTCTTGTGAGAGGGTGAGGGAGCACCATGCTTCCTATTTAAGTTTGGTGAGGGGGGAGTCTTTGGGGATGGTAACTGAAGTGTCACATTGACTAATGCCATGTCCTGGTCGCTTGCAGATCCAGCATCGGATTCAGCATGATCTTCCTGCATTCTTCGGGCTCATGTGGCTATTGTTGGCTTTGGCTTCGGTCTCTCCAGTCCATTTGCTTTGATCATCATTGCTGGCAGTCCGAGCACTGACTTGGCAGGGGTCGATCTTTTGCATGGGGATGCTCTTGACAGCAGTCTGTCAGATGCTTAGTGCAGTGGCGAGGGTGTTAAAATCGATTTGATGGACAGTGGCAACCATCTCCTTATACACCAGATGCCAGATCGTGCATTTCTGCAGAGCTGAGAACAATGTATCATTGGCGAATGGTTTGCCGAAGAGGCTACTTTCAGTCTGTATGGACCAGATCTCTTGAATTAGCTTTCTGACATCTGAGTGAAACATCTTTGTGTCATTGAGCTGCGAGATAAGTGCAAGTCTGTGAGACGTTTTGGTGGCTTCGTTTGTGAGACCATTTTCAATCTTTCTCCATACTTGGTTAAAAGTAAGGTACTCCTTGATTACATCTAGAACGAGGTAGTTTACATTGTATTCTCTGGTAGTGTCAATTGTTCCATGCAGGGCATTGATTAAAGCATCATCAAGGGAGCGGCTCCATTTTGGGTGCTTCTTGTCATACATTCCCTCGAGATGTTTCATTGCATGGGGCATGGATTGGAGGAAAGATTTCACATGAGCACTCCAGCTATAATAGCTGCATGATGTGAGCTTTGGCATGGGTTCGAGAAGCTTTGCTAGGGTGCAAAAGTTATATCTCTTGTTGTCGTCATCAAAGTCAGAGTTGGAATCAATGTCTTCATCAGCTTCATTGTTGATGGCCTCCAGCTCATTTTTGTTTGTGGCATCATTGTCAACCCGAACCTGGGTGTTCTTGCCTTTTCTGCTTCCTTTGATCCTCATTTCAGTGTCTTCTACCATTGTTGTCGATGAGTTTCAGTTAGCTCAGTGATAGCTTCTTCAGACTCTTAATCAATTGAAGATAACAATTAATACTTGGTGATATCGGGGTCACGATCAGACTCCCTTTACCACAGCTGTGTGTTCTATGTAAAGCTTAGTTTTCATAGTGCGAACCTAAATGACAAACATGTATATATACTCCATTTGCTGCTCTACTCCTACCCGAGGCAGGACATATCACTTCATTCATACTCCTATGTTGCTATGATACTGAGTGCCACTGAGCTGTCGCCATGACAACAATCATATATCTCATTGTGCTTCTCGCTTAAGTAAGCCTCCTGTGCCTTGGTGTCTTGGCCGTGACACGTGCATCTTGCTTGAGTTGCTGACGCATCTTCAACTGAAAGGGTAAGTGAGAGAGGGGAATTCGGAGCCTTCTTTTTCCCACGGTCGCGCGGTTTCTCTGAAATGCGCCAATTCAAGGGTGCGAGCACGGGCGCGCGGTGAGTTGGAGAGCCGAGTTGAATTTTGTGTTGGTCTTGACAACTCATTCTCAACTCTGGTTTACAACACCACCACCACCATCATCAGCTTTCAGCTTCATTCTCTTCCCACCCAATCATCGTTCACAATCTCGGCGAAACTCCGGCTCGGATCATTCTCAGCTCTGTTAGCGCGAATACTTTTTACTGGGTGCACCAACTTCAGCTGATCACTACTTCTAGGCTAGGATCAAGATTCAGCAACAAATCTTCACCGCAATGGATCACGGCGGGAGCGGACACGGCGGTATGGACATGCCAATGTGTAGCATGAACATGATCTGGAACTACGACACAACCAACATTTGCATCTTAACCTCCTCTTGGCGCATTACAACCCCGTTCTCCCTCTACCTTTCCCTCACTTTCATCGCCTTTATTTCCATCCTATACGAATACCTTCGTCTATACATTCGTCGATTCGACGCTCGGCTTGCACGCAACAACCCCTCCAATTCCCTTGGCATACATCGCCGCCGAACCTCTCTCCTCCCAACCTCAACCTCGTCTTCTTCCAGTGGATCAGAAAGGAGGGGTGTTGGTACCTCCAAAAGAAGAGCCGCTACGGTGGGTAGAGAGGATAATGGAGGGAGAAATGGATGGGTAAAGGAGCTAGAAACGAGCAAAAAGGTGCAGTTGTGGAGAAGCGGTCTGTATGCGAGTTCGGTAGGGATAAGCTTTTTGTTAATGTTGATCGGGATGACGTTCAACGCCTTCGTAGTGGGGGCTATTGTTATAGGTAAGTACAAGTCTACCCAACCTCAACAGCTATGCCAACTTTCGCTACACCGAGAGAGAACCAGCACTGACAGATGAATTCTTCTGGATCTTTTCGGGGTTATGTAGGCGCCGGAATGGGACATTACTGGTTCAACCGTGACCTAAAAACTGCTGCTACATTGGGCGAAGATGATGCTGGGCTAGGATGTCATCTCTAACCTGCCCCACCACCGCCTTTCCTTTTCTCCCACAAATGCAATGGAATACCCTACTCAGAACTAGCATTTTGCCCTCGACCAGTCTGTGTTGAAGAAATCACTTCTCTCAAAAGGCTGGGCGACATCCTCATCCTCCCAATCCACCCGGTAACCGCACACGGCACAAGCCAATCGAGCAGACACAATCCACTCCATTCACACTAAAAAGCAACACACTACATCTTAGCCCTAGGAGCATACAACAACCTGGTCGCCTCGTCATGCTTCATCCTAACCGCCTTGACCGCATTGGCATAGATAACCTCCTTATTTGTTCCCCAGGCATTCATCTTTGCTTTTCCCTTGAGCTTTTCCGCCAACTGCAATGCCTTCTCCAACGTCTCTTTGGGACTGTCTGCCAATGCATCCACGAATCCAGCCTGGAATGCTTCCTCTGCACTGAACCTATGTCCCTCCAAGACGACTTTCCTCATGGTTTTCTGATCACTTATTTTACTCGCTATAGTCATCTGAAGTCCGTGCGGGAGAGGAGCGCCAAAGTCGATTTCATTCATACACATGTATCCCCTCTTAGCATTCATAATTCTATAGTCATGAGCGCAGGCTAATCCGAAACCAGCAGCGAACGCATGACCGTTAACGGCGGCGATAGCAGGGATTGGGAGGGTGAGCAGTTTTTCACAGAGTTCGTTCAAGTGGGTGTCGAAAAAGAGGGGATCGGCGATAGCTTTTTCCAAGTCTAAACCATTGCTGAATATTTTCGCAGAGTCGGACGTTCCAGCGGTAGTGACCAGGGCAGCTCCCTGATCGGATTGGCCGGAAGAAAGCATCTCGTCCCACTGATGTTCAACGTGGGCGATTGCGGGGAGGAGAGCTTCACCGATGAATTTATGGGTTAGTCGGTTGTCGGGGGTCTCCTTACCCAGCATGGTAAGGATGAAAATACGGGACTCGCCATTGAAAGAGAGGGAGACCAAAGGCTCAGATTCGGAGGGAAAATGTTTGGTGTACGACTGCATTGTGGGGGAAAGGGTGGAAGGCTTGTAGCGGGGAACTTTGGAGATGTCGAAGATGTCGCTGAACCAACGTTTGGTTGAGAAGTTGCGGAGAGGCGTGTGGGTGAGGATGGTGTGCGTCTTAAAGATCGCGGTGGTGGTGGTGGAGGAGAAGGAGGAGAAGGAGGAGAAGGAGGAAAAGGAGGTGATGGTTCTTAGTGGGGAGAGGATCGAGCGAAACATCCAAATGTATATGTTGATGGATGTAAGGAAGGAAGGAGGAAGGATGAGGAAGGGAGGGATGTGAAAGCTGCATGGCGGATTAAGGTAGGACCGGCAAGACAAGGGAAAGTGATAACCGGAATTGAGCCAATTTAACCTCAAGGGTCCTTTGTGCGTGAAATTGATTCGTCTCTTCCGGCCGAAAGAGATCGGTATTTTGACCGGTATTTTGACCGGCTAAAGCTGAATGTTGAACCCTGAACACACGCTGACGACACCTGTCAAACACTACCACCCCTTCCTCACGTACACACCAGCATAGCAACAAGCAACTCAGCGTGTTCGTACCTTCGCTTCGCATCAAACGCAACACCCTTCCAGTCTCTAGTACAATGACAGACAAGCAGGAATACATAGACGTATCAACCATAGGTCTCGACGCCATCCCTCCTACCCCCTCACCACTTCCTTCCGCCTCCGACAAAGCTACCGTCAGCTACTGGCTTGCCACGACCCCCGCTCATCTCCTCCCAGAATCTCTGGATGCACCACCTTCGCAGTCAGATGTTGTAATCATCGGATCAGGAATTACCGGCGTTTCCTGCGCTCTGCACCTGATCAACTCTCTCCCCTCCTCCTCCTCCTCCTTGGAGAAAGCAGAGGGTGGTGTGAGGACAATAACGATCTTAGAAGCGAGGCAATTCTGTTCCGGAGCAACGGGGCGCAATGGAGGCCATCTAACCGCTGCTTCTGCACTGGCGTATACGGATATTGCTGCTAATCCGGACCATCTTCTTGGCCAAGCCTGCGCCAATTTCGCCGAAGCCCAGAGGAAGGATGCGATAGGGAAAGCAGTGCAAGAAATACTCCAGTTCGAGGAGGATACCGCCAATGCTATCCGCCGTCTCATCGCTCAAGAGGCAGTAGAGAAAGATATTGGCTTTACGGACGAAAAGAACTGGCATCTATGCTTTACTCAGGAGGAAGTAGAGGCTTTCGAAGACTCCCTTGCACAGGCGGGGGAACATGAGCGGATGAAAAAGTTCGTGGACAAAGTGCGGAGGGTGGGCAAGGAAGAAGTGGATAGCCAAATGAACCATCCTCATGGTGTCGTAGGCGTGTTTGAGATTCCAGGAACAACATTGCATCCTCGTGCGCTAGTCGCTGTCATTTATCGCCGCGCAGAACGGTTGGCCAAGCAGAAAGGAATCAATCTAAACCTTGTCACCCAATGCCCTGTTCACTCCGTCGCTCCAACTACTGATGGTAGTAAGCTCACAACTTCGAACGGAGCAATTGATGCTGGGTACGTGGTTCATGCAACAAACGGCTACGCCTCGCACCTGCTTCCCTCCCTCTCCACACCAACCACCGGAATCACCCCCACTCGAGCCCAAGTCATAGCCCTCCCTCCCTCCTCCCCTTCCTATCTTTGGGGCATGGGTCTCTCCGCCGGCCGCGGATACGAGTATGGTCATCAACGACCCTCCCCCGAACCTCCACTATACATCCTCGGTGGTGGTCGAGAATATGCTCCTTCCCGAGAATGGGGTGTGGCAGATGATACAACTCTCAACTCCGACGTGTCCGAGTTCTTACATCCGTGTATGGGAAAAGTTTTCCCGAATTCCTACGGCGGGAAAGGGGTGGAGAGAGAATGGACCGGAATTATGGGCTATACCAAAACTAAAAATCCGATTGTGGGGACCATAGGGGGAAGCATGGGAAGGGAGTGGATTGCAGCGGGATATAGTGGACATGGTATGACTAGGGCGTACGGGTGTGCGGAGGTCGTAGCGGAGATGGTGATGGCTGAGATCGATGGGAGGCAGTGGAGGGAAAAAGGGGGGTTTCCGGATTGTTATCTTACGCCAGGAGCGAGAGCAGAGGGAGTGGAGGAGAAGGGGGAGTTGGTGGCAGATGGAATGAAGGAGAAGGATGAAGGGATGAAGGAGAAGGATGAAGGGAGAGAGAAAGAAGAAGAGGAGAAAGGAAGTTCAGAGGGTCGTTCGAGTGGATGCTGCGTAGTTTCGTAACCAGCTTACAGTCAAGTAAAGCACGAATCCCAGCTCAGCAATTGATAGATGAGGAAAGAGGGTTGATTGTGCAGGAGGCCTATGCGGCGTATCGGCCCGCATCAGGCCGATTATCGTGATGGGCATCGGCATATCGACTGTCCGATGCCCAAGGAGGAGGAGCTGGAGGCCTTGGGCCCCGTCCCTGCATGTTTCAGTCTCGTCCACAGGGTAGGCGCACAAAACACACAAGACTTAATTTGATCTTCATCTCTACATACCGTCCATCGTCGCCACACGTAATAAAACTGCATCCTATCATCCAAATCTGTCACTCGATCCGGTGATCATTGAGCAATCCTTGGCGGAGGTGGTTAACGCATTGAGGAGGCTCAGGTCCAGGGAGGAGGGAAGAGAGGCAGATTGAGATCATCTTGATTTCGTTTGGAGGAACCGAGCTCTAAGATCCGGAGGGGAATGAGGACGGATGAGCACGAAAGGTTTTTTTAGGTAGTTGAGTAGCGTGACGCAATCTTACTGTAATTCGATAAGTGGAACAAGGGTTGTCGTCAGCTTGGTGGGTCGAAGAAAGGAGCACTGTCCATATTTTAGCTTCATATGGTAGCGAGACTGTGGCTAAATGGTGGGGAGCGATGGGGAGGCTACTTAGTCTCTTGGTGGGAGAATAGTGTTAACAAGCTCCGCCTTCGGAAAAAGACGATGTAACCAGGATTTGTCGGTGGGATCAGTTCATGTCATCAAGGTCAACTCAGACGCTCTCGCTGGTTTGCACAAGCTTAGATACCCTCGCTCCCTCATTGCTTCAATGTGCTACCCGGCCTTTTCGGGTTAACAGCTTTGTGTGGGTCAGACTGGATCAAAGATCTGTCCTAGTCTCGCCGCTTCAGGGTCCTATTGCGGGCACAAATGGTGGTGCACAAAACTGGCAATGATCGAATTCGGACAGGTACGAGGATGAGATTGGGATAGAGTCCTGCAAACCAGTCGCAGTAGTAAGAAAAGATGAATGCGAGTCACTTGCCGAGCATGACAGCACTCGAGAAAGTATGGTGTATACAATCCTCCGTCGGCGCGCAAAACGGATGAGTATGGGACAGGTAGAGGCATAAATGCATCATGCTCAAGCCCTAGCCAGCCGAAACAAGCCCCTTTGCAGGATCCAGCTTTCTTGTCACATCGTCATTCCTTCTCCAACCAAAGATCAACATAACGATCGCAAACCTGGAAAGGAATAGTACTGGCATCGCTTGTTTCAAATAACTTCTTTCCGCCTTTTGCCAAAGCCCTTCTCATCTTCCAGTCCCAGGCCTTATCACTATTGTAGTTCCAGACTAGATGAAAACAGTTATCCCTGGCGCTGGGTCGGTACTGCAACCCTATGCCTGCTTCCGTATAATTGACATAATAACTCGCAGTAATGTTGACGAAGGTGAAGTCTGTCAAGAAACCGTCTTTGACGATAGGGGCTCATGTATGATCGAATCCTGGATAGGAAGTTGAAGTGGCGTTGACCTAGTGAAGCGAGCCAGAGACGTGATGAAAGCAAGGAGACTTGGAGGCGGAATTGGCAGAACAAGCTTTGTTGAAGTCCGAGTTGCGAGGGCGAATTGGGGTCAACTTCAGCGGACAGTCTTGGGCAAAGGCCGCAGAAAGGGCGCTGAGAGTGCTGAGGAGGAGAATGAGCCCAAGTGAGTTCATTTCGGAAGCAAACTTGATGATTGGTACTGGAAGATGGAGGAAGGCGAAAGCTAAGTAGGATGGGAAGGTAGGAGTTGCTATCATTGAACAAAGAGGGAGCTTCGAATTGTTGGGATGGCGAGCCTCACGAGCCCTTTCGATCTTACCAGCTGTTGTCCTGTCGTGACAAGGTTGTGTCACAGCAGCAGCAGATGCTGAATCTCTAATGCGTAGACCGCACACTGCTTCACATCCTTGAGCGGAACGACTACTTTGTGCAGACATCTCATCAGGCAAAGGTGAGATTTGTATGAAGAGGTCGATTTACGTGCGTCTAGGTGACGAGCAGAAGCTGTACATCCTGAGAGTTTATATCATGCGAGAAATGCGGGAATGGTCTCACCGCTCACAAGTCCTATTATTCACTGCCATCGTACTTGATGTGGACGTGGACCCACTTTGTGCATAGGGTCGTGGACGTCTCCCCACGTTTCCAGGTGTCTAGGTCTCGCTCTTTGCTGTTCTCGGCAGAGACCCAGATACGGTAAGCATCCGTACTAGAGTGCTTCAGCGTGATCTTGAAGCAGCCCTTTTCCTTGTCGAAGTCGGAATAGCTCATCTCAACGTCCCCTTCCTGCCATTTCAGATCGAAGTCCTTGGTGGGGTCGGCAGTTGTAAAGTCTATTACAGAAAGTCAGATTGAAAGTTAGTACCGGGAGTCAAATTTCAGTGAGAGCCCATGCACTTGATGCATACCGTACTTGTAGCCATTTTTTATGAGGAGGAATTCGTGGGGAGCTTTGCCTGAAGCAGACGTATCGGCGAGCACATCATCCAAACTTCCGCTCCAGAAGGTGAAGCAAGGCCACTTGGGATCGGCACCGTCAGGGCCAGTCTCAGCTTCGCATCGTTTCCTGTAGTCGGTGTTATGAGGTAGTACCTTCGAGCGGGGTGGGCATACGTGCTTGTTATTATACCCATTCCTTGCATAGAGGGTTTCAGCACAGAATGCCAGCACGAGAGCGACGCCGATGAGTTGTGACTTGAGTGCGAGCATGTCCAATGCGTTCTTGAGTACTTGGAAGTCGAAAAGGGATGTCTCCTTGGGAAGTGAGAGATAAGACGGATTTCTGTTTTTCTGTGTTGAGCTGTGTCTTATCAGCAGATATTAGGACACCTGTAGTAGACGAACGAGGTAGGATGGCCCGCCGACATCCGGCATCGGTGGGACAGCCCACTGGTTCTTGTGCCTTCAACCGCCCAATCATGGTGTGCAGGCGTGTTCAGTGCTGTAAACCCAATTATGAAGCCAAGGAAGTGAAGTGTGGCGACATCGCATAGGCAAGTCTCGCCTCACTGTGGTACGGCGGGACTCAGCCATAGTCATGGCTTCATTTTTCGCAGCCCCTTGTGCTTGTCGACGCTCGTACATTGAGTGGGAGCAGTTGTCTCCTTTGCGACACAACTCCACCTCAGTTGCTGGGCAAGGTCGAAACAGGGGGGGAAAGATCGCATCAGGGTTGCCTTGCATGACAAAGGTACCGATCCAACAAGTTATGAAGAAATGACTGGAACCGATGGTGGAGAGATCGGGACGGATCGATCTGATCAGGGATATGGGAGAACCAATCTCACCAGAGATCAGGTACAACACCGTCCCACTCATTGTCAGGCATCGTCATGAGGTAGGATGCTCCCACACTTGGCATGTGCCACCACAATGTATATATATCAAGCTGAGGGCACTAGGCTCTCACCATGTTCACTCAGTCAATTGAGTATATTTGTTTCTGTCTACAAACTAGCAGTGACATCATACTCAGACTCTACCCAATCACCAGTATTGGGACCAAAACTTCTTTATTTATATCAGGTTATGAGCCCAACAAGCTGATTCACCATCAGCATGTCTAATCTGGACTACTTGAGCTATGATGACTTTGTTGAAACAATGCAAGATCTTCTGCCTCAATTGCTGAAAATCCTCCAAAATCATTGCAATCAAGAGATAGCCAATGAAACCTATGGTACTCCTATGGACCCAAAAGATGGTCAGTTACACAAGTACACCATGGAAGAGGGTGATGAAGAACAGACCATCTCACCCATGTCCATCATGATCAAATGCATTAGCAACCTTTACAAAGCAATGCACAACCTTGGTCCATTTGCTAGTCAAATTGAACTTGGTAGAGTGATGCAAACCAGAGTGAACCTCTTCCTCGCCAATGAGGAGTGGGATGCAAGCTGCATCCTCAACTTCAAGATTGAGGGTCTGATTGAGCAACAACACCCTATCAAGATGGAGATGTCATGGGCCTGGATGCTCAAGAAGCAGTAGGGTCACTGGTTCATATGGAAGGAGCACAGGTATCGAAGATCTAGTCGATACCAGTAGAGAGCATGGTCGTAGTGCAGTCTCCATGGAGACCATGGACTCCTATGGACTCACATGCAAAGGAGCACTGAGCCCATATGCAAGGAGGGCCAGGCACAGCCATGAGGAGGACCAAGCTCAAGGAGCAGGCACAGCCATGAAGAGGACCAAGCTCAAGGAGCATGCAGATGGTTACCACTCAGGGGCTCAAGAGACAAGAGTCAAAGGAACCGACACCAGGTCCTGAGGAGGAGGAGCAGTGTCGAAGGAGTCGACACCACTCAGGAGGCACAGGGGTGCCAAGCAGGAGAGGCCCCTGAGCAGTACTCGATGAAGAAGGTACTCTCTGGAGAGAGAGCAGGAGCAGCATCGCTGGCAAAGCTGTGAAGAGGTATATAACCATACCTTCTCATCATCATAGGTCGAGTGGATCCTCATCCACTCTACTCACCATACAACTAGTCAATACTTTAGAAACATAAGTACTCATTAGTTACAGTCAGCATAGCAGCAATCTATCAAGGTTGCTCCTCATCGTAGTGTGTGTGTTGTATCACCACTACCTGATGTCCATAGGCGCCCCATAGCAGGTTAGCAGTCCAGATATAGATAGAACCGAAGGCAGTAGTCCACTGCAGTCCGGGGATCACTTCAAGCATCAAAGTCAACACACTGGACACTCGTGTTGATGCCACCAACCTTATCACCAACACCATCAACCTCATTATCATCAACACTCACCAACCTTATCACCAACATCATCAACCTCATCATCATCAACACTCACACCAGACCTTGGTGTCATCATAACCGAAGCATTGATATTGATTGTGCCAAGCTACCCCTGAATGGAGTGTCCACAGAGGTCAGCCGAAACCTACGATAGTATATACAACGAATGCCACCTGCTGTCACTGTGCAACTTGATAGTCACCAATACCGAGACAATAGCTTTCGCACAGTTTGATAGTCACCAAGTATCTCGACAGACCGACCTGGGTTTCAGGCATGAGACCCCTGACATTAGAGTGGATTGTTCAAGCAGCTCCTCACAATCACCATGACGGACCCAGACCTCAACAATAAGCTCGATAGACTACTCACTCTATTGGAGGCACAGCTAGAGCTTACCAGACAGGGTCATCAAGAGGAATGATTACAACGAGCTCAACTGAGCAGGGAGGAGACATTGGACCTCTCTCACTCAGAAGACCAAGCAGGAGGAGGAGATGAGTCTATGATAGGAGACCCACATACTCCTACTCCGGCTCCACAACCAAGACGATCAGTCTCATTCAACCTGGATGAGCAAGACGATGTCAACTACGAGAAGTATGCTTCACCTACAGGGCCAAGATATGTCAAGACTAAGGTGGACCCCTACAGCAGGATCAGGACAGACCCTTACCCCCTGGACCACGAGGAGGACACCAGCATCATGGCAGAGCTTAACTGGTCAAAGCCCATTGTCATGGGCCTGGATGCTCAAGAAGCAGGAGGGTCATGGGTTCATATGGAAGGAGCACAGGTATCGAAGACCTAGTCGACACCAGTAGAGAGCATGGTCGTAGTGCAGTCTCCATGGAGACCATGGACTCCTATGGACTCACATGCAAAGGAGGGCCAAGCACAGCCACGAGGAGGACCAAGCTCAAGGAGCAGGCACAGCCACGAGGAGGACCAAGCTCAAGGAGCAGGCACAGCCACGAAGAGGACCAAGCTCAAGGAGCATGCAGATGGTTACCACTCAGGGGCTCGAGAGACAAGAGCCAAAGGAACTGTCACTGATCAAAGGAGGAGGAGCAGTGTCGAAGGAGTCGACACCAGGTCATGAGGAGGAGGAGCAGTGTCGAAGGAGTCGACACAGCTCAAGAGGCACAGGGGTGCCAAGCAGGAGAGGCCCCTGAGCAGTACTCGATGAAGAAGGTACTCTCTGGAGAGAGAGCAGGAGCAGCATCGCTGGCGATGCTGAGAAGAGGTATATAACCATGCTTTCTCATCAATAGGTCGAGTGGATCCTCATCCACTCTACTCACCATACAACTAGTCAATACTTTAGAAACATAAGTACTCATTAGTTTTCAGTCAGCATAGCAGCAATCTATCAAGGTTGCTCCTCCTCATAGTGTGTGTGTTGTATCACCACTACCTGACATCCGAAGGCACCCCATAGCAGGTTAGCAGTCTGGATATAGATAGAACCAAAGGCAGTAGTCCACTGCAGTCCAGGGATCACCTCAAGCATCAGTCAACACACTGGACACTTGTGTTGACGCCACCAACCTTATCACCAACACCATCAACCTCATTATCATCGACATTCACCAACCTTATCACTAACACCATCAACCTCATCATCATCAACACTCATGTCATGGGCCTGGATGCTCAAGAAGCAGGAGGGTCATGGGTTCATATGGAAGGAGCACAGGTATCGAAGACCTAGTCGACACCAATAGAGAGCATGGTCGTAGTGCAGTCTCCATGGAGACCATGGACTCCTATGGACTCACATGCAAAGGAGGGCCAAGCACAGCCACAAGGAGGACCAAGCTCAAGGAGCAGGCACAGCCACGAGGAGGACCAAGCTCAAGGAGCAGGCACAGCCACGAAGAGGACCAAGCTCAAGGAGCATGCAGATGGTTACCACTCAGGGGCTCGAGAGACAAGAGCCAAAGGAACTGTCACTGATCAAAGGAGGAGGAGCAGTGTCGAAGGAGTCGACACCAGGTCATGAGGAGGAGGAGCAGTGTCGAAGGAGTCGACACAGCTCAAGAGGCACAGGGGTGCCAAGCAGGAGAGGCCCCTGAGCAGTACTCGATGAAGAAGGTACTCTCTGGAGAGAGAGCAGGAGCAGCATCGCTGGCGATGCTGAGAAGAGGTATATAACCATGCTTTCTCATCAATAGGTCGAGTGGATCCTCATCCACTCTACTCACCATACAACTAGTCAATACTTTAGAAACACAAGTACTCATTAGTTACAGTCAGCATAGCAGCAATCTATCAAGGTTGCTCCTCATCGTAGTGTGTGTGTTGTATCACCACTACCTGACGTCCATAGGCGCCCCATAGCAGGTTAGCAGTCCAGATATAGATAGAACCGAAGGCAGTAGTCCACTGCGGTCCGGGGATCACTTCAAGCATCAAGTCAACACACTGGACACTTGTGTTGATGCCACCAACCTTATCACCAACACCATCAACCTCATTATCATCGACATCACCAATCTCATCACCAACACCATCAACCTCATCATCATCAACACTCACACCAGACCTTGGTGTCATCATAACATTGATATTGATCGTGCCGAGCTACCCCTGAACGGAGTGTCCACAGAGGTCAGCCGAAACCTACGATAGTATATACAACGAACGCCACCTGCTGTCACTGCACAACTTGATAGTCACCGATACCGAGACAATAGCTGTCACACAGTTTGATAGTCACCGAGTATCTCGACAGACCGACCTGGGTTTCAGGCGCGAGACCCCTGACACCCATCACCACCCCCTTTCCAAAGTTCAATCCCTGAGACATGGAGATCTTCATTCTAGAAGCCGAAGCATGGTTTAAGTTCAACCAGGTGTATGAGCAGACTAGGATGATCAACCACATGGGTGCTCAACTAGAAGGGACAGCAAGAGAGTGGTGGACCTCCAAGCTCCATATTGATAGAGCTAGAGAAGGAAGGTTGTTCAATGATTGGCACTACTTCACAGAGCGACTGTCAGAGCAGTTCAACCCATGCAATGCTTGGATGGAGGCCTACAACAAGCTGTTGGCTCTCAGGCTCACAAGTGATGTGTCAGGGGTCTCGCGCCTGAAACCCAGGCCGGTCCGTCGAGATACTCGGTGACTATCAAACTGTGTGACAGCTATTGTCTCGGTATCGGTGACTATCAAGTTGTGCAGTGACAGCAGGTGGCGTTCGTTGTATATACTATCGTAGGTTTCGGCTGACCTCTGTGGACACTCCGTTCAGGGGTAGCTCGGCACGATCGATATCAATGTTATGATGACACCAAGGACTGGTGTGAGTGTTGATGATGATGAGGTTGATGGTGTTGGTGATGGGATTGGTGATGTCGATGATAATGAGGTTGATGGTGTTGGTGATAAGGTTGGTGGCGTCAACACGAGTGTCCAGTGTGTTGACTTGATGCTTGAAGTGATCCCCGGACCGCAGTGGACTACTGCCTTCGGTTCTATCTATATCCGGACCGCTAACCTGCTATGGGCGCCTTCGGACGTCAGGTAGTGGTGATACAACACACACACTACGATGAGGAGCAACCTTGATAGATTGCTGCTATGCTGACTGTAACTAATGAGTACTTGTGTTTCTAAAGTATTGACTAGTTGTATGGTGAGTAGAGTGGATGGGGATCCACTCGACCTATGATGATGAGAAAGCATGGTTATATACCTCTTCACAGCATCGCCAGCGATGCTGCTCCTGCTCTCTCTCCAGAGAGTACTTTCTTCATCGAGTACTGCTCAGGGGCCTCTCCTGCTTGGCACCCCTGTGCCTCTTGAGTGGTGTCGACTCCTTCGACACTGCTCCTCCTCCTCATGACCTGTGTCGACTCCTTCGACACTGCTCCTCCTCCTGTGTCGACTTCCTGTCTCTCGAGCCCCTGAGTGGTAACCATCTGAGCTTGGTCCTCCTCATGGCTGCGCCTGCTCTTTGAGCTTGGTCCTCCTCGTGGCTGTGCCTGGTCCTCCTCGCATATGGGCTCAGTGCTCCTTTGCATGTGAATCCATAGGGGTCCATGGTCTCCATGGAGACTGCACTACGACCATGCTCTCTACTGGTATCGACTAGGTCTTCGATACCTGTGCTCCATCCATATGAACCAGTGACCCTCCTGCTTCTTGAGCATCCAGGCCCATGACATGATGCTCCTGGTGCTGCCACACATCATGTAGAGCAGTTCAGAGACTTGGAGGGACAGGTCAACCTAGATGACAATGAGCTAGTGATTGATCTCTTCAGAGGTAGTCTCACTTGTAGCATACAGGAGAAGTTCGAGAGGAATCCACCTGGAAAGAGATGGGAGTGGTACCGAGAGGTTGAGGAGATCGATCGACAGAGGATGCTACTACAGCAGTCCTCAGCTAGACACTCACTCCTGAACGCCACATCACCCCCACTAAGAACTGGGTCTCAGCCAAATCAAAGTTCGATCCCCATCCGACAACCCACTCAACCTTATCCAGCTCGATCACCATCACAAGCAACTACACAAGCAACTATACAAAACCTAAACCAACCAACTAACCGACCCCTTCCTCATCATCCCACCCAACCCTCGAAGCAAGGAAGCCCTGCTCCATCAGGTATCAACACCTGTCATGTATGCAAGGGTATCAGCCATTGGGCCAGAGACTGCCCCAGCAGGAGGGTAGACCCTCTTAGCTCTCGACCCATGGGACCAAAGGTTATGGTCACCACAGCAGACCCCTTCAAGGAGGCCACCGACTCAGGAGATGGCCACACAGGCAGCACTGAGATGGGTGACCCCAAGGCCATGGACCTCAGCTCATACCAGCAACCCATGGACCCCGGTCATGAGGAGGAGCATGATGATGACGACGACGAGGGAAATGTCAGTGGGGTGATGCACTGATGGCATGCATTGCTCTAAAAACCTCCTCACCATCACTCTGTATATATCAAGATTGTCAAGTATGTTTCTCTACCAGTGGAGGCAAAGCAGTACTGGAGCTCTCTGGAATGGTTCAAGACCATCCTGCTCGGATACTAGCTGATACCGGTGCTGGTTTGTCCATAGTCTCAGATTCTTTCATTAGTATGCTTTAATCAATGCCCTGCATGGAACAATTGACACTACCAGAGAATACAATGTAAATTACCTCATTCTAGATGTAATCAAGGAGTACCTTACTTTCAATCAAGTATGAAGAAAGATCAAAAACAGTCTCACAAATGAAGCCACCAAGATGTCTCACAGACTTGCACTCATCTTGCAGCTCAATGATGTAAAGATGTTTCACTCAGATGCCAGAAAGCTAATTCAAGAGATCTGGTCCATACAGACTGAAAGTAGCCTCCTTGGCAAACCATTTGCTGATGATACATTGTTCTTGGCTCTGCAGAAATGCATGATCCAGCATCTGGTGTATAAGGAGACAGTTGCCACCATTCATCAAATCGATTTCAACACCCTTGCCACTGCACTAAGCATCTGGCAGACTGCTGTTGAGAGCATCCCTGCACAAAAGATCAACCCCTGACAAGCCAGCACTAGAACCGCTGGCAATGACAATCAAAATGAATGGGCTGGAGAGACCGAAGCTGAAGCCAACAACAGCCACATGAGCTCGAGGAACACAGGCAGACCATGCCAAATCTGATGCTGGATCTGCAAGCAACTGGGACATGGTATTAGTCAATGCAATGCCTTGGTCACCATTCCCAAAGACTCCCCCCTCGCTAAACCTAAATAGGAAGCATGGTGCTCCCTCACCCTCCCATTGAAATGGCAAGACCCCCTGAACACAAAAGAAACAGCTCATTGGATCTTGGACTCGGGGGCAAGTTATCATATGGTGAATGACTATAGCATGCTCATCCATCCAAGAACTTGCCGAAAGCAGATAATTACTGCTGGAAGCGAGGTCTTGGAAGTGGCAGCTATAGGAGATGCAAGCATATCAACAGATTATGGGGAAATCTCCCTACAAAATGTATTATATGTGAAGCACCTTAATGTTAACCTTCTGTCAACAAATTCATTAATGGATGAAGGAGCATGAGTGATATTGGACACAACTGGTGGTCAAATTTTTCTAACAAATGGCATGACACTTAAGATTGCAAAGAATTGCAAGCAAGGACTTTTGGAGTTCCAAGGTGACACATGGCAAGAAAGCATGATGGCCACATCAACACCATTGTTTGAAGGTGTTGATGAGGAGTTCGAGCATATTAAGAATGAGCCAAAAGTTTCAAAGCAACAACTATGGCATGAGCATCTCAGACACCCAGGAAGAGATAAAGCTAAGGTGATCACGAGCAAGTTAAAAGATAAGCATACCATGGAATTGGATCCAAACACTGCTCTGACATGTGAGCAGTGCATACGATCCAAAAGCACAAGCACTCAGATGGGGCAAGGTAGTGGCAAAAGAGCCATAGGGCCCCTGGATCTTATCCACATCGATCTAATAATAGATTTGTCCCATGTGACAGAGTACACATGCACATTGGTGCTGGTCAACAATCATAGCAAGTATGTGTATGCACAGCCATTGACACAAAAGAGTCATGCATTTATGCAACTCAAAAGGATTGTTTTGTTCCTGGAGACACAGACAGATTGGAAGCTAAAAGCAATCCAATCTGATCAAGGAATGGAATGGAAAAGCAATGATGCATTAGAATGGTCGCTAGAAAAGGGCATAGAGTGGCAAACCACCATAGGGTACAACAGCAAACAAAATGGATGGGTAGAGAGAATGAACAGGACCCTTGGAGAGAAGATGAGAACATTGCTAATGCAGAGGAGACTACCAAAGAAGTTCTGGCCATATGCAATCAGAGCTGCAGCATTCAAAATAAACCTCACTCTGAGCATTGATAATGAGTTCCCTTATCAAGCAATGTTTGGCAAGTCGCTGGAGTGAGCTTTAAGACTCCTATGAGTGTTTGGTTGTCTGGCATGGGTAAACATACCCAAAGTCAAACAGGACAACAAGAAACTGGACCAGCAAGCCATCGCATCCATTTTCTTGGGATACAGTCTAGAGAGAAAAGGCTGGCTTTTCTACAGTCCAGACTATAATCCAAACATGTTCTGGAGCAATTCAGCAAAATTCATGGAATCAAAGTGCTGGTCAGACAGAACAGAGTGGCAACCAGTTGACACAAAGGCACCTCCAGTGATGATGACAGAAGAGAATTTCAAAGATCTAGGATACAACAAAGAAAATATATTTGACAAAACAGATGAAGGGCCACTACAAGAATACATGGATATGGAGACAGATTTGGAAGAAAGGTTAAGCGGAGGAACAGCAGAGGTGATGGAACAAGGATCAACTGCTGAAACTCAGATTGACAGCAAATTCTTTGGACTTGTAGCAACACTACTGGAATGGAGAAAGAACCTGGACCCAACCATACATGAAGCAATGAGTGGAGAAGACAGAAAGCACTGGGAGGAGGCCATGCAAAAGGAGCTGGATGGATTGGAAGCAATGGGCATGTGGGAGATTGCTGACCTCCTGAAGGGTGCAAATACTGTCAACACACATTGGGTACTCAAGATCAAAACTGATGCAAACCTCATGCTGACAAAGTTCAAAGCCTGGCTTGTGGCATGAGGTTTCACCCAATGCAAGGGCATTGACTACACAGAGGTCTTCACACCAGTAGCACCCATCCAATCCATTTGAGGGGTGATCACTGTCACAGCAGTATGAGATTGGGAAATAGACTCTATTGATGTAAAGCAAGCATACCTGAACTCCACTATACACCATTATGTATATCTAAAGCCCCCAGTAGGAATCAAAATACCACCCAGAAAAGTGTTGAAGGTAGTGAAAGGACTGTATGGTCTGAAACAATCAGGCCAAGAATGGAACATTGAGTTAGACTCACATCTCCAGATGATTGGATTTCATTGCATGCTGAGTGCACCATGCCTATACTCAAGAGGGACAGGCAACAGGATCATGATCATTACAGCATATGTGGATGACATGCTGATAACATTGTCATGGGCCTGGGTGCGCAGAATGAGGAAAGACCGAAGTTCATATGAAGGTAGTGCAGGAATCGTGGAATCGGGTAGATCGTCAGAGCTGTGACAGAGTTCACTGAGATTGGCAGTAGAATCAACTCTATGGCAGACCACAGCGAAATCGGCACGAGCATCGTTGATATCACGAATCCCACCAGAATCTGCAGCAAGCGAGAATGTGTGGCAGATTCCGCAGAGATCAGTAGTAAGGATGTCCATATGATGATTCACATGCAAGAGGGACCGAGCTCAGTGACATGCAGTCAGTTACCACTCAGGGGCCCACAGGACAGGAGGAGAAGAGAACCATTGCCAGTCAAAGGAAGGAGATCTGTGTATAGGACACTGGCAAAAGGGACATGAAGAGGAGGAGCAGTGTCGATGAAGTTGACACAGCTCAGGAAAGACAGGAGGGACAAGGCTTGATATGGAGGAGGTGCCTTCTTGGAGACCCCTGTACAGTACTCAACGAAGAGAGTACTCTCTGGAGAGAGGGAGCAGGAGCAGTGTCGCTGGCGACACTGCGAAGAGGTATATAGTCCTACCTCCTCATCACAAATGGTCGAGTGGAGTCTCATCCACTCTACTCATCAAACAAACTAGTATTACTTCAAAGCAATAAGTATCATTAGTTCACAGTCAGCATAGTAGTAATCAACAGATTACTCCTCATCGAAGTGCATGTGTTGTATCACTGTTTCCTGATGTCTGAAGGCAGTTTGTAGCAAACCAGCAGTCCAGATAACAATAGAACTGAAGGCAGACATCCACTGCAGCCTGGGGATCACTTCAAGCGTTAGCTGACACACTGGACACTTGTGTTGGTGTCATCAATCCATACTCACACCAGACCATTGGTGTCAACATCAAGCTCACTTAGAGTCATATTGTAGTCTGATCGTGCCAAGCTACCTCTGGATGGAGTGTCCACAGCAGTTAGTCGAAATCTGTCATAATGATAATACAACTACAGATTCTAACGAGAAAAGCAGCAGAGATGGTTCTGTCATATATTTCACTAAGAATCGAAATACCATTAGTGCTGTCACATAATTCGACAGAATCGGTGATAGTATCAATACTACCACAGATCTCAGGTTTCAGGCGCGCGACCGCTGACAAACATCACCCAGTCATGATGAAGTAGACTGCACTAAGTGAGAGATCATGGACAAATGGGAGATGCAAGACAACAGAAGGATCAAAGAATTTCTGGGTATCAAGATCACACATGATAGAAGACAGAGGAGGATATCTCTGGGCCTAATGGCATACATCAAAGAAATGGTGAACAAATGGTTAAGAGGAGCAAATGAGAAATCTTGGGTACCCATGCTGAGTGTAGTGAATGTCACCAGAGGCAAGAGATGTGAACCTCAGTGAGCAAAGAAGTATCAAGAGTTGGTCAGCCAACTATCATGGGTCTCCAACACAGCCTGACCAGATATTGCCTTTTCTGTTGGCGTATTGTTGCAATATATGTCAATCCTGATCGACAGTGCATGGAAGGCAGCCATTCACATGGTAAAGTACCTGAACCAGACAAACAAATATCAGTTGCACTTAGGAGGGGAGACAAACAAGCACTCAGATACACCAGTAACAACATATACTGACACAAACTGGGCATCTGATCCCACAAATGGATGAAGGAGCACCTTGGGGTCAATAACATATGTGTATGGATGTCCAGTGAGTTGGAAGTCTCACATTCAAAAATGTGTGGCATTGTCAGCAGTTGAAGCAGAGTTTGTCACTGCTTCCAAAGTGGTGTGAGAAGCATTGTTCTTCTCATATTTGCTCTGGGACTTGGAGATCACAGACATTCAGCCCATGCTATACACAGATAGCCAGGGGTGCATACAGGTGAGTAAAGATCCAGCCAAACATTGGAAGTTAAAGCACATCGACACATGGTATCATTTCATCCACAATCACATGCAAGAGGGCAATGTGGCAATCAAATATGTCAGAACAGCAAACAACATTGCAGATGTCTTGACAAAACCTTTACAGGGTCTCAACACCTCACAATTGGCTAGGATGATAGGGCTGGAGATCCCACCGAAGGGGGGAGTTGAAGATGTGTTGGCATCTCAAGCAAGATGCATGTGTCACAGCTGAGACACCGAGGTACAGGAGGCTTACTTAAGTGAGAAGCACAATGAGGTACATGATTGTTGTCATGGCGACAGCTCAGTGGTACCCAGTATCATAGCAACACAGGAGTATGAATGAAGTGACACATCCTGTCCTGGATAGGACTAGAGTGGCGAATGGAGTATATATATATGTGTTTGTCATTTAGGTTCACACTATGAAAAAAAACTAAGCATTACATAGAACATACAGCTGTGGTAAAGGGAGTCTGATCGTGACCCCGATAACGCCGTATATTAATTGTTATCTTCAATTGTAAGTAATGAATATTCAATGCAATTGAAAACTCAAAAAAAAAAACTTGAGTTTTCGAGAAAAGAAAAAAATGAAATTCCCTAATCTCATTTTTTGTCAGTCTCCAACCTCAATTTCGATACGAAAGCAGCCAGGCCCCTACAACGGTGGGGCACTGAGCTGATACCCCTGATACGTTTCTTGTATAAACGCCCACGCCAGATGGCACAACGTATCATAGTCACGAGACCCCCCATCTCATCAGAATGTTTATTCTTGCCATGACTCGATACAAGAGATTCTCACTCAGAACGTGTTAGGAGATATCGGGCATATCGGCTCGTTAAGACCGGTAACCCGATAAGGCTTGGGCATATCGGTCAAGAGGAAGCTTCTAGAATGGAAGCCTCTAGAAAGGAGAGGGTCGTCTTCGTTGGCCTCCGTACCCTGATGAAAGGTATAAGAAGCGGCACTCAGATAGTAGCTCCAGTAGTTTTCACCATCCATCTGTACTTACGTTCGTTGTCGCTACACGTAATAAACACCGCATCCTACCATCAAACCTTCACATTCCAACAGAACGAACTTTTCTTCCACGTCGATGTCTCTTGTAGTCCCATAAGCTCTGCTCCAGCTCCGAGAGAAAAGCGGAGCCTACTTATGCCGGAGAAGAAGTGGATAAGAAGCCGGTAGAACGGCTTGTCCATTGCCCTTTCTCCATCCGCTCCTTCGCTCACTCTCAAACTCACTTCTCCCTCGAACAAGTATCTCATCCCATACCAAAAGCCACCTTCTCACCACGCAATAATCATGAAGCTTTTCTCCGGCATCCTCGCTCTTTGCGCCGTGATGGTCATTTTCATCGCCACTGTCAAGGCCGACGAGTGCAAATGCCCCAATGGTTCACGCTGCTGTGGTAATTCGTAAGAAACAAATTCTTTCTAACGAAGAGATTGGAGCTTGCTGATTGCTGATTGCTGACAAAATTTCCCCTCTCCGGGTTGATGATGATGTTGGTGCGGTAGCATTCACTATAGCAGCTGTTCCTGTGACAAAAACTGTCCTCCTGGTTATGAGTTGAATCGCTCTGGTTAGCCTGATAGCTCACACGAAGGTTTCGAGAAGGCCTTCAAGGATGATGGCACGGACTGAGGTGGACGGACTTCAACTGCATATGTGATCGTTTTCTCTGAATGCTGGTCTAGCTTCTGTTGCTTTTCACGATATAATTATCCACCATTCTTGCCACTCGCCTTTGCGCTCAACCGATCCAATTCTAGGCGGACGGTGAATGTCATTGAAATTTACGCACTACTGATACATCCGCAATCAATCACACTCAACCATCTTCAGAGGCGTCCTTTTATTTCAAGACTGGGTTATTTCGACCTTCGATTGTGCTGTCAGATGTCGCGACTCGCGAGGGCCGCGCGCATGCCCAGCACGTCGATGACAGTTTCCTGATCTGTTACTATGGATACAAACAAGGTGAGCGTAACGCGTAAGCAATGTCAAAGCACGATCGTGGCTTGATACGAACAGCATCAGCTCCTGCCCCCCACTACAGCCTGCTGTTACAGCCCCTTGTGAGTAGTGCAGAAGTTGCGGGTCGTAGTCTCGAGCTGTTTTCTGATCTTTGTCCTTTATGACGGACGCAACTGTTATGTCTACGTTTATAATCCAAACTGCATTAGGGCCAGACTTCAAGACACCAAGACTGCAGACCTCGGGGATGATTTTGTGAGGGTTGAGCAGTCAAGATAATGATTCTGATCGAACCTTAGAAATCTAGCTGGCTGAAGACTGTGCTCGTTGTCCGTCTCTCTGCGTCGCTTTTGTTACTAATCATCGAAGATTAGCGATTTGTTCAATATGATCGCTGTTTCTGAGCACAGCACGAAACGTGCAGAGTGTCTGTAGTTCGACCTTGACCGCCACTTGCGTGTGTGTGGTCCCCATTAAGATGCGACAGTTGATCCTGGGCTCGAGGCAAATTGTAGTTTGTCGACATCCGTCACACGTCAAATCTTCTCTCCAGGTCGATCGGCGGCGATTGACATCTGTCTCTCAGAGAGAATTTGATGAGCAACGAAAAAAAGAAAAGGTCCAAAAACGTGTGGGGAAACTCTGGACTCGAAAATGGTACCCGCTCTATGCCGCCAAGGGTTGTTGGAGTACGTGAAAAGAGGTCTCCGCCCAGTCAGTGCATAGTTTCCGCCGAGTACGAGATGCGGGGTAAAGCCTACCATCCTCGTTCTTATACTTAGGCTCAGCCTCGTACTCCCCTCTTCTCTCCTTCTGCGTGACCAGTTTCTACAATCCTTCTCTTTGACATCATTGCACCACCCAAAATGTCTAACCCGACAGCTATCCCACTCAACGACAAGCTGAAAACGGCCATCAACCGTCGTACGAAACCCAACGCATTTACTCTCGATGTCGTCATCAACAATCTTTTTCGGCCCTTGTTCCACTCTCCTACCCTCTCTCTCATAGCTACCATCCTTTCTTTCGTTCGAATTGTCGGTGGTTTAAACAACCTTCAATTCTTGCGAGAGAGAAAAGATCTGAGTCGAAGGGAAAAACTCGCTTCCCTCTTCACAGACTTTGTTGCTGGCTGGAGCGACCCCGGCAACCGTCTCGCTAAATACTACCTCCTGATTCGGCTACTGAAAACGGTCAACGCAATTGGTAACCGACTCTTGATCAACCGACAAGGGAGGAGAAATGTTCGATGGCACGAACATGTAGTAGTCATCACCGGCGGTGCACGTGGGATTTGCGGACACATAACCAAAATGCTCCGACAAAAAGGAGCCACTGTAGTCGTGTTGGATCTCCTAGAGAAGTCAGAACACGGATTGGAAACGTTATATGTCCAAACCGACGTGACTGACATCCAGTCCTTGGAGAAAGCAAAGAAGACAATTGAGGAAAAGGTGGGATACGCTACAATGCTCGTCCTCGGTGCAGGTATCGCTCGACACTCATTCTTGCTCGACACAGAAGAACAGTTCCCGTACCATTTGGCCAAGCAAGTTTCAGAGGTCAACTACCACGGTGTTCTGGCCTGTCTTAAGACTTTCGGCGAGCACATGCTCCCGGATGGCGGAGTCAAAGATCGACCTTACAAGCAAGCCAAAAACGGTTGGGGAGGTCACATCTTAACCATCGGATCTGGAGCGGCGTACATCGAACTCCCAGCAAATGCAGCTTATAACGCCTCTAAGGCAGCCGTTCTTTCCCTCCACTCTTCACTGCAGAGTGAGTTGCAGGCTTATCACAGGGTGGATAATGTCAGAGCTTCAGTCATCTGCCCGCTGAAGATCGAAAGTAAGATGACGGAGGGAAGGATGATCGATACCCGCGATCAATTCATGCTGCCGACGTTGACTATTCCGGAAGCGGCAGGGAAAATTGTGCAAGTGTTGGAGGGGGATAAGAGTAGAATTGTTTACATTCCAAGGGCGATGTATGGGATGAGTTATTTGAGTAAAGTGCTGCCTGCGTGGCTGTTGAGGTCGGTGCAAGGGGGGTTGGGAGCAATGGATACTTTCTTGGTTTATGCTAAGGAGTATAGGAATCGGGAGGAGAACATTCATCAGTAGTGAGCGTTGTAAACGGCATAAAGTGTATTACTGTCCTCAAAGACAAAATGGAAGCCCAGTGGATGGAACGGACGCTTGTGTCTGTGTGCTCTGTTGAAGGGCGTGCGTCAAATGTCGATGATCACAAGTATCGATTGCGATGAGGAGCATAGCTAAGTACATGACGATCCCTAGTGTATATATATGTGTCTTACGAGGACAATGAGACTGAAGCATAGTATGGAGATTACCGAGATACTGTGTTGGCTATCTATCAGCTGGCATGCTGATGCCGATCGCGGTAATCGATTCGGATGATGTGGTTTATATCCGAGTGAGTGAGGTTGGTGTTTAATGTGAGCTCGGAAGCAGAAGTTGCTGAAAAAGACGATCCAGTAGAACACGATCTGACGATGAATCGGGGAAATACGATCTGATCGGAGATCGGGCGGACCGATATGATCTCACACTGTCGGATCTGTATCATGCCCGGTTAACAGATAGCCGACATAGTTGCCTCCGTCATGTTTCAGCATCATATACTGGGCAGCACATCTCTGTATCATACACATATGCACAGAACGCTGGAACACATATATATATATATACTAGTCATTATCTTGTACTTAGTCCTCACATATCATAGCAATCGATACTTGTGATCATCGCTATTTGCTGTACGTCCTTCAACTTTAAAGAGCCTTCTTGCACGGATCGCCAGCCAACGCTGATGGTCTTGAATCGGCGATCTCGGTGCATCGGGATATGTCCTCAGAGCAGACAAACAGTGATGCTTCCATCAATGTAGCCTGTCCCAGGAAGGGCAAGCTTGGCACGGCAGGAACAACCATCAAGTACCTAAGGTATCACTCCATTGAGCGGCAGATAATACGTTACAGTACAGGGAGAGCGATTAAAAGGGAGAGAGAAAGCGACCCTTGGCGCATCTTTTCCACAAATGCAAAGAGCCTCTACAAAGAACACTTTGGATGTCTTCCTTAATCCTTCTTTCCAAGCGGAATCACCGGCAAGGTAAAGAAACTGTTGTAAGGGCTCAAGAAACTAGCGATACCCAAATAGTATCCCGCAAATCCAGTCGCAATGCCAAATGCACCTCCAGCGGTCTGCAGTGCAGCAATACCAGTGTAGGCGTGAGCTCCCAACATGATGAAAGTGATCCAGAGGAGGAAGATCAATACGAAAAGCGAGACCGAACCACGAAGAGAAGCGATGAGGTAGATGGTAGTAATACCGAACCAGATCCAGAGGTAGAGACCAATGGCGCTTTCCGCTTCAGCCGCATAAGGAGAACCCTTTGAGTAGATACCAGGGACACCGTTGTAAGTGCCTTCAAAACCGAAGAAAGGGATAAGGATGACAGCATATCCCCACCAGAACATGCCGAAGGAGCAGAATACGGTAGCACCGAAAGTGTTGCCTGATGCAAACTCCCACAAGCCAGCAAGGAATTGAGCGAGACCACCATAGGAGAGAGCGAAACCGAGAACGGCGTTGGGCATCTCGATGCCTCGGATTTGAATGTTGTATAGGGAGAGGAGGAGAGTCGTGGTCGAGAAGCCAAACACTATATATTCACAGAACAAGCAGAGGCATCAGTATTCGAGCGAGAGAAACATAGATTGTAAGGTGAGTGAATGCTTACCTCCGAGAGGAAGAGGGTTACCAATACGACGATGAGAGTTTGCGATAGCAAGCAAGTCATCATCGGCAAAGTGACCTCCAGGGGTGAGAGTTCGGCTCATAGTGGGACCGCCAAATCCAGCACCGTTGTACATGGGTGCCTGATGAGCCATGGTTCCCTTTTCGTTGTCAAAGCTTTGGTGTCCGTTGCGATGGCCGTTGGTGTAGCCATTGCCGTTGTTGACGGGTGAAGAGTGACCGTTGGCGGTAGCAGCACCGTCAGCGGAGTGAGGAGTAGCTGCAGTCAACTGGTGACTGTTTGCGTTGACGGCCTGCGACATGGTTGTTGAGCTCTATACAGTCTTTGATATTCGGGATTGCGAGAAGGAGGTGATGGTGATAAGAGAGATAATAATCAGGATGGGAAGCAAGAGCAAGGGAAAGGTAGGCTGAGGGATATCCAGTGATGAGATGCGGGATAGACAACAACCAGGGCTCGAGCAAGATTCTCGTGTGTGGGGATGTTACACCAGTCAATGCCTACTTTCTCGCTCGTTATCATGCGGAGCAACGACTGCACGGTGTATTGCCTCGATGAGAACAGACCAAGTGAGGTTCCTTGCACAATGCGGGGAAAGCGCAGGGATATTTGCAGAGCCGAGTATAGGACGCTCACACACTTTCGCACGCTCTCTCTCGGCTTGATGCACGGGAAAGAGGGGTAGAGAGTAGTGATGGTATGTTGGTTTAGCCGCAGGAGAGAATGGTCAACATGACGGGGCAAGAATGACACATCGCCCCGAGCCGAGTTACCAGTCACCCTCGGTAGTGCCATAATCTCAGTGTACGTCCAAGAAAGAGAGGACGCAGGTAGGAAGATCAAGCAAAGGGCGGAGGAGATCCAAAAACTTGCCTTGTCTTGTCCCGGGTGGAATGCTTAGTCTAAGTTACTCTAACTCGAATGTGGGGAATGGTCAGCTTGGCTCTGTTGTTGTGACCGCATGCCCTTTGTACCACCCGAGTGTTCGAGCAGAACACAAAACAATGATGTGGCCGAGCCGCGGAGAAATAAGCTGACTCGCAACGCAACGCTACACAACACAACACAACACAACACAACACAACACAACACCATGACTGTGAGTCTGACTGTTGAAGCGGCTGTCGGAGTGTCAGGCCTGCATGCCGGCCGCGGCGGAAGAGGAATGCGGGGTAACATATTGTACGTCAATGACGGAGTTCATGTTTGCTTCCTCTCCTTTGTCGCCAACATCTCTGCTTCCATCGCGATCCGATCGATTCGTCAATTCCACTCTTCCGAGGGCTTGGCCTACGCCATTTCCTATCTGTGCTCGAATGTCAATCTTTGAGAATGACTCGGTGGCACAAACAAGCCAAGCACCATGACAAGCACGAGGATTGGAGTGCACGGAGCAGCCAACTTCGTCGTTGTTGTCACTTGATTTGGTCTCCTTGCGTAGAGCAAACGATGTTGTTCGCTCAAACTCGCCTTGTTTTCCGCCGCGGCCAGCTTCGTCGCTCAAATTCGGCAGGTATGTGATGCACCTCGACGCAACACAATCGCTTGCTGACATTCCAACCGACCTCCGCGCACTTTCGCCACGATGACATGCCGTAGACAACTCTCCCTTACCCCGCTTTTGTTGCCGGAGTGAAACAAGGTCACACTAGGTTGTCCCGTTCGGTGTTGTCACTGCAAAGCTGCAATTCTCTGTGCAGTGTGCCTGGGTGATGGATGTGTTCATGCTCGAAAGATCAGAGTAACTCAGCGTCCGCGAGGTTGGTCTGCGTTGCCGAGACTAGCGTCGTACCTTAGAGCCCCCTGCCCATAGCTGCTACACTGTAGGCGAGTCTGAGCTGCTGCACATACGAAGGTTTGGTTCATCTGGCGTCCGATAGCAACAGCCTGACTGTGCCAGTAGCGTCTGTCGACGTGCTTGCCCCGCAACTTCCCCGCAAAGTCAAATCCCAGCTATAGCGATTCGGTCAAGTCTTGCTCATCAACACACCTCTCGCCCTCTTCACCTTGTCAGCTTCTCCTCCATTCTCATCGCTACGAGTTCCCGTAGACCTCCTTCCGTTTCACCTTACCACCGCCATCTTTCAATCTCCATCATCATTCGTTTCTGATCTCCATCACAACCGTCGAAGAAGCACGCCAACATGTCGATCAACAACTACAAGCACCCAAACCTCAAGCAGCAGTGGGGTCTCGTCGAGGACCCTAACGGCAGCGACCATGTTGTCACTTCAAAGGGTCACCGATTGACACGAACATTGACAGCTGGTGGACACGAGGTGGACTCGTCGCAGCCTGGTTTCCCTATCTACCACCGAAGGATCGCAAAGTGAGTAATGGCTCCAACAGCGTTCGCGTAGAGATGCTCGATGGCGAAAGAGTGTACCTAACAATGACTGTATTCTGTTTCTGTTTGTTGCCTGTGGTATTAGCCCGTTCCCATTGGTTTGCATCGCTACTGGCGCCTCGCTGCTGATGCTTGGCTTCGTTCTGATTCGACACCGCGGTATCACCAACCCTGCTATCTGTGAGTGTAAACCTACACTGATCGGCACGGTCCCTCCTCCAGTGATGCTGTTTGCTGACTTCTGTTTTCTCTTGAACGGGCTGTTTATTACAGACATGGCCATCGCTCTCCCGCTCGGAATGATCGGCAACTTTGCCGCGTGCATGTTTTCTTACGCTGAGGGCTCTACCTACCTTGCCACCATCTCTGGTACTCTTGCTGGATTGATCGGTGGTACTGGCTTGCTCTTCCTTCCCTGGACCGGTATTCAGTCAACCTACGTTCTCGGTGGAGCCAACCAAGCAGCAGGTGTAGCCGAGTTCTACAAAGCCTCTGCCATGGTTTTCTTCATCTCGCTCATCCCTATCTTCTTGATCTTCCTCGCTTCCTTCCGTACCTCAGGCCCTGTCGCTGGTGCAGCACTCCTCATCGTTGTCGCACTTGGCTGTCTCGGTGGAGCTTACATCAAGGGAGTGGAGGACTTGGTGATTGCAAAGGCGTCCGGTGCATTGTTCATCGTGGTGGGCGTGTCGCTGTTCTATGCCGCTACTTCGGTGATGTTGGCCGAGGAAGGATGGAAGCTCTTGCCCGTTTTCCCTCTGCCCAGGCTCGAGTAAGCTGTCGGCTGGCTGGGCTTCGTATCTCCTCTCAGGGACAAAAAGGTCTCATTGGTTGTCAAACAATGCTACATCATATACCATCTCTTGTTCTGCTTTTGATGTGTAAGCCGTGGCTGTAACCGATTGCGATGCATCAAAAGCTTGCTACCAGAAGCGCTTTCGTGTGCGGCCTGTTCCAGGTTGATGATGTTCGCACTGAGCTCGTTCGTAAGATGACATCTGAAGAAGAGTCGCTGCGCTCGCCATGAATGTCAGACCGAACGTGTGGAATTGAATTGTTCCTCACTACGGTTCTGCTGAGCGGAGATCTGGTGTCTGCGGGACGAATCCGAGCTGAAGGCATGGGTGCGGAAGACAAAGGCAAACGGCTTGGACTGGGGCTTGCTGAATGCTGTCTCCGACCTGCTTCACCCGCTAGTAATCTGCCACTTTCTTTGCGAATAGCCTCTGCGCGTGCGGCCTTGTCTTTGCCAGCACTTTCAGGAATGTCCGGAAAGCAACTTGAGGATAGGGAGATGGACTACTTGGCTCACTTTGCCTGCACCTACTACGCCGGCATTCAACCTGGAGTCCGACATTTCCGTCTCGAGGAGATGGTGGAATTGAACAGCATGTTGCTGAAGATCGCTTTCCGCACTGTGAGTATGAAGCGGAAAGTCGTGGTGATGGTGATGAATCATTCAGTGCACATTTGGCTACATGCAAATGAATTTTAATGCTCCGAAAGGCATCGGAAAACGGAGACGAGTGTGGCTGGATCATTAAGTATAGCAACTCCCACATTCGGCATGTACCACCCATATGTATATATATCAAGCTGCGAGCACTAGGCTCTTGCCACACTTAGTCAATTGAGTATATATGTTTCTGTCTAAACCAGAAGTGATATCGTACTTAGACTCTCCCCGATCGCCAGTTATCGGGACCAAACATCTTCACTTTGCAACATCAGATGGCCTGTTTAGCTATATGCTCCTTGCTTCCCCCTCCCAGCTGCAAAGGTTTTTCTTCCTAGCCACTTAGCTGTCAGCAGTCATGCGCCTGAACCCCAGACTCGATTGGAAAAGCTAGTTCTGGTTGATTTCAGTGAAACCTATCAAATAAGGTCCTTCTGGAGGATTCCGATGGGAAATATCAGAAGACTGACTTCTGATGCATTTTGACTAACTGCTGTGAACACTTTGTTCAGAGGCAATGTGGCATGTTTGATGAGTTGGAGATGTCTTGCTGTATCTATACCAAAGTATAGTATGTGATGTCTGTCATAGCATGAGTGTTTGTAATGCCAACAGTCACTTGATAATAGTGAAAGGTATCCAGACCACAATAGAATTATTGCCTACAGAAGAATCAACGGTGAGTTATCGCACGTGTAATATCATGCTGAGTATGACAGGTCTCATGAGAATTGGTCAGAGAGGCACCCCATCACCAATACAACAAGGGGAGGATACTGTACAAGGGGAGGACACCACTGGATGAAGTAGGGGTCTGGCATGATGATGAGGTGGTGCCAACAGGTGGGTGCCAATGACCAGGGGGCAATGGAAGGGGGCACAAGTCGCCACTCAGATGAAGTGGGACTGCCCTCTAATGGAGATGAGACAGCACAAGGCCCGTCCATCCACAGGAGGCAAGGGAAGTGATGCCAACAAGTGGCATCACAAGAGGGATGGGGAGGATAGTAGGTGTCACGGGAGCCAGTCAGCCGAAATGGAGTCTGCGCCACCTGCACAGACAGGGAGGTGAATCGGCTGAGGGCTGGTGAAAGAGCCCAACTCGGTGGATCCCAGGGAGATCTGGTGAATGACTGCAGCTTGCTGGACATTGGGGACTGCTGGTGGCAGGAACATATGGGAGGGCTGGAGAGCAGCACCACCCTGTTGTACACATGGGGTGTCAACATTGTTGATCGAAATCGATTGGACACATGATATATTGCTTGGGAACAATCACTCTGGAAGTGTAGTAGGCTTGGCAGCTCAGGAAGGTGCCGAAGTCAGCATTACCAAGCAAAGGCCTGAGCAGTGTCACATGTGGGTTGTGTGGTAGCACTAGATTGTGGTTTTGGCTCAGTACAGGTCTGTATATATACTGTCTTTTCATGCTATTGGATGAGCCTCTGCTCATCCACTCTACTATACCTACACAGATATCATAACCATACGTTATACTACATGAACAGTAACATTCCTTATACATCGCACATTGCAATATCATCTATTGCAATCATTACAAGTTTGAGTCTTCATCATCAAGTGAAGAGTATTGTATACAACATCATTGACACCTACATCAATGCTGTAGCACCACAACTACAGGCAGAACCTCCACCATGGGCCTGGAACTTCCACCAGTACCTATAACCCAACCACTGTCAACAACATTGACTGAGCACTAGCTCTGTCACTCTCAGTACTATGTTGACATCTCGACACTTGCACCAGCATTGTACTACACCATCGCTAGGAGTTGAACTTGCCATGTTACCTCTGTACAGAGTGCCAACAGCAGTTAGTCAATATCTGTTCCCCAGGCCACACTCATCGGGTATCATGGTTATCCATTTGAGAGGAGCCTCCTCACCAGTTCTCCGAGAAATACACTCAGTCAACTCTCCTTACCAGAACTCGTTGAGATCTGCTGAGATGGCCCCTTCCACAGAGAGTCGGGTGTTAGGCACACGACCGCTGACAGTAGGGAGGAGGAGAAGGAGCAGTGTTGCAGGTGACACTACAAGAAAGGTATATAACCATGCTCCCCATCATAGGAGGAGAGTGGATTGCCATCCACTCTACACCATACACAACTAGTTATCACTTCACATAAGTATACATTAGTTACAGTCAGCAAAGTTGCAATCAAGTAGATTGCTTCCATCATAGTGTGTGTATTGTATCACCACTCACTGATGTCCAAAGGCAGTTCATAGCAAACCAGTGGTCTGGATAATGATAGAACCAAAGGCAGTTGTCCACTACAGTCTGGGGATCACCTCAAGCACTCAGTTGACACACTGAACACTTGTGTTGGCACCAACAACATCAATCACACCAGACCTTGGTGTCATAGCAATACATCCATCATTATTGATTGTGTCAAGCTACCTCTGGACAGAGTGTCCACAGCAGTCAGTTGAAACCTGCAATAGCAATCAATCTATCACATATTTGAGCAAGGAAAGTCATAGAGGCCTTCTATGACAGAGCTTGACCAAAATAATAATACACAGTATCTTACCACATATCTTGATGGGATCTGTAATAGAAGTGGTTCTACTACAGATATCAGGTTTCAGGCGCGAGACCCCTGACAAGATCCTAGAAGGCTTCTACAGCAGATTCCAGCGAGAAAGATAATAGAAGGCTTTTACGGTAGATTTCGCCAAGGTTGATTTTAATTGACCTTAACCATAGATTTCGGTTTTCAGGTGCGCAATGTCATGGGCCTGAATGCTCAAGAAGGAGGGTCACTGGTTCATATGGAAGGAGCACAGGTATCGAAGATCTAGTCGATACCATTAGAGAGCATGGTCGTAGTGCAGTCTCCATGGAGACCATGGACTCCTACGGACTCACATGCAAAGGAGGACTGAGCCCATATGCAAGGAGGGCCAGGCACAGCCATGAAGAGGACCAAGCTCAAGGAGCATGCAGATGGTTACCACTCAGGGGCTCGAGAGACAAGAGTCAAAGGAACCGTCACCAGTCAAAGGAGAAGGAGCAGTGTATAGGGAACCGGCAAGCAGGTCCTGAGGAGGAGGAGCAGTGTTGAAGGAGTTGACACCACTCAGGAGGCACAAGGGTGCCAAACAAGCAGGATAGCAAGGAGGAGGAGCAGTGTCGAAGGAGTCGATAGCTCAAGGAGGACAGGAGTGGTGCTAGAGGGGCCCCCTGTACAAGTACTCGATGAAGAAGGTACTCTCTGGAGAGAGAGCAGGAGCAGCGTTGCTGGCAATGCTGTGAAGAGGTATATAACCATACCTTCTCATCATCAAAGGTCAAGTGGATCCTCATCCACTCTACACACACCATAACTAGTTATCACTTCAGCATAAGTATATATTAGTTTTAGTCAGCATAGCAGCAATCTATCAAGGTTGCTCCTCATCGTAGTGCATGTGTTGTATCACCACTACCTGACATCCGAAGGCGCCCCATAGCAGGTTAGCAGTCCAGATCAAGATAGAACTGAAGGCAGTAGTCCACTGCGGTCCGGGGATCACCTCAAGCATCAGTCAACACACTGGACACTTGTGTTGATGCCACCAACCCTATCACCCATGCCACCAACCTTATCACCAACACCATCGACCTCATCATCATCAACACTCACACCAGACCTTGGTGTCATCACAACCTATGCATTGATATTGATCGTGCTGAGCTACCCCTGAATGGAGTGTCCACAGAGGTCAGCCGAAACCTATGATAGTATATACACGAACGCCACCCATCACGCAACTTGATAGTCACTGAGTGACTAACTCATCAAGACCGATACCGAGACAATAGCTGTCGCACGGTTTGATAGTCACTGAGTATCTCGACAGACTGACCTGGGTTTCAGGCACAAGACCCCTGACATTAGAGTGGATCATTCAAGCAGCTCCTCACAATCACCATGATGGACCCAGACCTCAACAATAAGCTCGATAGACTACTCACTCTATTGGAAGCACAGCTAGAGCTTACCAGACAGGGACAACGAGAGGAACAGTTGCAATGAGCTCATCTGAGCAGGGAGGAGATGATGGACCTCTCTCACTCAGAAGACCAAGCAGGAGGAGGAGATGAGTCTATGATAGGAGACCCATGTCATGGGCCTGGATGCTCAAGAAGCAGGAGGGTCATGGGTTCATATGGAAGGAGCACAGGTATCGAAGATCTAGTCGAGATCAGTAGAGAGCATAGTGCAGTCTCCATGGAGACCATGGACTCCTATGGACTCACATGCAAAGGAGGGCCAAGCACAGCCACGAGGAGGACCAAGCTCAAGGAGCAGGCACAGCCACGAAGAGGACCAAGCTCAAGGAGCATGCAGATGGTTACCACTCAGGGGCTCGAGAGACAAGAGCCAAAGGAACTGTCACTGATCAAAGGAGGAGGAGCAGTGTCGAAGGAGTCGACACCAGGTCATGAGGAGGAGGAGCAGTGTCGAAGGAGTCGACACCAGGTCATGAGGAGGAGGAGCAGTGTCGAAGGAGTCGACACCAGGTCATGAGGAGGAGGAGCAGTGTCGAAGGGTTGACATCAGGTCATGAGGAGGAGGAGCAGTGTCGAAGGAGTCGACACAGCTCAAGAGGCACAGGGGTGCCAAGCAGGAGAGGCCCCTGAGCAGTACTCGATGAAGAAGGTACTCTCTGGAGAGAGAGAGCAGGAGCAGCATCGCTGGCGATGCTGAGTAGAGGTATATAACCATGCTTTCTCATCATCATAGGTCGAGTGGATCCTCATCCACTCTACTCACCATAACTAGTTATCACTTCAGCATAAGTATATATTAGTTTCAGTCAGCATAGCAGCAATCCATCAAAGGTTGCTCCTCATCGTAGTGTGTGTGTTGTATCACCACTACCTGACGTCCGAAGGCGCCCATAGCAGGTTAGCAGTCCGGATCAAGATAGAACCAAAGGCAGTAGTCCACTGCGGTCCGGGGATCACTTCAAGCATCAAGTCAACACACTGGACACTCGTGTTGACACCACCAACCTTATCACCAACACCATCAACCTCATTATCATCGACATCACCAATCTCATCACCAACACCATCAACCTCATCATCATCAACACTCACACCAGACCTTGGTGTCATCATAACATTGATATTGATTGTGCCGAGCTACCCCTGAACTGAGTGTCCACAGAGGTCAGCCGAAACCTATGATAGTATATACAACAAACGCCACCTGCTGTCACTGCACAACTTGATAGTCACCGATACCGAGACAATAGCTGTCGCACAGTTTGATAGTCACCGAGTATCTCGACAGACCGACCTGGGTTTCAGGCGCGAGACCCCTGACACAAACCTCCTCGCCATCACTCTGTATATATCAAGATTGTCAAGTATGTTTCTCTACCAGTGGAGGCAAAGCAGTACTGGAGCTCTCTGGAATGGTTCAAGACCATCCTGCTTGGATACTAGCTGATACCAGTGCTGGTTTGTCCATAGTCTCAGATTCTTTCATTAGTAAGTACCAAAAACCCACAAAACCCATAAAAACAAGATCGATCCATGGTGTCACTGGGCACCAACTCTCCATCAATAGTTCTGCGAGCATGCAGGTATCTATTGGTACACACAATCTGGGTGTGGTTGAAGCTTCAGTGGCTGACACTGCTGACTATGACCTCATCCTGGGGTTCACCGAGCTACAGAGACTCAAACCCACCATACAATGGGATATGGGCCAGCTGGAGTTCAAGACTCAGGAGCAGGACCGACCCCCAAGGAGACCCCCTGAAGCAGCAAGAGCAGGGGACCTAACCATTAAGAGACCAACCCTCCATGGTAACGAGTTTGTCTCGGCAGAGCACATACTACAAGCAGCTCTGGAAGATGGACCCATAGGGTTCATGCTGTTAGAGGAACCACCATCATCACTCCCAGCCTTTGGTTTTGTACCTACAGGCGCAGACAAAGGAGTCGAGATGGAGGTGGAGGTAGACAAGGTGGTGACGGCTGCAGACATACCAAAGCCATACCAACACCTGCGAGATGTGTTTGATGAGGTGGAAGCAGACAAGCTGCCCCATCATACCAAGCATGATCTCCACCTCGAGTTGATAGAAGGAGGTAAGCCACCTCAAGGGCCCCTATACCTTAAGGGACCCAAGGAGATGCCCGAGTTGAGGAGATACTTGGATGAGAACCTCGAGAAGGGGTTCATAAGACCATCGAAGAGCCCGGCACAATCACCAGTGCTCTTTGTACCAAAGAAGGATGGAGGTCTCAGACTCTGTGTGGACTACAGAGGTCTCAACGAGATCACTGTCAAGAACAGGGCACCATTGCCCCTCATCGAGGAGCAGCTGTTCTTACTCAGGAAGGCAAGGATCTATACCAAGCTAGACCTTAGAGCAGCATACAACCTCATCCAGATTGCTAAAGGAGATGAATGGAAGACAGCTTTTGGCACTCAGTTGGGACTCTATGAGTACCTAGTGATGCCCTTTGGCCTAGCCAATGCTCCAGCGCACTTCCAGTCATTCATCAATGACATCTTCCAAGACATCATTGGGATATATGTGGTAGTATACCTAGATGACTTCCTGATCTTCAGTGACACTGAGGAGGTACATGTGAAGCATGTCACCGAGGTCCTCACTCGCTTGAGGAGCAACAGGCTCTTTGCCAAGCTGTCGAAGTGTGAGTTCCACACCAAGATAGTTGAGTTCCTGGGATACATCATCAAGCCAATGGGTATAGAGATGGACCCAGAAAAGGTGCACACTGTCAAAGAGTGGCCAATGCTGGAGTCAATCCATGACATCCAGAGGTTCCTGGGTTTTGCCAACTTCTATCGAAGGTTCATAGCCCACTTTGCTCGCATAGCCAAGCCATTGACATCACTGGTAAAGCCTATAGAACAGTTCAAGAAGTTCGAGCTACCAGAGGAGGCCCAACAGGCCTTCCACAAGCTCATCCAGGCCTTCACATCAGCAGGAGTGCTTCAGCACTTCAACTACCATCTTCCAACAAGGTTGGAGACTGATGCAAGTGACTTTGCTATAGCAGGAGTACTCAAGCAGGAGCATGAAGGATGATGGCATCCAGTGGCCTTCTACTCTAGGAAGATGTCTTCTGCCGAGAAGAACTATGAAATCCATGACAAGGAGCTCCTAGCTGTGGTTGCCTGCCTTACTCAGTGGCGACACATGCTAGCTGGACTACTGAACCAACTGGTCATCCTCACTGACCATGAAGCCCTCAAGTACTTCAAGTCACAGAGATGCATCACAGGTCGTCAGGCTCGATGGGCAATACTACTAGCAGACTTCGACTTCATATTGCAGTATCGACCAGGAGACAAAGGTGGTGAACCTGATGCTCTCACCAGAAGGACAGACATGCAACCAGCTGGTGAGGAGCAGGATCACAATGTGAGGCAACTACTGCATCCTTGAGTGTTCAAGGAGACAGCAGACCATGACTCGATCCTAGTGGCCCCTATGATCTCGATGGAGTCCATAGCATCAAAAGGTCTCAGAGACCTGGTCAAGATCTTCCAGCCCTTAGACCAAGAGCTACAGGAGATACATACGAAGAAGCCCTTCAAGGTCAAGGACAACCTATGGTACAGTGGAGGAAGGTTGGTTATCCCCAAAGTGACCATGCCAGGGAGGACCAACAACTGACACTCAAGGAGTGCCAAAGAGGTAGATGGACAGTCTCTCTCTGTAGAGCACCTGCGATTCATGGTGATGACTCAATGCCATGATGGCATCACTGCTGGACATGTGGGAAGAGATGCTACCATCAAGGCAGCTCAACGACATTACTGGTGGCCAAACATGACAGCTTGGATTGCAGACTATGTAGCAAGTTGTCCTGTATGTGCTAGGTACAAAGCTCCTTGTCACCATCCATATGGTTTGCTACAGCCACTAGCAACACCAGACAGGCCCTGGGGCTCCATATCCCTTGACTTCATCGAAGGATTACCACCATCAAGGAACTATGACTCCATCCTCATCATTGTGGACAGGCTGACCAAGTTTGCCATACTAGCTCCAACCCATAAGACAGTCATGGCCAAACAGACTGCAGTGTTGCTATATGGACACATGGTTAGACTTTTCAGATACCCAGATCACATGGTCTCGGACCAAGGCAGGCAGTTCATATCAGGAGCATGGAAGGCATTTGCAGAACAAATGGGTGTGAAGCACTCACTTAGCATGGCCTACCATCCTCAAACTGATGGTCAGACAGAGAGGGTCAATCAGGTCATAGAGCAGTACCTAAGGATGTACTGCAACTATGAGCAGAATGATTGGGCCGACCTGCTGGACACTGCAGCCTTTGTATACAACAACACAGTCCACAACAGCATTGGTGTCTCACCATTCTTTGCATGCTATGGATGGAACCCTAAGGCTCATCCTGATATCCCTCAACAGTTGGGAGTCAATGACCCAGGTTGCTTCAAGTACCTCATGGATGGGAAGGAGCATTGCAAGTACCTCCAGGAACAGATCAGAGAGGCACAACATAGATCAGTAGACCAGTATAACAGGAAGCACAAGGACATCGAGTTCAAAGTGGGTGATATGGTCTATATCAACCATTGAAACTGGAAGACAAGGAGACCCACACCCAAGTTAGATACCTGGTTTGCAGGACCCTACCCAGTTCAGGAAAGGGTAGGATGCTGAGCTTATCAAATCACATTGCCAGCAAACCTTAGGGTGCATGATGTGTTCCATGTCTCCATGCTCAAACCAGCAAGAACAAGTTCTCTTCCTCAATGAGCTGAACAGCCCACCATACCATCACTTCCAGATGAGGACCTCGACTTTGAAGTCGAAGCACTCATTGACAAGCATTCACACAATGGGACTACAGAGTACAAAGTGTTGTGGAGAGGGTACTCAGAAGAAGCTGCTTCATGGGAACCAGTAGAGAACCTCAACTGCCCCGACCTCATCCAGGAGTATGAGGTGTTGGAGGGGGGACAAGAGAGTAGACAAAGTAGAGAGAGGAGGAGAGAACAGGAGGAGTAGAGAGAGAAGGAGGAAGGAGAAGGAGGAAGGGTGATGTTGGTGATGTTGTCGAGGAGGAGGAGGAGGAGTCAGCATGAACCAGACCAGAGCATGCCTCGACGGAGCTCGGCTCTTAAGAGGGGGGTAGTGTCATGGGCCTGGATGCTCAGGAAGCAGGAGGGTCACTGGTTCATATGGAAGGAGCACAGGTATCGAAGATCTAGTCGATACCAGTAGAGAGCATGGTCATAGTGCAGTCTCCATGGAGACCATGGACTCCTATGGACTCACATGCAAAGGAGCACTGAGCCATACACAAGGAGGACCAAGCTCAAGGAGCAGGCACAGCCACGAAGGGGACCAAGCTCAAGGAGCATGCAGATGGTTACCACTCAGGGGCTCGAGAGACAAGAGTCAAAGGAACTGTCACCGGTCAAAGGAGAAGGAGCAGTGTATAGGACACTGGCAAGCAGGTCATGAGGAGGAGGAGCAGTGTCGAAGGAGTTGACACCACTCAGGAGGCACAGGGGTGCCAAACAAGCAGCAGGATAGCAAGGAGGAGGAGCAGTGTCAAAGGAGTCAACACAGCTCAAGAGGCACAGGGGTGCCAAGCAGGAGAGGCCCCTGAACAGTACTCGATGAAGAAGGTACTCTCTGGAGAGAGAGCAGGAGCAGTGTCGCTGGCGATGCTGTGAAGAGGTATATAACCATGCTTTCTCATCATCAAAGGTTGAGTGGATCCTCATCCACTCTACTCACCATATAACTAGTTATCACTTCAGCATAAGTATATATTAGTTCCAGTCAGCATAGCAGCAATCTATCAAGGTTGCTCCTCATCATAGTGTGTGTGTTGTATCACCACTACCTGACATCCAAAGGTGCCCATAGCAGGTTAGCAGTCTGGATCAAGATAGAACTGAAGGCAGTAATCCACTGCAGTCTGGGGATCACTTCAAGCATCAAGTCAACACACTGGACACTCGTGTTGACACCACCAACCTCATCACCAACACCATCAACCTCATTATCATCGACATTCACCAACCTTATCACCAACACCATCAACCTCATCATCATCAACCCTCACACCAGACTCTGGTGTCATCACAACCTATGTATTGGTATTGATTGTGCTGAGCTACCCCTGAATGGAGTGTCCACAGAGGTCAGCCGAAACCTACAATAGTATATACACGAATGCCACCCATTGCACAACTTGATAGTTGCTGAGCAATAAGCTCATCGAGATCGATACCGAGACAATAGCTGTCACACAGTTTGATAGTCACCGAGTATCTCGACAGACCGACCTGGGTTTCAGGCATGAGACCCCTGACACCAGTGACCCTCCTGCTTCTTGAGCATTCAGGCCCATGACACACCCTTTGGTCTGCAAGATACTGTGTGCTCCATAGCTGATCTGCAATGTGTCTGATGGTTGCAACAGTTGAAATTGAGTTGGGTTGCTGTGCAGCAGAGCAGACAGATGGAATGGCAGGTGAGCTGGAAAGAAGGAGACTTGTCACTTTTGCAAGGGCTGACTGCCAACTGAGAGTGGTCTGACTGTATTGTGGCATGGTTATGGTTTGCAGTGTGGGGAACAACAAAGATACTGCTTCTGAAGAGTTAGTAGCATAAAGTTTCTCTTGGAGTGCTTTACAGGATTGATGCAACTCTCTGCCAAATTTGCTTTTTGGTACTGCACACAGTTAAATTTAGGTACACCGATACAGAGGCCACTAGCAGGCACTCTCACAATTGGGTAGTCTAGGTTAAAAAGGCATGTATTTTCGTTGTATGGTAGCGACATGACTTGTATTATATATACATGCTCTGGGCACCCGTCTGTACTTACTTTGTTGAGTCATGTCCATATGCCACATATCTGCTTTCATAAGCGTTGTCATAGCAACATGCTCCTCACATACCATGGTGTTAATCCTCGTGCATAGGCTGTGTTAGCTCCCACTAACTTCGCATTCTGTTTGTCTTCCTCATCACCCAATACCCTTCCAATTCCCCGATCCTGTGTGTTCCCTTTTACTGTGTTGCGCACTGGCAATGCCAGTGCATCTTCAACTCCCCCCCACAACGGCATGCCCAATCCTATCATTCTTGACATCCTTGTCATGTTGAATCCCTTGAGAGGCTTTGTAAGTATGTCAGCCACATTATTGGCTGTTTCAACATACTCGATCAATATGTTGCCATCTTGCACATGGTCCCTAACGAAGTAATACCTAGTGTCGATGTGTTTAAGTTTCCAATGTTTGGCCGGATCCTTGCTGACCTGTATACATCCTTGACTGTCAGTGTACAAGACTGGTTCGACTTCTGTGATCCCTAAATCCCTGAGTAAATACGAGAAGAAAAGGGCTTCTCTTGCTGCCTCCAATGCAGCGACTAGTTCTGCCTCCACTGCTGACAATGCTATGCACTTCTGTACATGTGATTTCCAACTGACTGGACATCCATATACATATGTGACTGCCCCGGACGTACTCCTTTGTCCATTGGTAGGGTCTGAAGCCCAATTTGCGTCGGTATACGTGACCACCGGCTGTTTTGCATGCTTCCTATGCATCCCTCCAAGCTCCAGGTGATATTCACTCGTTTGGTTCAGGTACTTCAGCAGATGTATCCCCGCTTGCCATGCACTATCATTTGGTTCTGACATATGTCATGCTAGGACTCCAACTGTGAATGAGATGTCTGGCCATACCATGTTGGACACCCATAGCAATTGACCCACCAACTCCTGATATCATTTAGCTCGCTCTGGAGTACATTTGCTTCCTCCGACAGTGTTTGCAATGCTTTGCATCGGTATCCATGACCTTTCATTTGGCTTTTCCAACCATTTACTTACCATGCTTTTAATGTATGCTGTTAGGTTGAGCGATATTTTGCCTTGGCCCCTGTCTTGTGTGATTTTTATACCTAAGAATTCCTTTACCAGTCCATTATCCTCTGTCTCCCACTTGCTCATGATCTCTGCTTTGGTGTGATCAACTTCCTTCCGGCTAGGCAATGCAATGAGCATATCATCCACATACACTGTTATCACTGTGAGTCAATCGTCTGTCCCTCTCGAGTACAGGCATGGGGCACTTGACATGCAGTGAAAGCCAATCTTTCACAATTGTGTGTCTAACTCTATGTTCCACTCACAGCCTGATTGCTTCAGACTGTAGAGCCCTTTCATGAGCTTTAGTACCTTCCCTGGCAGCACTTTCGTTCCAATGGGTGGCTTGAGGTAGACATCATGGTGTAGGCTGGAGTTCAAGTAAGCCTGCTTGACATCGATCGAGTCGACCTCCCAGTCCCGCATGGCGGCAATCGCTAGTACTCCTCTGATCGACTGAATGGGTGCCACAGGTGCAAAGATTTCTGTATAATCTATCCCCTCCCTTTGCATGAACCCTTGTGCTACTAGTCTCGCCTTGTACTTCATGGGTATCAGATTTGCGTCCATCTTAATTTTCAATACCCAATGCATGTCGACTGTGTTCATATCATGCGGTAAGTCAGTGGTCTCCCATGTATTCATTGCTTCTAGCCCTTTTAGCTCTTTGCACATTGCTTCCTCCCAGAACCTCTTGTCCTCTCCAGCCAGTGCCTCCCGAACGGTTGGGTTGAGATTCCTTTCCTCCTTCTTAAACCCTGTCATTACTAGCCCAAAAGAATTTTGTGCTTCATATCTTGGCTCCTTGTGCTCCCCTCCCCCCAAGATTGTCTCCATGCTCATGTATTCACTCAAGGGATCTTGATTGTCCTCATCAAAGAGGTCCTCCTCCATGTACCCCAAGTTAGCTAGGTCCTCCTCATTATTCAGAATTGGAGGTGGTTGAATGTTCACTGGCTTCCATTCTGTTCGGTCTGACCAACATTGGGTTTCCATGAACTTGGCCGAGTTGCTCCAGAAGATGTTTGGGCTGTAACCAGGGCTGTAGAACAGCCATCCCTTTCTCTCCAAGCTGTATCCTATGAATATGGCTGGGACTGCTCTCTGATCCAATTTCTTGTTGCGTCTCTTGGCTTTTGGGACATTTACCCAAGCCAAACATCCAAATACACGCATGAGATGTATGAAACGTTCTGGCAACTTTCTGAACATTAGCTGGTAAGGGAATTCTCCATCAACATTAGGAGTTAGGTTCATCTTGAAAGCCACTGCCTGGATTGTGTATGGCCAAAAGACCTTTGGTAGGTTTCTCTGTATCAGCAATGTCTGCATCTTTTCACCTAAACTCCTGTTCATTTGTTCCACTCGTCCATTTTGTCTGCTATTGTATCCCATGGTGGTCTGCCATTCTATCCCTTTCCTGAGTGTCCATTCCAGTGCCTTGTTGCTCCTCCATTCAGTCCCTTGATCAGACCGAATTGCTTTCAATGTTCTATTTGTTTTTGTTTCTAGGAATAAAACGATTCTCTTGAGCTGCACAAATGTGTGACCTTTTCGTGATAGTGGCTGTATGTGCACATACTTGCTATAGTCATCGACCAGTACTAATATGCATGTGTACTCCATCACATGGGATGAATCGATGATTAGATCGATATGGACGAGATCCAGGGGCCCTGCAGCTCTTTCGCCACTACCTTGCCCCATCCTGGCAACCGTACTCTTGGATTGTATACATGGCTCACATGTCAGAGCTGTGTTTGGGTCCAATGCTTCTACAGGTTCACCTCTCAATTTGTTGATGATTGCCCTGGACTTATCTCGACCTGGGTGTCCCAGTCGCTCATGCCAGAGCTGTTTTGTGGAAACTTTTGTTTTCCGTTCAGCTAGCCTGAATTCTTCATCCACCCCTTCCAACAGCAGTGTTGATGCAGTCATCGCATTTGGTCACCATGTATCACCTTGTATTTCCAGCAATCCACTCTTGTGATTCTTTACTATTTTTAGTATCGTGCCATCTGCCAAATATATTTGTCCCCCTTTAGGGTCTAGGGTCACACGTGCTCCTTTGTCCATCAATGAGTTGGTGGACAATAGATTAATATTGAGACTGTGAACATAAAGAACATTTTGGAGCAGTATCTTTCCATACTCTGTTGATATGCTAACATCCCCTACAGCAGTCGCTTCTAAGACTTCACTTCCGGCGGTATACACACACTTTCTGCACTTTCTTGGATGGATCAGCATGCTGTAGTCATTAATCATGTGGAAGGTTGCTCCTGAATCTAGAACCCAATGGATCGATTGGTTTGATTTTGGGGGCCTTCGCCAACTTGGAGTGAGTGAGCACCAGACTTCCTATTTAGTCTGGTCGAGGGGGGAGTTCTCAGGGATGGTGACGGTGGCATCGCACTTTCTGGCACCATGTCCATAACATCTGCACACCCAGCAGTGAATCCTCCTTGGTCCAGTCTTAGCCTTTGAGCTTTCAGCATCCTCATCAGTGTCACTGTCCTGCTCATTGCTACCAGCTGCCCGAGCGCTTGCCTGTTGTGGATCCACCTTTTGGGCGGGGATGCTTTCGATTGCAGATTGGCGCATCATTAATGCTGTGGCGAGTGCATTGAAACTAACTTGATGGACAGTGGCAACTGTTTCTTTGTAGACCAGGTGCTGGATCGTGCACCTTTGGAGTGCTGCATATATGGCATCATCACTGAAAGGTGCTCCCAGTAGGCTTGTCTCTGTTTGCATGACTCTAATGTCTTGGACTAGCTTCCATGCATTGGCATTAAACATCTTGACTTCATTGAGTTGTGCGAGGAGTGCAATTCGTCGCGAGATCCTAGTAGCTTCACTGGTCAGGCTGTTTTCGATTTTCTTCCAGGTTTGGTGGAAAGTCAAATATGCTTTACTAATGTCAAGCAATAAGTAGAGGATGTTGTGCTCTCCTTCAGCATCTAAAGTGCTACATAGCACACCCGCTAAAGCGTCGTCAAAGTTTCTGTTCCATTTTGGATGGTTGTTATTGTATGTGCCTTCCAAGTGCTGTATGGCATGGGGAATAACTCTGAGAGTGGCCTTGATGAGGGTGCTCCAGCTATAGTAGTTTCGCAACGTGAGTTTGGGGACTGCCTCCATGATCTTGGCTAAGGTGCGGTAGTTGTACCGTTTGTTGTCATCATCGGAGTCTGACCCTTCTTCTGCTTCATTGAACTTGGTTTCGTTACTGTCAGTGGCCTCATCATCAATCTGTACTTGTTGGACTACCTTTCCTTTCCTTCCTCCTTTTGTCTTCTTGGCCATCTCACCAGCTTGGTGATCTCCTTCTCCTGCCATGATGAATGTCGTGGGTTCGAGCCCCACGTTGGGAGCCAGTTAAATTTAGGTACACCGATACAGAGGCCACTAGCAGGCACTCTCACAATTGGGTAGTCTAGGTTAAAAAGGCATGTATTTTCATTGTATGGTAGCGACATGACTTGTATTATATATACATGCTCTGGGCACCTGTCTGTACTTACTTTGTTGAGTCATGTCCATATGCCACATATCTGCTTTCATAAGCATTGTCATAGCAACATGCTCCTTGCATACCATGGTGTTAATCCTCGTGCATAGGCTGTGTTAGCTCCCACTAACTTTGCATTCTGTTTGTCTTCCTCATCACCCGATACCCTTCCAATTCCCTGATCCTGTGTGTTCCCTTTTACTGTGTCACGTGCTGGCGATGCCGGTGCATCTTCAACTCACACTTTAGGGTAAATCTACAAAAGCACACGCGTTGAACGGCCCTAATGCTCTGCAATTGAAAAACGCGCCCTTGGAAAATCGCGCGTTTTTAAAAACGCAAAAAGTTTGATACCCCCTATGGTTCGACGCGGCGCTTCGCGTTGGGTGGACCGCGAGCGCGTGTTTCAGCTGGCTGAATAGGTTTGGACCCTGTTGGACTGTATTGGCCCTTTTGGACTCCTGCCAAGCCCAGCTGGAAGCCCCTTTTGGCTGAGCTGTCAAGAAGTGTTGCTTTTTCTACTTTTTTCTTTCTTCCCTTTTTTTTTTTTTTTTGGTGCAAGCCCGAGCTCGGATAGCAGCTCTTCTTCTTTGCTGTTGAACCTAGAAACTTCCACGATCTTGACAGTGCCTCGCAGCGGTCCGTGAACTGCAGCACAATTGGCTTTCATTAGTCGGAGAGTGGCATATGATGGACGACTGTGAGGCAGTGTGTACGACACTACATTTCAATGAGAAGCACAAGAGAAGTAAGATGTGTGATCGTCGTATCTGCTTTTTTGACGCCTGACTCGACAAGCACAGAATAGCGGGTAAGTTAGAGAGGGAGCTTCTGATGGATATCTCGGTTCGGAATGACCGACATCTATCCGACCCATGGGAAACGGCAGCAGCGAATGAGAGTGTTCATGATCTTCTTCTCTGTCAACTGGCCTTCATATATGTTCAGGTGGAGAATCGGTCGGGCCGAAAGGGCTCATTCATCTCTCATCAACTGTTCCCACGAACTAACAAGCTTTAGCGTGGCTTTGTTGCTGCTGCCAAGGCGTGAGCTGAGCGTTTGAGTGTGTGTATAGATGGCGTCGTCGGCAACTCCGATGCAATAGAGATCGCAAAGAGCAGCGTCGGCAAGAAAGCAAAAGCGAAAGAGGGACGTGTAGAGTGTATGTGTGTGAGAGAGAAAGAGAGAGAGAGAGAGAGGATGGCCGAGCAGATGCAATAGAGCTGCAGAAAGCTGCAGTGGGAATTGAGTGCCGGACAGTGAGTGTGTGTTGGCCAAGAAAGACTCGTTTTAGACTCAGAAAGATCAGCAGGCACAAGAGACAGAGACAGAGACAGAGAGAAAGAGACAGAGAGGGAGAAGGACCCTTCCTTTCGGCCTCGGACACCCGAAACAGACAGAGTTCCGCCCACTTTGGCACTACTTTGTGCCCAATTGTGCCTGCAATTGGCCTTTTTTGCCCCCCCCCCCTATTCACACGCACGAGCTCACATTCTGCCTGCTCGCTGCCTTCATTGCTGCTTGCTGCTCCGCCACGCCATCAGACTTGGCAACTCTTCCATCATCTCTCATTGCCTCCCTGCTCTCCTTCCCACCTTGGTCATCATCGTCGCAACCCTCACCAGTGCCATCTCTTTCGGTTTGCTTCTATACTCCTCCAAGCTCTACGTCACGGGTGGCTCGTCGTTCCACATAGAGCATTCGACTCGGTGACTTTTCGACACTGCTTCTGACGCCATTTACGCATATCACGCCTCTGCATTGCACGTTCGTCTGCCTCTTCACTTGCTTCGTTATCACCCCACATTTTACCAGCCACTCCCACTCACGACCCTCTTGCAACGGCGTCATTCTTCATCTCCACCGCCCAGCTCCGCCTTCTACCTAATACTACTACTTACGACTCGCTGGCCACATCGCTGACTAGATCTGCTTTCTTCCTATCAATACCCACGCAATCGGCTGGCTCCATCTGCGTCCTATCTCATCACCATTCGGATTGTCATCCCCGAGCACGCACGCATACGCATATGCACTACTCTCCGCCGTCTGCATGCTCGCATTGCAACAGCTCTAATAAGTCTCCTCTGCCCAGACCGGCTCTTGCATACCTATCCCTCTCGATAGCTCGCTGGTTCGAGCACCAGTAGTACTGGCTCAACATGATCTTTGGTCGCTCCGAGCCATATCCTGGCCCCAATGGCTTCGATCAGGCCGCCCACCACTATGATCCCAACAACCAACTGCCCTACCAACCAGGGCCTTCCGATTCGGCCTGGCTGACGGACCCAACCCATCCAGATTACGATCCCATGGTAGATCCCAACCTCCAGCTCAAGACTGTAAGAACTGCTGCTGCCTCCATCGCCGAATCCCATCGTTCCGAACAACGCAGAGATGACCGTAGGAAAGCAAAACGTGCCAACAGTCTCTCTTCTAAGCTCTTCCGTGGGCGAACGCTCCGGAGGCAGCAACAGAAGGGCTCCACGCTGGCCAATATGGTCACAGAGGAAGTCAAGAATCGTCGCTCTCAAGCTGTCTCTGGCTTCCAACATGACTCGGATGCTGCCTTTGCCTCTGCACAGCAAGGCAACGTCCCTCATTCAGCGACTGCCGATGAGGCCGATGAGAAGGAGCCTCTACCCCAAGCTCAAGAGTCTTCATCTCAACCCGCTGGTCCCACCATGCGCAAGATGAAACCCAAAAAACGTAGAAACGTCCATGTCAATGTTCCTCCACCGCGATCCGAGCTCAAGAAGAATGGTGATCCAGACGTCGACTATCCACGTAACAAGGTTCGCACCTCCAAGTATACCATCGTCACCTTCCTGCCGCGATTCTTGTTCGAACAGTTCCGTCGAGTCGCCAACATTTACTTTTTGGGTCTCGTCATCTTGCAAGTCTTCCCCACTTTCGGTGCAACGATCCCACAGATTGCCATGTTGCCCCTCGTTGCCATTCTCACCATCACAGCTATCAAGGATTCCATAGAAGACCATCGTCGACATGTTCTCGACAACGAGGTCAACAACTCGGCCGTCACTCGTCTTGGAAGCTGGCGCAACCTCAACCAGGCTAAGGATCAACGCTCATGGTATCAGAAGCTCTTTGGCCTTTCGGGTCGAGGAGGTGGCAAGGTCTCGAAAGGTGTTCGCAAGCTGCGTGAGAAGGAGGATGCGATCGGCTTGCGTCAGGTCAACGGCAGCTCGCGCCGACCGACTGGTCTCAATGCTGGCTTCCGTGGTAACGAAGATTTCGGCGCCCAGAATAGCACTCGCAGTGGTCGCAGTGACAGCCTTGTCAGCTCGCATGCTCTCGGCACCATTGTTAGCGAAAGCGAGCGCGACAACACCAGCTTCTACGGCGCCAGTTACAACCAATCCAACACCGCCTTCCTCCGTGATCAGTCCTCTAGCAACTTTGTCGATGCCAACTCCAGCACCGTTTCGGTCAACAAGCCGCTCCAGACCAACTCGCAGCAACAAGGTCCCAGCACCATTACTATGGTCGAAGGTGTTGTCGACTACCGCCGTCACACGCCTGGCACTGCACGCTGGGAGCGTACCCTCTGGAAGAAGCTAGAAGTCGGTGACATTGTCATGCTCCGCGAAGACGAACAGGTTCCTGCCGACATTGTTGTGCTCAACACGTCCGACCCTGACGGCAATGCCTACATCGAGACCAAGAACCTCGACGGTGAGACCAACTTGAAGGTTCGCAAGTCGCTCAAGGCTACCATGGGTATCCAGTCTGAAGAGGATCTCGAGCATGCTCGCTTTGTCATCGACAGTGAGGCACCACACGCCAATCTGTACAGCTACAATGGTCTTCTCAAGTACACCGTTGACGAGCCCAGCAAGGAGGACGAGTTCACCGAAACACTCGAATCGCTACCACCTGACAGTAGTGCCTATGCTGCCGCCGAAGCTCGCACACGCCGTGTCGAACCCATCACCATCAACGAGCTGCTTTTGCGAGGTTGTGCGCTCCGCAACACCGAGTGGGTCATCGGTGTCGTTCTCTTCACCGGCGAAGACACCAAGATCATGCTCAACTCCGGCGAGACACCCTCGAAGCGATCCAAGATCGAGGTCGAGACCAACTTCAACGTTATCGTCAACTTCCTCATCCTCATGGCTCTTTGCACCATTTGTGCTGTCATCGGCGGTCTTCGTCTCAGTAACAGTAACACCAGCCGTGCGTACTATGAAGTCGGCGCCGAGCTCAGCACCAACAACATCGTCAATGCTCTCGTTATCTTTGGTTCTTGTCTCGTCGTCTTCCAGAACATTGTGCCCATCTCGCTCTATATCTCGATCGAGATCGTCAAGACCATCCAGGCTTTCTTCATTTTCCAGGATATCGAGATGTATTATGCGCCCCTTGACTATCCCTGTATGCCCAAGACGTGGAATATCTCGGATGACTTGGGTCAGATCGAGTACATCTTTTCGGACAAGACGGGTACGCTGACGCAGAATGTCATGGAGTTCAAGAAGTGTTCCATCAACGGTGTTTCATATGGTGATGGTGTCACGGAGGCTATGATTGGTGCTATGAAGCGCGAGGGTAAGGACATCTCTGGCTTTAGCATGGAGAAGCAGGAGGCTGAGCTGACCGAATCTAAGAAGCGAATGGTCGAGATCATGAACCGCGCTTTCAAGAACCGCTACTTGCGACCCAACAAGATGACCCTCATCTCACCGCCTATGGCTGAGACTTTGGCTGCCAGCTCCTCAGACCCACAGCGAAAGAACATCGTCACCTTCTTCCGTGCTCTTGCGCTCTGCCATACTGCCCTCGCCGACCGACCTGATGGCAACGATCCTTACACTGTCGAGTACAAGGCTGAGTCGCCTGATGAGGCCGCACTCGTTGCAGCTGCACGTGATGCCGGCGCCGTCTTCATCGCCAAGAACAACAACACGATCGACATCGAGGTGCTGGGTCAGCCGGAGCAATACACGCCCCTCAAGGTGCTTGAGTTCAACAGTACGCGTAAGCGCATGTCGGTCATCGTTCGCGAACCTGATGGTCGGCTCCTCATGATCTGCAAGGGTGCCGACTCGGTCATCTACCAACGTCTCCGCCCTGATCATCCTGAAGAACTCAAGCAGGCCACCTTCCGCGACCTGGAGGCTTTCGCCAATGCTGGTCTTCGTACGCTCTGCATCTCTTATCGCTACCTCAATGAAGCCGAGTACATGGAATGGGCTCGAATTCACGACGAAGCCAGTGCCAGTCTCACCGACCGCGAAGAGGCCATCGATGAGGCCAACGAGAAGATCGAAGTCAACCTCACTCTGCTTGGTGCCACTGCGCTTGAAGACAAGCTACAGGTCGGTGTGCCCGAAGCCATCGAGACACTGCACAAGGCCGGTATCAAGCTCTGGATCTTGACTGGTGACAAGCTGCAGACTGCTATCGAGATTGGATTCAGTTGCAACCTGTTGACGTCGGATATGGAGATCATGATTATTTCTGCCGATCACGAGACGGGTACACGGGCACAGCTCGAGGCGGCTTGCAACAAGATCGCCGCTGCTGGAAGGCCAGTGGTTGTAGAAGAGCCAGTCGGGAAGGGCAAGAGTGGCAAGGTACGCAAGAACCGTCTTACGGTCGAACGTACCGAAGCGGCACCCAAGGATGGCTTTGCGGTTGTCATTGACGGTGAGACACTTCGATATGCTCTTGACTCGAACCTCCGTCCTCTCTTCTTGGCTCTTACTACTCAGTGCGAGGCTGTGGTCTGCTGTCGTGTCTCACCCGCACAAAAGGCTCTGACGGTCAAGCTAGTCAAGGATGGCAAGAACGCAATGACGCTTGCTATCGGCGACGGTGCCAACGACGTTGCTATGATCCAGGAGGCGCATGTTGGTGTCGGTATCGCAGGTCTCGAAGGTGCTCAAGCATCGATGAGTGCTGATTACGCCGTTGGTCAATTCCGTTTCCTCACTCGTCTGTTGTTGGTTCACGGTCAGTTGTGTTACCACCGTATCTCGGATCTACACAAGGTGTTCTTCTACAAGAACATCATCTGGACCTCCATCCTATTCTTCTACCAGATCGACTCTGATTTCACTGGTTCCTACATCTTCGACTACACCTACATCTTGCTGTACAACCTCATCTTCAGCTCGCTCTGCGTTATCGTCATCGGTGCTCTCGATCAGGTCGTCAACATCAAGGCTCTACTGGCTTTCCCGGAAACGTACAAGCGAGGTATCAAGGGTGCAGAGTATACCAAGTTCCTCTTCTACATGAGCATGCTCGATGCCTCCTTTCAAGGTGCGGTCTGCTACTTTATTCCTTGGTGGTTCTACACCTACGGACCTATGATTGGACATAATGGGCAGGAGATGGGTAGTTTGTCCTTATTCGGTACGACGATTGCGGCGGGGGCTGTGACGACGGCGAACTTGTATGCTGGTCTGATCGCTAAGCATTGGACCGGTATCTTCTGGTTTGTCGAGATCATCTCGTTGCTCAGCGTGTATGCTTGGACTTTGTTGTACTCGGCTTTTCCCGTCTTTGCTTTCCAGGATGTTGGGTTTTGGTTGGTTCAGACTGTCAACTTTTGGGCTATCATCTTGTTGATTACTGTCGTATCGCTGCTGCCTAGGTTCTTCGCACGTGCTTGGAGAGCGTCTTTCCACCCTAACGAGCACGATATCCTCCGTGAAGCATGGACGCGAGGCGATCTCAAGGATCAATTAGGAATCCTGCATCAGAGCAAGAAGAAAGCCAAACGTGCCGCCGCTGCCACTGTCAAAGCCAACGCCGGTGGTGGGAGGTACGACGATAGCGATGCACACTACGACGACTCTTACTCGCGCAAGAGCGGTCGCGATCTCGAAGGACAGAACGGTAATCAGCTCTTCTTCGATGCCAAGCGATCTACGGAGCGACAACGTCGTCAGCAGAAGTTTGGTCTGTCTGCGGTGGGTGAAGAGGATGATGTATCGGAGACTTCGGCTGATCCTCTGGCGGGAGAGTACGAGGATCAGTATGCCAGACGGGGAGGTCGGATGCTTTCCACACCTCAACTCCAGCCTCCAGCGGGGTACAGTCCCAATTCCGCGTTTGATCGGAACGATGGTGCTGTATCGGGGTTGAGCTTCTACGATCCAGATGCCTTACCGATGAACGATCAGGCTGCGATTCAGAACTATTATCAGAGGAACGAGGATCCCAGTCGAATTCCAAGACCTGATGTTCCAATGATTCAGGTTCAACACGCTTCTGCTTTCCAACAACAGCAACAATCGCCGCGTGGAGAACCGTATTACGGAGGGAAGGGAGGTCTGTCGAAACAGATGAGCAAAGACGGCTTCGCCCGAGCATTCGACGAAGAATTCGGTTCTGAATTCGAATCTTACCCTTACCCGGCTGCTACTGGGAACGGGTATGCTCCTGCTGGTTCAAGGTCCGTTTCGAACTCTAGTTACGATTTCAATACAACTCAAACTAACGCTGCAGCGCCGGGTTCTGGGTCAACAACACCGACAAAGTCAGCAGGAGCAAGGTATCATGATCGATTTAAGACTCCTTCCCCCTCTCAACCGCAGTTTGGCGAAGCAACTCAAATGCAAACATCTCTGTCAGACCAGAGCTTGTCAGCTCCTAGCCCAACCCATGCAGGAGGGAGGGGTCACTCGCAAGAACCTTCAGGAGCATCACAAATCTCTTGGCATACTGCACATACTGCTGAAGCTTCGCAGAATGAACATCAGAGAAATAGTTCCAAATGGAGCGCTCTTTGACCTTTCTTCATCTGCTGCACGTGACAAGGCGTGCGCATCTGAGCTGGACCACACGCGTCGCAACCCGCTTAATCAGCTTTGTTTGCTCCCCACTCCTCTCACCTTCCCACCATCATCTCTCATTTTGGCAAGTGTCGCTTCAACATCGACCTTGCCAATCTTCTTTTCCCACCCGATTCCCTCCCTTACGTTCCGCCTGTACGACCCGCTCTTCTCTGCCCTCGATCGGCCCCCTTACGGCGGGCTGGAAGCCTTTGAACCATCGAGCCACCTCGCTGACCCGAAATCTAACATGGCTTCTGTATCGTCCGACTAATCCTCATTTGTGCGGCCGCGTGAGTCAAGCTGGGATTTCACTCTTGTTCTTTTTAGTTGTTTCTTCTTGTTTTCAGTCTTGGTTTTTGTTTTTGTTTTTGTTTTTTGATTTCTTCTTCTTTTTTTTCCTTTTTCTTTTGTAACGACTTTTTTGATGATTAATGGACTTTTCATGCCTTTTTGGCCCTTACTGGTTGCGTTTGTGTTTGGCAGTGAAGGTGGGTGTGAGTTTGAGGTGCAAGTGAGCAGTTTTGATAGGGTCGGAGGATCAGTGCTTGGTTTTTGTCGCCACGTATATTCACTCGTTCAGTTCATTGCATCTGCAGGAAGGCAACTGTACCTGAACCTGGGAGATCATGTCCTGGGATCGGCAATTCTCACAGACAATGCTACAGGGACATTGTGGAGACGCAATGCATCATCGATTGCTCAAGAGTTCGGCCAAATGATCATTGAGAGCGGGTTCAGCGGGTGGAGACGCGTCGATCCGATCCATCGAAACCAAAGTTGCCGGCACGAATGTGTGTCCCTTCAGCAGCCATTGTTTCACTACGACCCGAGATCGGTATCACATGGGTTACAGTAAACACCGTCAAGCGATTATCCCAGGCATTGTTAGAGGGAGTGGGAGAAGGAAGCGGGGTTCGACCTTGACTTGCAATTTTCTCATGATGTGAGCGTTGGTGTGGGGTTTGCATTCGAACACATGAAACTATATGACGACAGGCGACGATTACAGACTTGCGACCGTGTAACAGACATCGACGCTGATAGTCAGAGGTTCGACTTCTCCACCGTCAACAGCTCTTATTGAATGGTGGGGGACAGTTACTCAATCCGGCGGTAACTTCTCTCCGTACCACAGCAATAAGTGGCAAGTGTCCAGAATTCATTACGAGTGAGTCAATCCCAACGCTCCAGCAGCAAACAAGACAATTGGTTGACAGCGAGAGAAAGGCCTGACTGACTTGGAAGCAAGGTCACACGTCGTTGTTTGCGATTTGTTTTCGTTGTCGGACTCGACCCTCACTCCCTCTTTCAACCACCGGTAACAATCCCGACATTAGCGGCAACAACAATGTGCGGCGTCCAGACTACCTTACAAAGAAAGGGCGCTCGCTTCTGAGATGAATTGCATCCGCAGGAATCGATTCGTCCTTGGCTTTCCATATGTGTCAACCTTAGAACTCCGACAACCGTCTTTAAGTGATGGTTTGCTTTCATCTACAGAACCGCATCCTCTTGAGCCGGTCATTCGGTCAGCGACGGAACGAAGGATAAGGATGCCCTTTTTCATAAACGGTGTCTTGGGTACGAAAGCCGAAAAGTACACTTCCAGGTCTTGGTATTTCGAAGATATAAGCTCCACCCTTTCCTTAACCCTCCTAATCAGCTCAGGAATGCATCCTACAGCTGAGTCGCAATGCATTTCCATCCGCTCCTTCCCTTCTTGGCTTTGCTCCTGGTGTCGGTGGTAGGGTGTCTGCCAATGCCACCTTCAACTCGCAGACCCCATCGAAGCCATTACGAGAATTTATATCTATCATACCTCGAACCTTTAAACCTCTACCGTCGCGACCCCTTAAATTATGCTCAAATCACATCTGCCCATAGCAACAGCCACACTTTCAACCCCCTATACACCGAAATGCTCCTATCTGACCATCCAGCCTATATACATCCTTCCACAGCCAACCGATTAAATCCCGTTTTGTCGCGGATGATAAATCTTACTACTCGCGATGAAGAAAGTCCTCCGACTCAAGTTGACCAACGTGAGTTTTCGCCTCTGTTCCCCCCTTTTTTTTTTTTTTTTAACTCTTTACTGCCACTAACCATGCTATTTTTGGGGTTTTGGATAGGTGGATTCGTAAGATTATTCGAAGAAGCAACAGTGGAGGCAAAAAAAGAGTTGCAAATACCACTCCATCCAGAAAACATAAAAGCGCAGCATAGGTACCCGCTGGGACAACTTTTGACAAAGTATACCCAGTTGCTTAATATGCTAGAGAATCCAGCCCATTTGGAGAGACTGACGGGTTTACTGGGAGTGGAGGATAAGATAAAGTTTGAAAAAGCACTAGAGGTGCTGGGGGTGGAGAGCGAGTTATTGGATGTTGCTATTCAGCGGTATGCTCAGACGTTTCCTATCTTTGATGCCGCTGCTTGATGCAAAGCTCTTGGTAGGCGTGCTGTAGGAGGAGGCGGTGTTCAGGTTTGTTGTTCTTCCTGTGTTGTCGCTTCGGCGGTGTTTTCTTCGTTTGCTGCATGTTGCTTCAACCATTCCTACAGCATCACGACAGATACGAATATGAAGAGACTAGGATCAGTATACACCCTAACTCCTCTTAGTGATAGTGAGTGAAGAAACTTACTTCAGAATCCCAAACAGCCCTCCCCCTTCCACCCATACCACCACCGCCTGGGGCATCCTTGACCTTATTTGGATCAGCCAAGTTGACATTAATCGTTCTCCCATTGATCGAGTTCAGATCCATATTATCTAACGCATCTAATGCTTCTTCCGGGTTGGAGAAGGTTATGAAGCCGAACCCTTTATTTCGTTTGCCGGCGGGAGTGGTTGTGCAAGGAACGGAGATAGAGATGATGTCACCAAATGGAAGGAAGTAGGAGGAAAGAGTGACTTCGTCGAGATTTGAAGGTAGGTTGCCGACGTATATTGTTGGTGAACCTGAATTGGACATTGTGGTAGCGAGGACCGGGGGGAAGGGTTGGTGGTAGGGGGGAAAGGGGAAGGGGTGTTGTTTCTCCACACGATGAGAAGAAAAATGTGGGCTGGAGGAAGTGGCCGACTTCCGAAGAAATGCCAATTTGTAAGACGAAAAAAAAAAAAACCACAGCTCAAAAAAGAGCGATAAAAATGGGTCATGAAAAGCACACAAAATTCACAATCATCACGAACAGCAAGAGGTTAAAGGCGAGGATGGCCATTCAAAGCGAGAGAGTGACGAGACGACAAAGCATTGTACGTAGAGGGAAACCTGCTCATGCCCAGAGAGGAGTATGCATCCTAGCGTTCTCATTATACCTTCCGCCCGCAACTTGAAACTTCTTCACCTTTTCATCCAACTCTTTCTTGGTCTCTTCGCTCAACTTGATGTTTGCTGCCTCTGCATTCTCCCTTGCCCTCGAGGACTTACTCGTTCCTGGCAGCGGTACCATCACGTCGCTAGATTCAATTAGCCAAGCTAGACCCAACTGAGTCGGAGTCGCCTCCTTCGGTTTCTGCTCCTTCGCTGCCTTGATAAACACCTCTGCTAGTCTGAGGTTCTTTTCGAGATTCTCCTCGTTCAACCTATCCATGTGCTTCCTGATATCTCCCTCTGGCAGATCATCCACCGATTTGATTGTACCAGTCAACAGGCCCTTACCCGTTGGCGAGTAAGCAAGGATGGGAATCTTGTGCTGAGAGCAGAAATCAACAATACCCAACTTGTACGCTTCCAACTCCCAAGGACTGACTTCCAACTCGACACATGCAATCGGAGCCACCTTGACAGCTTCCTGAATTGACGTCAATCCCAATTCCGACAACGAAATGTGCCCGAACAATCCTTTACCCTTAACCTCCTTCCCTTGCTTATCCGTGTAGGTTTCGGAGGAGAGTGAGAGCATATTATACATGATATCGGTTACAGAGGCTTTACTGTCACGACGAGCCATTTCGTACACGTCGATCTCTTTTCCGCCTTGATCAGTGCCGAGTTGTTCTCGAATTCCACGGAGATCGGTCTCGAGAGCTGGGAGGGAGGAATCGAACTTAAATCCAGCCATGCCTTTCTCTCTGTAAAGATCGATGGAGAGACCGCCTTTTACGGAGAGGATAGTTTTGGATTTGTACTCCGGGTAAGCGTCGTAGAATCGCTTGAGGAGTTTAAGGTTGGCGTAAGGGTCGGTGGGGGGACCGTAGAATGCATCGGTGTTGAGGAAATTACTTCCTGCATCGACGGCTGCTTTGATGGCTTCGAAAGCTTGAGAATCGGGGGTTTGGAGGGAGGGGTCACACCAAGACATGCCCATGCAACCGAATGCTACACGACCGATTTTGATGTGGCTTGCGGTGCCGCCGAGAGGGATCTGGGGGATGGGGGAAGACATGTTTGCGTATGTTGCTGCTGTTCGAGTTTGAACGAGGTTTCAGAGGAGCATGCGTTGCGTTGTTGTCGCCTTTTGGAGGAATGTGGTAAGTAGGAAGAAGGCGGCTGAATATCTATCCCTTCTTAGCGAGGTGGAAGACGCTGAAGCTGAGCCGAGGTCGTAACTCTTACTGTCAGAAGACGGTGACAGAGAAGAGTGATATGACGACGCCAGGTCGACTTTCCAATTGCTTAACCGCGGAGTGGACGGAGGCGCAGAACCGGCGGGGAGATGGAGGTGGAGGTGGAGGTGGAGGCGCTTTGCAAAGATTTGTTAAATCGAGTCAAAATCCCCATAGAAAAATAAAAGCCCTCTGATGCTGCACGTGATGGCTAATTCTGAGTGTCGCGTCTGTATGCTACTGCCGCTCAGACCACAAACAAGGGAGTCGCGCTGTTTGTGTTGTGTAGCTGTCAAACATAGCATAACGCCTAATTCACCCTTGCTTCTCTATTGCTGTCCTTTTACGTGCTAGCATACGCCTCTGGAACGACAAGGAGCGAATGAGTAGACAGTGCTGGTGTCGGACGTATACCTGAACAAGGAATCACAGTGTTAGGGTTGGCGGGGGAAAGGGTTGAGCTGGGTTGGGAGGCGTAGCACAAAAAACAGTTCGGTCCAATGTTGTGTTGAGTATCTACACCTGTCGAACCGTACGCGGGCCCGTCTGTGTCCCTCTCTTTCTTTCTTTTGTGGACGTTGGATGCAGGAGCACATGCATGACTTCTCCTTCCGCTCTGTGCCAGCAAGCGAGTGAGCGCGAGGGTGTCAAGTTGACGCAGCCAAAGTTGACTGTCACAAACATTCGAGTCTGACGCTCACAGAACCCTTCTCCTGCCGTGTTTTTCTCTTCCTCGCCCGCGCACACAGAGTGAGGCTGAGAGATGCTACTCGAATTCGACATTACTCCTCCCTTCTCTTCCTTTACCTCTACATCATCAACGGCCTTTCCTACACCTACTTCCTCAAGCTTCTTCGTCTTCTTCACCACCTTCACTTCTACTCGTTCTCGTAACGATAGAGTAAGAGCAGTCGCTCCTCACCCCTAGCGAGAACTCCGTCTCGTCCGTCACCAACAAGGAAAGGCTCTTCGACAACACCATAACAACAAGAGCATAAACCGTATAGCAAGCCGCACAAATATAGCATATCTCATAGCCTTTTCACTGTTAGATCATATAGATAGCTGCATTGTGTAGCTGCCCTTGTAGCATCATCCATATTCACCCCGATCACCGCGAATCTATCTCGGAGAAAGTCTGGCAATGATGGCATCAACAATGGCCACCGGCCCCTCCTCTCTCGCAGGGCACCACCAACTTCCAGCACACCCTGGCTATGCTCGTACCACCTCCGCCCCCACCACAGCAACCTCCACTCTCCCCTCTCGACCGCGACCAGCTTCCACCATTGCATCTAAGCAACCCGCTGTCACCACCGCCACCTCGGCAGCTGCTACCAAAACTTCCGGTGCGGCGGCAACAACAACGAGCAAGTCTAAGAAACCACCTCTTCCACCTCCCCCGAAAGTCATCATCGATTCAGAAGGAAGAGCGTTTAAACGTGGTGATTTGTTAGGACAGGTGAGTCACCCCCGTCCTCTCTCCCTCCCCCTCCCTTTCTCTTATTTCGTCTTCTCCATATTGAAGCTGATCAATCCATTGTGACTTGTAATATAGGGAGGATTCGCAAGAGTCTACCAAGCGACAGACCCCGCCGGCAACCATAAAGCTTTCAAAGTGATTGCCAAATCTGCCATTATCAAGTCTCGCAAGAATCGTCAAAAGATCCTCGCCGAGATTATGATCCACAAATCAGTTGACCATATCCACGTAGTCAAGTTCGAAGACTGTTTCGAAGACGATTCCAACGTCTATTTCCGCTTGGAACTCTGCCGAAACGGATCCCTCAACGATATTGTAAAAAAGCGCGGGCCTTACACTGAGCCCGAAGCGAGATATCTCATGGTTCAGATCCTCGCTGGAACCCAGAACCTCCATCAGAATAGCATTATTCATCGAGACTTGAAGCTGGGTAACATCTTCCTGGATGAGAACATGCACGTTAAGATCGGAGATTTTGGTTTGGCTGCACTGCTCAAGCATCCAGAGGAGAGGAAGAAGACGGTTTGTGGTACCCCGAACTACATCGCACCCGAAATCCTGTATGATCAGGGACAAGGACATAGTTTCGAGGTTGATATTTGGAGTGTGGGGGTGATCATGTATACGCTGTTGGTGGGGAAACCACCGTTTCAGACGCCGAAAGTCGACGAGATTTACGAACGCATTCGTCAAAACGCCTACGAGATTCCTATCAGTGCTGGGCTTAGTACGGAGGCGATTGATCTTATCACCCGCATCCTTACGCATAACCCAGCACAGAGACCTACGTTGGTGCAGATCATGCATCATGCTTGGTTCCAGTGCGGTCCTGTTCCACTCACGATCCCGTCGACGGCGATTGAGGGAACTCCTTTCCTCCCGCCCATTACTGCGCGAGAGTCCGCTCGCAACTTGGAGCTGTTGAAGAGACAGGCATGCTGGGATGATAGGGCGGATGATCTTATCGAAGATTCTCCCATTGGTGGAGAAGTGTACAGTGATGCACAACAAGAGCCGGTGGAGGTCTTGGCAGATGCAAGGAGCGAATTGGAACAAGCTGAAATGGCCGAAGAGAGGAGGGAGAAGATGGATAGAGAGTTCCATCATGCGATCCAACCAGAGTCGCCCATCAGTGCCTTGTTGAAGGCGGGTAGACAACCTTTGATCAAGGCTCCCACTGCTCCACCGCAGAGTTTTGCAAGAGGGGCGGCCAACTCTCTCGCCAAACAACTCTCTTCCTTGACTCTCTCACGAGGCTCGGAACCAACAGGAGCTATGGGTGGAGCGGTGGGGGATAAAGAGAATGCAAATCCAATGGCTCCTCCTCCTCCTGCTGTGGGGAAGGCTGAGTTCGGAAGGATGTATTCGAGGAACGGAAACGCGATGCCTCAACATCAGCAGCAGGATAGTGCGGCGTTGCAACACAAGACTCTTCTTGTTACTTCAACTTCTTCTGCTACCACTACCGCTGGTCTCACTCGCCCCCTCTCTATTGCCTCTTCCATCCACGATCCCCAGCAGCAGTGTGGTAGTGGTCTCCCTCCCTCATCCTCCCGTGCGACGCTCGCTTCAAACGGAAGCTCAACCGCCCTCGCACCTGGAGCCAAGAAAACAAAGACCTCAATCGAAGTCATTATCTCCCATCTCGAATCTGCCCTTCTCTCCCTCGATTCCAACACACTCTACACTCCACCTCCCACTTCCGCAGCCGAATCCATCCGCTTCATCGAAAAATCCTGCCAACTCAACGGAACACGCATCCACCCCGAATCGCCCAAGACATTCCTCATCTCCTGGCTAGACCATTCCGAACGCTACGGTCTCGGTTATGCCCTCAGTGACGGTACTGTTGGTGTGTACTTCCGCGATGCTACATCTATGGTGTTATCAGCGAGCAAAAAGTATGTTGATTACATCTCAACGATTCGTAATACACCCAAGCCCGCCAACGGCGCAGTAGGGGGGAGAACGGATCAGTTGAAGAGAGAAAACTTCATCATCCCTGCTCAAAACTCGACTCCTGGGGGTGAAGAGAACGGTACAGTACCCAAAGAGCTGCATTCGAGGGTGAGGGTGATGAAATACTTTGAAAAAGAAATCATGGATCGTCTATACGGCGCCGACTCTCCCCTAACCTTTTCCGACGTTGAGAAGACCACGGGGATGACGTTCGTTCATAAATGGTACAAAACAAAAGATGCGATCGTTTTCCGCCTTTCAAACGGTACGGTCCAGCTTAATTTCTACGACCACACAAAGGTGTTCCTCACGCATGGTGGTCAGGTGGTAAGCGTTATCGAACCACTAGATAAGACTGGAGGTGTGCCGAGGATGACAAGTTGGACGTTAGCAGAGCTCGTTTCTATCGCCTGCACCGATCGAAGTGCGAGGGAGGCGGAAGAGGAGGAGAGGCGAAGATTCAACCTAGGCGCCGCGGAAGGTGAGGAGAGGGTATACAAGACTAGACCGGCGGAGAGAAGGAAGGTAAGGGGTCTGGTGACAAAGTTGAGGTATGCGATGGAGGTGTTGCATACTACAGTGCAGAGTAGGAGTGGGTCAGCCACTAGCACTGCCGCTGCGCAGTGAGCTACAGGGACGGTCAAAAGAACAATCTAGTTCCGGTGTTTATGCTTCCGTATCATCATCTTTTTCGGTTTCTTTCATCAACAATATCTTCAACACATCATTCTTACACATCATTCTTATGGCTTTCAGCTTCATGCTTCGTGTCCATTTCACATATCAAGTTTCGTCCAGTTTCCAATGCATCTCTCCGTTCATGGCTCCAAACTTCGTCCGCTCGTGTATTTGACTTCAACGAGGCGCTGATAGATGGGGCGAACTCGAATTCGCACAGACTGAGCTTCAAAGATGAGTTCGACATGATTGCTGCTGTTGCAGAATGCTATGAATGTACTCACTGAACAACCCAAACCACGTCCTCTGGTCTCACAAAGAGTTGCACTTCAGCTACCTTCTTCACCTCTGCTTCCTCTTCTCCCTTTCCGTCCTTTCCCTTTCCTTCCTCGGGAAAAGGCAAATCAGGCGTCAAAGCGCGCCAAAGCTCCCTCCTTCTTTCGACTCTATGCTCCGCCTCCCTTTTCTCTCCCTTTTCCGCTTCCTTTCCTTTGATCGCGGCGAAGTACTGCACCCCATCATAGGACCCATTTCTCAGCCTCAACACCTTCGTACTCGGCAAACTATCACTGACGCTAGGTGGAAGGTGTAGCAAGATGCCAACCCATAAGCCTTTGGTTCCTGCTACTGGGCCGAGGTAGCGTACCGTAGCGCGCACCTTCCTGCCTCCTCCACCAGCAGGAGCAGTAGAGGCAGCAGGAGAGGCCCTCGCCGCGATACGACTCGGTGCCGAACTAGTTGGGCTGGGTCGCCTGATCTGCGCTGATGAAGCGCTCGGTTTCTTGACAATGGAAGCAGAGGGTAGGGGGAGGCAAACAATGCAAGGTATGCCAACGATCAATCGTATCCCGCCCATTAAAGCATTGCTATCTGGGTATATAGCTGCATCACCGCCCCTAGTAGAGGCAGAATAGTATACGATAGTCTTTGTGGAATCTGACCGAGGCATGTTATTTGATTGCGACGCTTTTCGCACGTTGTTGATGGCGTCTGTCGGCATTGCTTCCCTCGGCCCTGCTGGTGCTTTGCTTGCTGATGAGGTTGGTTGTGCGCTGTCACCGGAGATTCTCCTTGTTGGAGCAACTGACCGTCTCCCCGCCGTAGCACCTGCAGTGGTTTGCGACCCTTGATCAGCACTCTTCTTACCTGTGGAACTAGAACTCAAAGTCCTAGGCCGAAGCCCACGACCAGAATGAGTCGACGACAAGGAAAATGTCCCACCTGGCCCTGGCGTAGCACGGATGAAAGAAGACTTGGCACCAAGCGTAGGCTGTTTCGGCTTAGCAGTAGAAGAGTCGAGAGAGGAAGAAGGGGGTTTGGCGTCGCTGGTGCGAGGTGAGAGGTTGGCAGCTGATCGAACGGTGCGGACTGCTTTAGTGGGTGTTTTGTCTGCGTCGGGTGGTGTTGGGACGCGTGGTGTGGATTTCTTCGGCGTGACTGCTGCGGAAGAGGAAGAGATAGCAGCGGTGTTGGAAGATGGGAAGGCCTGACGTTTCGGTTCTTGTCCGGCACCCTTGTTCGCCGCAACGGTCGCGGGGCGTTGCGCAGAGGCAACAGCTGATTGTCTACCCTTCAACAAACGCGCGCTTGGGACACTAGCAACGCTTGCTGTACTCGTCGTGCGAAGTCGCTCCTTTCCAGCCGCAGTCGCCATAGGAGTGCCAGATCGTGGTGAAGCACCATTGATGCTGCTCACTCTTGGCGATGATGACGCCGTGCCTGCAACCCTAGGCGTGGGGAAAGCTGTGCCTGCTGTTGATCTTGGCCGAGCGGCAATGGGAGAGGAAGTGGAAGCAGTCGATGTAGTAGACAACGAACAATGTCCATTGACCACCGAAGTTCGTGCGGCATTCCGGTTGAGTACAGCAGCGCGCATATTGTTCGGTCCAGCTTCACATTCACCCTCGTCCCTCACCACCTTTCTTGCTGCAGCAACGCTTGCCGATCCGGTGGACGCCGTCGATGCAGTCCTCACTCTGCCGGACGAACCTGGACTTGCAGCTGCACCAAGCGAAGACCTTGGCCTAGCCACCCCTGCAACCGCACTAGTCCTCCGACCAGTCAATAACCTGCTTGGCAGCGGACCCATCTTCACCGGCGCCTCATCCGTCAACACCAAATCTGCACTCGCAACGTCCAAGTCATCGGCCAACTCCTTCAAACACCATTTCTCCAGCTTATCGAACCCGCCGAGCGCCCTTACGTTAATCCATCTCTTCTTCAAATACCTCAATATGCTTGCTCTTGCATTCTCCACCGCCTGCCGTGACTGAGGCACCTCGAATCCTTGCTCACGCAGCAACACCTGTCCAACGAGAATCTGGTAGATCTGTGCGACTCTAGCTTCGGTCAGCCCGTCAATGAGCATCACTAGACTCTTCTCCAGTACGTCATCGAGAGAGCCTACACCATCTAGCAAGTCAGACCAAGCAGGACTCTGCACTATCTTCTCGAGGTTGGCGTGGAGGATGGGCATGAGACGGTTCTCAACAGTCTCGGCCATGAGGCGGAGTGATTCAACCCACCGACTGGATCGTTCTGTGTCGATGCGCTGCCCGACAATCGATAGCTGACGGAGCACAGTAACTACCAGCGTGGGGTCTTGGGTGAGACGAGTAGAGATGGCATCGACGATCTGGTCTTGGAGCATGGGATCGAGATTGCCAACGTCTTTAGCCCAGTACATTCCAAAGTGAGGGCCTGAGACGGCGGCAATGGCTGGTTCCTGCAGAGCCTGCTCGCTGACGTCGGGGTCAGTGGCGAATGCGAGTGTTCGGGGTACGCGCTTGGCGCACTTCCGGCAGGGTGGTGAGCATTTGAAGCCATGGCAGAATTCGCGGTCGATCAGTGCGGTGACGAGAGCCTGGAGTGTTTCGATCTGTAGATATGCACCTGCACGCCAGAGTGAGAAGGCGGTAGATAGGTCGAAGGTGCGATTGGAGAAGAAAAGCGTACCGGTGTAGAGGAAGCCAAGCGTGAAGTGAAACGATGCTGGTGTGAAGGGTGGATAAGGCAAGTGTAGCACCGGCGCAGTCGAGTCGGCATAGGGAGACAGCAGCATCGAGGCAAAGTACTGCGATCGAGACGCAAGAATCATTCGATGCGTTGAAAAGGACGTGAGCTCATCGTCTTCTGCATCCGAATCGTCGACTCTATCCGTATCGATGGTCTGCGCCAGTGAGATAACGGACATGTTCGCATCAGGAATGTCAACAAACTTTGCCGAGTTCCCTTTCCGTTGACCTCCTAGAGCTGCACGATCCATATCGTCGCTGTCATCGTCTTCGCCAAGCACAATCTTGACGTCCGAATAGAGTTTGCTGCGCCACATGAACGTAAGATCTGATCTTAGCTTGTCGAGCTTCTCCTCCAACGTTACTTCCGAGTCGGATGCTAGTCTGTCCTCGAACAAGAACTCGAATGCGTCCACCATGGCTTCTTCACCAGTGTAGAGGTATTGTAGAGTTGCTTCGAAGAAAGCTTGACTGACACCACCCAAGCTGATGGGTGCACGAAGGGTGCTTGCGTCGCTGATTAACGAACGATTGTCCGTGATGCGCGATTCTGCAGCTGAAGTCACCGAGGCGAATGACGACTTGCGTGCAGGCGCATTCGAACTTTGGTGACCTGACGAGGAGGTCTGAGATACCTTGGAGGGTGAAGTGAGAGATGCTCCGTTTGCTGTTGGCGTGTTGCGGGCGTTGATCAAGCGAGAAGCCCTCAAACTTGTCGCGGGCCCACCTTCACCTTCACTGTCACTGGTCATGAAGCCTGCGAAGGAGCCAGCTTCATCGACCGATGGTTTTCGTAAGGGTCTGGAGATGCTGGAGCGTGAGATGGGTTTGCGCAAGGAAGGTTTTGCCATAGAGAAGCTACTTGGGGGTGCTGCTCCGCGAATTGATTTGCGTTGCTTGGGCGCAAAGGCAGGCGGTGATGATACACTGTTGCCGTTTGAGGCAGTGTTGGATGGTGCTGGTGGTGGCACTCCAGTCTGTGTCGAACAAGAAAAGTTGGAGTTAATCGAAAGCTGTGATTCGCTTCGATGGAGGGGCAGAGAGACGAGACTTGCTGTCGAGCCTATGTGTTGAAGCTGAGCAGCAGGTGAGCGAAGATGGAGAAAGCGAGTCTGGAAGGTGTTGGGTGCGCGTGCGTAGAGAATAGCTTTGTGTGCCCATATCAATGTGTCGGTAGTAGCGGAAGGTTTGGGTATTGAAGGTGAGCTTGACGTGAGCGATGAGGGTACTAGAGTGCTGCCGTGTCCTAAGGAGGAGCCATGGCCGATACTATCGGTACCAGTGAAAGTGACGTGCCCTAGCTCTGAGTCGAAGTCGCCGTTGTCCTGGGCATCGGTCGATGAGGCAGTGGTCCAGCAGACATCGGCAAATCGTTCCTCTGCCCTTTCGAGTAGCCTGCACAAATCATCTCTCCACACCCTTGTAGCTTCATTCTGAGCAGCGCGGACTGGGTCATCGCTTGTGTTGCGGCGAGTAGTTCCAGCTGTGGATGATCTAGAAGGCCCCGCTATTGATTCGTTTGAGATAGAGGATCTTGGTGCGCCTGGACGATCTCTTCTGATGCTGCTGGGAGGGGCAGGGGCCGCCATTCCAGTGGCACGACTAGACTGTCCTGGCCGGCCGCCAGTAGCGGCGAAGCCAGACATGATGGCCTATGTCTATGTTCGAGACGACGAGTTGGCCGTTGATGGCGATGGCAGCTCGCAATACTGTTCTGTCGGCGTCTCGAATGATGGCGGTGGTAGGTTTGGCATCAAGGGCAGTGGTTTCAGGCTGGCGAGGCGGCAGCAAGGTAAGCTGGCCGTGAGTCGTGTCTGTTGCGGTTCTGGCTGAGCAATGCTGTGCCGAAATGGGTATGAGAGTGATGAGAACGATGCCGAATGCAGTTGAGCCTATCTTGCTTGACAATGTTGAAATGCCTGTTTGTCGGAATCAGACCGATGACCGTGGGAAAGGTATGCGGATGAGCGGCGACCGCTTGTCGGAGTACTTCCGATAGCAGCCTCACACTACGGCCGTTGTGGAGTCTCTGGTGTTGTCGAGGCAAAGTGATAGGATGAGGATGTGACTGAAACAAAGGCGATTTCCAGCAAACCTTGGAGAAAGAGTCCAAGCAAATTTGGAATGCACACACAGACAGGCTTCGAGAAGCGTGAGAGCGTGTCCGTCTGTTGGTATTCTCGAGGCTCAGTTCTCAAAATTCTCCAAAGCCCGCCAATACACGCGCAAGATACCGCACGCTCCACTTTCTTGCCACTCAGATGCTTACGACCATGATGCATCAATGGACATCGGCTTCCTTGTGCTTCTCTGTCTCGAATCAGGCATGGACTACGTGTGTGCCTTGCGATCGTCGCTCGAGCCCCGGAGCAACATGTGCAGTGTGCAGGTCAAGTGTTACAGGAGCTACAATCTAAATGGTTCATTCGTGTTTGAAGCCTACGACGACGAAATCGCAAGCCTCTTCCTTCGCAGCTCCACCAATGCACTCCTGCCCACAACAATCGTCACCAATACTGCGCCCAACAGCAGGGGTAGCATCTGGAACAATGTCAATCCGATCCAGTACCTCACCGCCAGACCCTCCAACGCTGCCAAGGCCGCAAACAGCACCAATGCTTTGGATGACGGTGTCTGAATCTCCGGCTCGATAATGCCAAGAGCACCGAGCAGGAAGACCCAAGGCACAGCAGCAGTGACGATCGAGGCAAGACCGCTGACTTTGGTGCTGGGCATCGTCTCGGTCGGTGGAATGCCGAAGGTGTGCTTGTGCTCGGGAAGGCCGTGGAAGCCTTGTTCTCGTTCAGCCTTCTCGCGGGCGGAGAGAGAGGAGGAAGCTGACTCGAGTGCTGCATCTACGAGGCTGGTAGGTGGGGTGAGCGAGACAAGCGGCAAAGAGAGCGGTGAGTAGGCGCCTTCTGAAGCCGAGTTTGCGGGGAAGTTGGCGATGAGAAGCGAGAGTGTCAGTGGCGGCGAGGCGCGGAGGAGGGGTGCTGGAATCCTATCCGTTCTCTGTTGCGAGTACGAAGCACAATTTACGTGAAAGAGGCAGGATGAAAGTCAGTGATACACAGCAAGAAGGATGGATGTTGACCAAGTTGCGGAGGAGAATGCTTACCAAGTTCCACGAGACCTTTCCATTGCTAGGCTTGACAGTGACGGGCCAAGCATGCGAAGGAGGATCAGATTCCTTGCCATCGGCTGCAAGCACGACGAAGGCCTGATGAGGTACATGCTCCTTGCCGAGTGCAGGACCGTCCTTGTTGGCCGCCTTCTTGCTGGATGCGTCCTCAACACCAAGGCTGAAGGTGAGTCGGATCACATCATCGTTTTCGAGCTGAGTCGGGCCGGAAAGATCGAATGGCGCTGTGTTTTTAGAGTAGTCCGACTGTGTCGAGAAGTCCTTGGAGAGTCGAGAAGAGCCGTCGACCGTGGAGAGTGCAAGCTTGGCCGACTTGAGGACGTAGCTCAACTTGGGTTCAGAGAGTGCTGCATTTGACCCGATGACTAGGAGCAGGCTGAGGACCAGCACAGAAAGGAGAGACGCTATTGACCGCATCTTTGCTAGTCTCGCAAATCGAAACCGGAGAAGGGTGAGATGAGGTGTTGGGATGATTCGGTGAAGGAAGGAAGGCTGAAATGCAAAGGCACAACAACAAGATGTCAGATGTCAGCTTCGGCGATGGCGCGTGCACGCCAGAAAAGGTGTGCCGAAACAGCCGTCTCCGCTCTCGACTGCCAGGGTGGAAGCCAATTCTTCTAAATTACAATGGAAATACGTGCGCTTGCACACTTCCCTGCCGAGCCTGAAGCTTGATGCGTGCACCTCTTTGACCCTCGGATCTCGCGATCAAGTCAGGTTGGGTTGTCATTGGTGGTGCTGTGAAACAGTCGCCACACCTCGTCGCATCAATTTGATACAGTACAGTAGACAAATTCAGCCGACTGGTGGGTCAGATCAAAGGTGGCTAAAGGCCCGCGGTGGCACTGTCGACTTCGCGATGCGTCTTATATGCAGTGATGTGTTGTAACGCCTGGGCCTTTTCTCGTGCGAATACATGCCGCACGAGAGCGTTCGATTGGAAGCGTTTGAATTGGCACCTTCTCGTACGAATAGCTGCCGCACGAGTGAATTCGAATTCCTATCGTTGCTTTGTACGCAAGCTAGTCGGGTAGCACATTAGGGGGTTTCAATTTTTTTTTTGCCCTCGAAAACTAGAGTATTCCAATACTCTAAAATCTTAGGAAATTGATGCCCCCAAATGTAAGTTGTGTTTTTAGAGGGTTAATTTTCGAAGCCAACAAAGAGTTAGGGTACGAAGTGTCGGCCGGAAGATGAAGCAGTTCCGGAATCCGAACCACCTTGTAGCTCCACCATCTTTGACACTCTCGTCGCACAATCAAGGTAGATACAGTCATTATTGACACCATGGGTTCATGCAAAACAATCTGTGCAGAAAAAGTGGAGGCATTCGCGCGAGCAGATCAGGTGCAACATCAGGTGCAACATCAGGTGCAACATCACATGAGTGAAAACTCAGGTCCAATTTTGAAAGCACTGCCGCATGAGTATTGCTGAAGCAGTGTTCTCAAAAACTAGGGTATTTGTCAAAATAGCAGAGCTTACGTAAGTAATGAATATCTGACGCAATTGAAAACTCAAAAAAAACCTGAGTTTTCGAAAATAAAAAAGTATTGAAAACCCCTATTGAAGCAATGAGGGAGCGAGGGTATTTACTCCTGAAGATTACGATCCAGTAAGATACTAAAGGATGACGCAGAGCCGATCTGGTCAGAGGCCCGATCTCACCAGAGGTCGGGTACAACCTAGTCCCGCTCGTTGTCAGACCTCGTCATTAAGTTGGATGTACCCACACCTGGCGTATGCCACCCAGTTTGTATATATATCATGCGGGGAGCTTGAGGCTCCCGCCACACTCCTTTCATTAGTCAATTGAGTATACACGTTCCTGTCTTAAAACAGCAGTGACATCGTGCTCCGACTCTCACCGATCGCCAGTCATCGGGACCCGCGCGATCCACTTTTTCTCAAGACGTATATATATCAAGCTGAGAGCACTAGGCTCTCGCCACGTTCGTTCAGTCAATTGAGTATATATGTTTCTGCCTAAAACAGTAGTGACATCGTACTCAGACTCTTCCCGATCGTCAGTTATCGGGACAAAACTTCTTCACATTTCAATATTTACAGCTCGTGCAAACCAGCGAGAGCGTCTGAGCTGACCTTGATGACATGAACTGATCCCACCGACAAATCCTGGTTACATCGTTTTTTTCCGAATGCAGAGCTTGTCAACACTATATTCCCACCAAGAGACCAAATAGCCTCCCCATCGCTCCCCGCCAATTAGCCCCAACTTCGCCACCAACCCATGCTCCGAAGATGGGAAGGGGAGGTGAGGTGGAGAGGGATGGGAGCCAGTGAGGCGAGGCTTGCCTATGTAATGTCGCCACCGACGAGGCACGAAGGTGACGTAAGTCGACATAGCAAGAGATCGATCAGATTGGGTAGTATAGATCCGACGATGAATCAGGCAAAGACAATCTGATTGTAGATCGTCTGGAGCCAATGCTACGAGGATCGGGGACAACAGAGCCCCACTTGTTGTCATAGCTTGTCATTAAGTAGGATACTCCCACACATGGGATGCGCCGGCACTTTGTATATAGATCAAACGGGGAGCTCCAGGCTTTTACCACACACTTCCTTCAGGTCAATATAGTATAGTGTTTTAGCTCAAATAGCGTGAACATTAGGGGGTATCAAAGTTTTTGCGTTTTTAAAAACCCGGGTTTTTTCAAGAGCGCGTTTTTCAAAAAAACGCAAAAGCTTACATAAGCTCCGCAAAGGGAAAAAAAAAACCGCGTTTTCAAAAACGCAGCTCAGGAGGCGTGTTTGCGAAAACGCGGTTTTTTTATCACTCCACATCTTCTCTCCTTTCCTCACTCTCGTCACACTTTTGCTCACTCCCTCTTCCTTGCGCTCATTCAACATGACCTCCTCCACTGATGATTCTCATTGTTATGCCAGTCCACTACACAATCTGACAGGCACTCTCTCTTCTGCTGTTCAATACAACTCTTCTCACCACCATATGAAACATTACATTGTGTGAAGAGGAAAGCAAGATATAAGCAAGCAATGGGTGATAGCGACGAGAGCAGGACAAGTAACATATGCTCACTGTTAGGTTACGTCTCTTATCGGCCGTATAATTTATGTTTCATATGATTACTGTTAGGTTACACCTCCTTTCGGCCGTATGATTCATGCTTCCTATGCTTACTTTTAGGTTACGTATTTTATCGGCCGTATGATTTCATCGCATTTTTGGAAACCCGCTTTTCCTTGGGGGGGTTCAAATTCCCTCCAAAAACGCGCTTTTCAAAAAACCCGTGTTTTTAAAATCGCAAAAACTTTGATACCTCCTATTGTGCTTAGATTGACATCTCCCGATAAACGACGTCAAAGAGCCAAATTCTTCAACATAAAGAAGTAGTGACATCGTACTTAGACTATCCCCGATCGCCAGTATCGGGACCTAAACCTCCAACATCATAATCCTGTCTTCATGCTCGCTCTCGAGTGGTCGAGTAGGTGACGCAAAAGCTCGGACAGCACCAGCCGAGACGACCAATGTCAGCTCAATCATTATCTTAATTCGAGTGGCACGACTCTCGGTATCAATCGATCTTTGGCTGCAAAGGGTAGACTGAGGGATCATCTTCATCAGAGCTGGAGATGAAAACTCGAAATCCGGTTCAGACACAGTGTTTCGGTCTCAGAATATGGATCTTCTATTGATGACGATGAGCTGTCCACAAAAAATTCGAAAACTTCAAAGTGATGTAGAGATGTTCAGCGCAAAAAGTATGACTGAGCTCATCACCAAAATTACGGGTAGATTTGCTCGAGAGGGACGTGCCATCGGGGCTCTCCCCAACAGAGATTATGCCGTTAAAGCTATTCCCTGCCTTGATTAGAATGTCGTAGCATCGAGTTTCAGGATTGAATTTCGAATAGCGGAAGTTGGTGTCACCATATGCCAGATAAGTGATCTCGAACGGTGTCGAGGGGTCGCGTACGGTGAAATCTATGATGGCATCAGCAGCAAAAGTGTCAGTGAGCCTTCCTCTAGCTCTTCAGATTCACGATGGCCTTGGAGACCCTACCTCTAGCAGTTTCGTCCATGAGCAAGATCTCTTGTGTCATGTTGAGTGGTTCGAGCCACGGTTCGATGTTTGTGGCCTTGAGTGAGCCATCACCTTTATGAGTGAAGCAAGGCCCTTTCCCAGGAAGACATCGGGCTTTGTACTTTTCGGCATCGATCTGCAAAGGTGTCAAGGTGCAATCATAATCCTGCAAAGGGGGGATCTCCTGCGTAAGTGGTCGAGCTGATGGCGATCGATCCAAATCTTGTGTTACCTGCGGGCCGGGGCCGCCCCATTGAGGCATCTTTGCAGACAAAACTGCAGGAAAGGTCTGGAGAGAAGTGAGTGCAATGAGGGTAATCGAGAGCATTGAGAACAATTCAAAGCATGGGGCCATCATGGTTCCTGCGCCTCTGAATGGTAGGCGGAGGGTAGACACTATCTTTTGTAGGTAGTAAGGATGAGTTGAGACGCTTATAGCTTGTTGGGACTGTCTCACTCAAAAGCGAGGAAGGACCGACCCTACACAGGACTGTTCCAGAGCGAGCAGAGCGAACAGAGCGGAATCGTAGCTTGAGCACGGTCCGGTTTGTCATTCGTCCTTGTCACAGGTGGGACCGAACGAACGGGAACGATTGCAAGGCAACCCTGAAGCGATTTTTCCCCCCTGTTTAGACCCTGCCCAGCAACTGAGGTGGAGTTGTGTCGCAAAGGAGACAACTGCTTCCACTCAATGTACGAGCGTCGACAAGCACAAGGGGCTGCGAAAAATGAAGCCATGACTATGGCTGAGTCCCGCCGTACCACAGTGAGGCGAGACTTGCCTATGCGATGTCGCCACACTTCACTTCCTTGGCTTCATAATTGGGTTTACAGCACTGAACATGCCTGCACACCATGATTGGGCGGTTGAAGGCACAAGAACCAGTGGGCTGTCCCACCGATGCCGGATGTCGGCGGGCCATCCTACCTCGTTCGTCTACTACAGGTGTCCTAATATCTGCTGATAAGACACAGCTCAACACAGAAAAACAGAAATCCGTCTTATCTCTCACTTCCCAAGGAGACATCCCTTTTCGACTTCCAAGTACTCAAGAACGCATTGGACATGCTCGCACTCAAGTCACAACTCATCGGCGTCGCTCTCGTGCTGGCATTCTGTGCTGAAACCCTCTATGCAAGGAATGGGTATAATAACAAGCACGTATGCCCACCCCGCTCGAAGGTACTACCTCATAACACCGACTACAGGAAACGATGCGAAGCTGAGACTGGCCCTGACGGTGCCGATCCCAAGTGGCCTTGCTTCACCTTCTGGAGCGGAGATTTGAAGGATGTGATCGCCGATACGTCTGCTTCAGGCAAAGCTCCCCACGAATTCCTCCTCATCAAAGATGGCTACAAGTACGGTATGCATCAAGTGCATGGGCTCTCACTGAAATTTGACTCCCGGTACTAACTTTCAATCTGACTTTCTCTCTGTGATAGACTTTACAACTGTCGACCCCACCAAGGACTTCAATGTGCAGTGGTACCAAGGGAGCGTTCAGATGAGCTATTCCGACTTCGACAAGGAGAAGGGCTGCTTCAAGATCACGCTGAAGCACTATGATAACGATAGTCTCCGTATCTGGGTCTCTGCCGAGAACAGCAAAGAGCGAGATCTAGACACCTGGAATCGTGGGGAGACGTCCACGACCCTATGCACAAAGTGGGTCCACATCCACATCAAGTCCGATGGCAAAAGTCCTTAGGACGTGTGAGCGGTGAGACCATTCCCGCATTTCTCGTATGATATAGACTCTCAAGATGTACAGCTTCTTCTCATCGCCGAGACGCACGTAAATCGACCTCTTCATACAAATCTCACCTTTGCCTGATGAGATGTCTGCACAAAGTAGTCGTTCCGCTCAAGGATGTGAAGCAGTGTGCGGTCTGTCTACGCATTAGAGATTCAGCATCTGCTGCTGCTGTGACACAACCTTGTCACGACAGGACAACAGCTGGTAAGATCGAAAGGGCTCGTGAGGCTCGCCATCCCAACAATTCGAAGCTCCCTCTTTGTTCAATGATAGCAACTCCTACCTTCCCATCCTACTTAGCTTTCGCCTTCCTCCATCTTCCAGTACCAATCATCAAGTTTGCTTCCGAAATGAACTCACTTGGGCTCATTCTCCTCCTCAGCACTCTCAGCGCCCTTTCTGCGGCCTTTGCCCAAGACTGTCCGCTGAAGTTGACCCCAATTCGCCCTCGCAACTCGGACTTCAACAAAGCTTGTTCTGCCAATTCCGCCTCCAAGTCTCCTTGCTTTCATCACGTCTCTGGCTCGCTTCACTAGGTCAACGCCACTTCAACTTCCTATCCAGGATTCGATCATACATGAGCCCCTATCGTCAAAGACGGTTTCTTGACAGACTTCACCTTCGTCAACATTACTGCGAGTTATTATGTCAATTATACGGAAGCAGGCATAGGGTTGCAGTACCGACCCAGCGCCAGGGATAACTGTTTTCATCTAGTCTGGAACTACAATAGTGATAAGGCCTGGGACTGGAAGATGAGAAGGGCTTTGGCAAAAGGCGGAAAGAAGTTATTTGAAACAAGCGATGCCAGTACTATTCCTTTCCAGGTTTGCGATCGTTATGTTGATCTTTGGTTGGAGAAGGAATGACGATGTGACAAGAAAGCTGGATCCTGCAAAGGGGCTTGTTTCGGCTGGCTAGGGCTTGAGCATGATGCATTTATGCCTCTACCTGTCCCATACTCATCCGTTTTGCGCGCCGACGGAGGATTGTATACACCATACTTTCTCGAGTGCTGTCATGCTCGGCAAGTGACTCGCATTCATCTTTTCTTACTACTGCGACTGGTTTGCAGGACTCTATCCCAATCTCATCCTCGTACCTGTCCGAATTCGATCATTGCCAGTTTTGTGCACCACCATTTGTGCCCGCAATAGGACCCTGAAGCGGCGAGACTAGGACAGATCTTTGATCCAGTCTGACCCACACAAAGCTGTTAACCCGAAAAGGCCGGGTAGCACATTGAAGCAATGAGGGAGCGAGGGTATCTAAGCTTGTGCAAACCAGCGAGAGCGTCTGAGTTGACCTTGATGACATGAACTGATCCCACCGACAAATCCTGGTTACATCGTCTTTTTCCGAAGGCGGAGCTTGTTAACACTATTCTCCCACCAAGAGACTAAGTAGCCTCCCCATCGCTCCCCACCATTTAGCCACAGTCTCGCTACCATATGAAGCTAAAATATGGACAGTGCTCCTTTCTTCGACCCACCAAGCTGACGACAACCCTTGTTCCACTTATCGAATTACAGTAAGATTGCGTCACGCTACTCAACTACCTAAAAAAACCTTTCGTGCTCATCCGTCCTCATTCCCCTCCGGATCTTAGAGCTCGGTTCCTCCAAACGAAATCAAGATGATCTCAATCTGCCTCTCTTCCCTCCTCCCTGGACCTGAGCCTCCTCAATGCGTTAACCACCTCCGCCAAGGATTGCTCAATGATCACCGGATCGAGTGACAGATTTGGATGGTAGGATGCAATTTTATTACGTGTGGCGACGATGGACGGTATGTAGAGATGAAGATAAAATTAAGTCTTGTGTGTTTTGTGTGCCTACCCTGTGGACGAGACTGAAACATGCAGGGACGGGGCCCAAGGCCCCAGCTCCTCCTCCTTGGGCATCGGACAGTCGATATGCCGATGCCCATCACGATAATCGGCCTGATGTGGGCCGATACGCCGCATAGGCCTCCTACACTTCTGCCGCTATGTTCCTGTTCTGCAGACGTAATTGCTAGACTATTTGTGTGTGATCATAGTGCTCACGAGCCCTTTCGATCTTACCAGCTGCTGTCCTGTCGCGACAAGGTTGTGTCACAGCAGCAGCAGATGCTGAATCTCTAATGCGTAGACCGCACACTGCTTCACATCCTTGAGCGGAACGACTACTTTGTGCATACATTGCATCAGGCAAAGGTAAAATTTGTATGAAGAGGTCGATTTACGTGCGTCTCGGCGATGAGAGAAAACTGCACATCTTGAGAGTCTATATCATACGAGAAATGCGGGAATGGTCTCACCACTCACACGTCCTAATAATATTTTTTACCATCGTACTTGATGTGGATGCGGAGCCACTTTGTGCAAAGTCTCTTGGTCGTCTCCGCATGATTCCAAGTATCGATGTCCCTGCCATTACCATCCTCGTCCGCGACCCAGATCCTCAAGCGTTCGTCGCTACCCCTTTTTAGTGTGATGTCCTTGCATCCGGTTTTATGATCGTAGTTAAAGTAGAGGAGTTCAGCTCCGAACTGGGGATACTTGATCACGAAGGACTTAGTAGCGTCCTTTATTGTGAAATCTGCAGGGGCATTGAAGACAAAAGGTCAGCATCTGCTATTAATTTTACGGCTGAAGGTGAAACAACTTACCCTTCCTCTGTTCGTCTTTGAAGAAGAGGCTCTCCTTGACGTTCAATTGATCAACGAGGCCGCAAACGGCCACGGCAGTAAAATCGCCAGACCAGTTGACACATGTTTGCGAACAAGAGCTGAGGGCTGGGCCCTCAAATACAGATCTCCCAAAACTCATTTCGAAAGTTCTCCCTCACTTCTTTCAAGATTCAGACAACCTTCGAGCAAGATGACTCGAGCTTCTACTTCCGCTGCCAACTTTGGCCTCCTTCTGGTAGCTTTGGTTCTGATGCTTCACTCTGTTGTGGGCGAGCTCATCCCTAGACATGTCAGTCACCTTCTCTTTGCTCGCCAAGACAGCATTGATCAATGTTTCCTTACCAAGCTTGCTCCTAATAATAAGGAGAACGAAACACGCAGCGGAGACAAAAGTGACTCCAAGCATCCTTGCTTCACTGGAGAGTGTCGACTCAAGCTTCAGATCGCATATATTTTCCCGATTCCATGTTCCCGATGTAATCCGCCTACGATCTGTGCTGCTGCGGCAATCGAATCTTGATTGGCTGTTGGAATACGCGCCTGAATCGGCTCCGAGCAGAGCGCTTGCAGCATGTTCGAATTTTGTTCTTCCAGTGCCCAAACGAACCTTCTTCTCTTCTCTCTTCATACTACTTTTTTTTTCTTTTTCTTTTTGTTTAGTATACCTTGGTCACCGCTGGTATCATCTTTTCACCACCACGACTACCAACCCCATCTACACTTTTAACAAGATGAGCTACGTCGCCAAGGACAAGGATGTCGATGCTTCGGCCCCTGCTGCCAAGATCCACAAGATCCGCATCACCCTCACTTCCCGCAACGTCAAGAACCTCGAGAAGGGTAAGCACCGACTCCACGCCAACTTTCCTAACATGGTCGTGCATCGATCATCAAGCTGACATTTGTCGCGATATCTTCTATCCTTTTTGCATTTTGTCTTGTTAGTCTGCTCTGACCTTGTGAACCGATCCAAGGACAAGCAACTCCGCGTCAAGGGTCCCGTTCGTCTCCCCACCAAGGTTCTTTCGCACACCACCCGAAAGTCCCCCTGTGGTGAGGGTTCCAAGACCTGGGACCACTTCGAGATGCGCATCCACAAGCGTCTCATCGACCTTCACTCCCCCTCTGAGATCGTCAAGCAGATCACCTCGATCTCCCTTGAGCCCGGAGTTGAGGTGGAGGTTACCATCCTCTCCTCCAACTAAGCGTGCGCTCTTGCTCTCGCTATTGTTGTGAGGAGGTTTGGAGGATGTTGTGTCCGTTACGTTTCGAGTGCTTCTTTAATGTTGCTTTCAAACGGGTTTCAGCGATCAGGTGTCAGAATCGATGGTGGATACGTCTTTACTGTGCGTGGTTCATACTCGGTTTTGGCGCTGTTCGAGGATCGCTGCCCACACACTTTGGCCTGCAAGAGTCTTTTTACGAAATATCACAACACTCCTTTTTCTTCCTCATCAACCTCGGCTTAGAATGTGCAGACTGTGTCCTCGGATGTGGTGTAATTCAGCGTTGGGTTGTGCATCGTGTTGCAACTGACGCTAGGTTGATTTGTTGTTGCAGGTGTCAGAGAGCATGTTACTTTTTCTTGTTCTTGTTCTTGTTCTTCTTGCCTCCGCGGCCTCCTAGGTTCGGCGTGGTAAGAGTTGCTGGCCTTGTCGGAGTGTTCGCTCCATTAACTTTGTCCTCCTCTCCTTCGTCATCATCCGCTCCTTCGTCGTCTGCCTTATCATCTGCTCCTTGCTCCTCTGATTCTTGGTTTCCTTTGGTTGACTTGGGCTCCTTGGCCATTTCCGCCTTTTCGTTCGGTTCAGCAGCGGCCTCGTCCTTCGCTTCTTCCGCCTTTTGCACCTCTTCAGTCTGGGCAGTGTCTCGAGCTGATTCGTCCTTCGTTGAGGTCGCTTCGGGCGCAGCCTCCTTAGCAGCTTCAGCCGTTGTGCTATCCTCGGTCGTAGGCGCCTCGTTACTATTATCAGCCGAAGCAGCAGCAGCAGCAGCGGCGGCGGTAGCAGCAGCTCGATCTCTCTCCTCTTTCCGCAGACGAAGCTTTTCGGCCAAGCTGAACTTCTTTGATGCTGCTCCCGAGGCGGTGGCTTGTTCTGGGGCCTTGGTCGTGTTCTCTCTTGCCGCCTCAGCAGCTTCTTTAGGCTTTGACGTCTCCTCTTCCGCCTTGATCTTTGCTTCTGCCTCTGCCTTTCGCTTTTCCTCTTCAGCCTCAGCCTCGGTCTTTGCCTTTACGGCTTCTTCTTTTGCCTTGATTCGAGCAGCCTCCTCCTTCTCCTGCGCTTTGGCTTCAGCTGCCTCTGCCTCTGCTTGAGCCTTCGCCTCGGCTTCTGCTTCGGCCTTTGCTTCTGCCTCGTCCTCAGCTTTGACACGTGCTGCTTCAGCTTCAGCCTTCGCTTGAGCTTGAGTTTCGACTTTGGCCTTCTCAGCTTCCGCTTTCTTTCTGGCTTCCTTCTCTTCCTCAGCCTTTTTGCGCTCCTCCTGTGCCTTGATCCTCGCTTCTTCTTCAATCTTCGCTTTGGATTCTGCTTCCGCCTGTTTTCGAGCTTCCTCCTCTGCCTTGGCTTTGGCCTCGGCTTCCGCCTTTGCTTTCGCTTCAGCCTCGGCTTTCCTCCTCGCCTCCTCCTCGACCCTCTTCCTCTCTTCTTCCCTCTGCCTTGCTCGTACCTCAGCCATCGCAGTCGCCTCCTCAACAACCCTCTTCCTCTCCTTTGCTTCGCCCATTCTCCTCTTCTCCTCCTCCCTGACCCGTGCTGCCGTCTCCTGTATCCAGTGCTCAGCCTTACCCCGCACCTCTGCACTACTCTTCCCTGCTTCTCCATCCTTCAGATCAAACACTTGCGTTTGGACAACTCGTAGCGTCCATGATGCAACTGACTGGTGCCACATCCTTAAAACTTTGCAGAGGATAACACTCTCCCTATTCCTCGCCAGCTCGGTTTGTAACGCATTTCTTGAGTCTGGATCTTCGACGTGTTCGAGGATCGTTCGTGTGTGTTGGTCGGCTAGCAGCCGATCAGCGTATGGCGTGTTGTGTTGAAGTTTGGTGATTGTTGCAGGTACTCCTTCCAACAGTCGTTCTGAAATCTTTGCAAAATGTCGATCGAGCTTTTCGAGCAGCACCACACCCAAAGAGGTGGGTGCGAATACTTGAATGGCATTGATCCATTCCAGTAGCCGATTGAGCAACTTGGCCAGTAGGGGATAATCAACAAGTTCAATGTTTGGTCTCGATAAATCTACGTAACCGCCTTCATCACCCGCATGGGATGACGGGGTGTAAAGATCCTTTATCGCCGACTCGGGGAGTTGAGGGGAGAGAAGCCATCGGGAAGGCAATGACCCATCGGCAGCGGCGAGGTGATGGTCAAGTTGATCGTTCAACCAAGCAAAAGATTGGTCTAGGGAGTAAGAGAGAGCTTCTAACCAAGTCGATTCTATCGTACTTAGCGAAGCCGTTGTTGGACTCTGGGTGGACAGTAGAGAAGGAGCGAGGAGAAGTTTACCAAAATCGAATCCGAATCGACTGAGTGAGGCGGAAGCATAGGAAAGTTGGGTATGAACGTTGTTATACAGCTCAGCCAACGTTTCTAAAGATCCGGAATCGGAAGAGGAGCGAACGCGGTTGGTTGCAGAGACGAGCTGGAGTGAGACTGTATCGCGTAGACGCTCGAAACCGGAGTGTGCGAAGGAAGAGATCAGGAATGATGGTGTTACCATCTCTGACTTGCTACTTTCGGGTTGAGTCTGGGAGGAAGGAGCATCGTCGATGAAGAGAGAGAAGACCATGCTGAGTGAATCTGCCATTTCCTCGGGCCATAGATCGATATACCTCCGGAGGTAGGTTTCGCTGGAGAAGGAAGATGGTGAGCCGATAGCATCAAGCGCGGAGTGGAAGGATCGTATTCTAGCCTTGAGAAAAGCTAGGCAGAGTTGGTTTTCTGTCAGACCGAGCTCAGGAATGAGTGCGCTCGATTGGGGTGATGACTGGACAAGTGTGTTGCAGTCTGGAATCTGAGAAAGGAGAGAGCAGATATGATTGAGTTTGCGAAGGACAGTGATGGACTTGCGAGCTGCTGGAAGCTTCAATCCGGTCCTTGAAAAGCTTGCAATGAGGTCCGCTTTCATATTGGCTAGATGGGAGAGTGTTTCGAGGAGAAGGGAGAGATAGATGCTTCTCTGGCCAGCCTGCGCATATGCAGGATCCGCTTTGGTCTTCGAAGTGGCGACTGACGTTGGCTTGAGTAGAGCTGTAAGATGTTCTGTGAGCTGTATCGCTTCTGAGTAGTGTGCTGCCTGTACACAAGTGTGCACTAGAGGAGGAATCTCGAGTAAGTCGGACAGATGACCTCGCTCGTACTGATCTGCGACATTCTGAACCCGTTGACGTTGATCAAGTACAGGTTTGCTGGCATCGGCGAAGGCATCGACGGCTTTGTGCAGGTCTGGTAGGGTATTGTTGATTAAGTCGGCCAGGTGTGTAGCAAAGGTATCGAGCGAAGGAGCGAATTGCTGCTCGGCCTGATGGATGTCGATAAAGGCGTCTGTTTGGGAGATGCAGAGCTCGGAGAGCTGCTGATGGAGTGCCTCTGATTTGGTGCCAAGTTGCTGAGGTTGATTGCGAAGATCAGAGAGGCTGAAGTTGGAAAGCGAGCGAATGTAGGATGCGACTTGCTTGGTGGAGAGCGCTTCTGCTGAGATGGGTGATTCAGCGTGTGAGGCGGCATGGTGGATCAGGGAAGTTAGTGAGCTCGGAGGCTGGGGCGCAACCATCTTTCCGAGGAATGATGGATGCACAGATGATTTGCTGGTCGGGAGAGGCAGAGGAGCAAGAGACCGTCGAACAGCATTGACCCAAAAGTGTTGGCCCGAGTTCCGAGCTTGCGAACGCGTCGGAACCTAACATTCTTGTCGGGCACCAAAAAACCAGTGGCTATGAAAGGGTAGAGGTCGAGACTGCAGACTGGACATGTTCGGCCGTTGGAGAGACATGGGGTAAGCTGTCAACTCACAACACACTCGATCTTCTCAGAGCGGGGTAACCACCACAACACATGCTGAGAGCTGAGAATTGCTGCGCTGTTGCTGTCTGTGACTCGAGTCCTGTTTGACTGTCGGACAAGAAATAATTTTGCAGTTGCAACACGCAGAGTTGGCTTTCTCTGTGCGGGTTTAAGCCAAACAAGGCGGGCAAAACAAAGCGGGCAATTTCGGTTAAAGCTCGATTCAATAACCCGACTTTTGTAGCCGACTTTTGTATTTGTTTCTTCTTTCACGGCCGGTGGCTGAATCCGTTTTTGGAAGCTGGCAGGAATTTGGAATACAATCTTGTTAAGGAAGGGCAAATATGGTCCTTTCAAGAACAAGACAGGCGACAAAGCGTAGGTAAGGGAAATTCAAGAGCAGCGGAACAGAGAGGGCGAAAAAAAGAACTGCGCTGCAACTGCAACTACAACTGCAACTGCAACTGCACTTCTTCTCAAGGGCGGCGGCGAGGAATGAAGAAGACCTTGGCTTGAACGAGTCACCAGTGAAACACAGAGCAAGCAGCGCGCTTGGAACCCTATATCCTCACACCCACCACCAGTAAGCTCCTATTGTATCGGACTCTTATCCGTAGACTCCCTCCCTCGCGCCACCTAACCTCCTTTCTCGTTACTGCCCAAAAAGAGTTGATTCGACTCTATCGCACTTCTTTGCAACTTTCAACTCCACCGAGCTCATCGTTGCCACCTCAAAGAATCCTCAAGGAAACCGAACCTAGAAGCACCCCTCAAAAGCGCTTGCTCTAAGCACGTAACATACATACATATACACACACACACACACACACACACACACACACACAGAAGCCTGGATCGCCATCATGACCAGCTTCGCCGTGCAATTCGCACGTCAACAGAGACATGCCTTTCAGGCTGCCTCCAAATTCTCCTCTTCCGCTGCTGCCTCGACTTCTAACATCGTCGCTGGCTCCGCTTCCGCTTCCTCTTATGCTTCCACACCCACAGCCTCAAGAGCCTTCTCCACGGCCCGCAACAACCTTACCCGCTCTGCCCAGCTCGCACGATCGCACCTCACAAGACACATCTCCACAAACCAGCCCAAGGAGCAAGCTGCTGCCCAACCCGCTGCTGGTGTCCGACCCGAACCAAGCCCTGCTTTCCAGCAATCCCCTCAAAACATCGCTCCTCTCTCATCCCGCTACGATGCAAATGCACTCGATGAGTCGTTCGTCGGCATGTCCGGTGGTGCCATCTTCCACGAGATGATGCTTAGGCACGATGTCAGGCATGTGTTCGGTTACCCTGGTGGAGCTATCCTTCCCGTGTTCGATGCTATCTACAACTCGAAGCACTTTGACTTTGTGCTGCCGAGGAGAGAAGATGGTGCGGGACATATGGCTGAAGGTTATGCTCGTGTGACGGGTAAGCCTGGTGTCATTCTTGTTACTTCCGGTCCTGGTGCCACCAACGTGATTACGCCGATGCAGGATGCCATGAGCGACGGTACGCCGCTTGTTGTGTTCTGTGGTCAGGTGGCCACTTCGGCTATCGGTTCCGATGCCTTCCAGGAGGCTGATGTCGTTGGTATCTCGAGATCGTGCACCAAGTGGAATGTCATGGTGAAGGACATCGCCGAACTTCCTCGTCGTATTAACGAGGCTTTCAAGATTGCTACTTCTGGTCGACCTGGTCCTGTTCTTGTTGATCTGCCAAAGGATGTTACAGCGGGTATCCTCCGTCAGGCTATTCCTTACAGCCAGACCCAGCCGAACATGATCACCAACCTCCCCTCTCGTCAAGTCGCACGCAACCGTCGAGGTGCTACTTTCCAGCAGAACTCTCAAATCCGTTCCTCCGAACAAGACGTTCTCACTCATCAACTCAAACAAGCCGCTCGTCTCATCAAGATCGCTAAACGACCCATCATCTATGCTGGTCAAGGTATTCTTTCTTCCCCCGATGGACCTAAGCTTCTTGCCAAGTTGGCTAAGGAACACAACATTCCTGTCACCACCACTCTTCAAGGTCTTGGTGCATTCGATGAGCTCGATCCTCTCTCGCTGCATATGTTGGGTATGCACGGTTCGGCGTATGCGAACTTGGCAATGCAGGATGCGGATTTGATCATTGCCCTTGGTGCACGATTCGATGATCGTGTGACCGGTCGTGTTGACAAGTTTGCTCCTCACGCTAGGGCTGCTGCGCTGGAGAACAGGGGTGGCATCATTCATTTTGAAGTGATGCCCAAGAACATCAACAAGGTCGTTCAGGCTACTTGTGCTATCGAAGGTGATGTTGTTGCCAACCTTGGTAAGCTGATGCCTTACCTTGAGAGCAAGGCGCCTGATCGTAACGAGTGGCACGAGCTGATTAAGAGCTGGAAAGAGGCATACCCTTTCACCTACGAGCCATCCAAAGAGGGCGAGCTGATGAAGCCCCAGGAGGTGATCGAAGCACTCGACGCCGCCGTTGCCGATCAGAAGGACAACGTGATCATCTCCACCGGTGTAGGGCAGCATCAGATGTGGGCCGCTCAACACTACCGTTGGCGTTACCCCCGAACCTGGGTCTCTTCCGGCGGTCTAGGTACCATGGGTTTCGGTCTTCCCTCCTGTATCGGAGCCAAAGTTGCCGCACCAGAAAAGATCGTCGTTGACATTGACGGTGACGCATCCTTCAGCATGACCGCTATGGAACTTGCTACTGCCGCACAGTACAATATTGGAGTCAAAGTCCTCGTCCTCAACAACGAGTTCCAAGGAATGGTCGTCCAATGGCAAGATCTTTTCTACGAAAAGCGCTACTCCCATACCGAGATGCACAACCCTAACTTTGTCAAGCTTGCAGAAAGTATGGGTGTAAAGGCGATCAGGTGTGATAACTTCAAAGACCTTCCAGCAAAGATGAAGGAATTCATCGAATACGATAACAACAAGCCCATCTTGTTCGAAGCGAGGATCACCAAGAATGAGCACGTGTATCCTTTCTGCCCTGCAAGTGCGGGATTGCATGAACTGATCGTTCATCCCAGTTTGAAGCCTATTCCTAAGAAGAACTAGTTTCGCAATCGTGTTTTTATCGTTTCTCTTTGCAATTGATGGCGTTTTGTAGCTTCTCTTCTCGAGTGTGATGACAGCGTGTGCGTTTGTGAGATACGTTGAAGAACGTGCTTCGATTCGCCGCCTGCAACGCCGAGTAAGCGAGGGCGATGAGGTGGACGGAATGATGTCAGGAGGGATTTATGTCGGGAATCGGGCCAAAAACCAGACATCGATCGGCATCGGGGTGATGAGTGTCACACAAACCCACCGACACGAAGCCGAGAAAGACACGCGGCAAACTCTTTCCCCACAGACACATAGACTTTCCCATTACACCTCTCTCGCTTCAACTGTCATCTGACACCATCACCGCCGACGGTTCTACAGCCTCACCACGAATGTCCTATCCCGCTTGGAAGCTCTGATCCACTGCTGCAATCAAGGCAGGGCACAACATAGCACGAACTCTACATTCTAATCGAGCTCAATCTTTGCAACACTTGACAAAGGATCATGACATCTACTCTGCAATAGAGATCGTTATTGACATACACAGTAGCAAGGCAACTTGTCTAAGCATATCGTCCGATAGCAACCTCGGGGTTGGAGCGGAGCAATGTCGGACCAACCTACAGCATCATCCTCCTCATCAGCGGGTCGTCCATCACTTGACGGCCCATCCTCCACCACCGCTTCCTCCTCTCAACCCACACCAAACGGCAAATCTCACGATGCCGCCTCATCCTCCGACGAAGAAGAAGGGAGTTGGCCTCCCATCACCGACATGTCTCTCGCCGAAATCAGCACCGAGCTGACCCGCGTCCGCGAAGAACGCGATACATACGAATCCCAGTACCGATCCCTCCTCTCCAAACTCACCACCATGCGTGCTACCCTCGGCGACAGACTACGTCAAGACGCAGAAGAACTAGATCGGCGAGAAACTCAAATTGAAACCCTAGGTTCCAAAGTCGACGAACTTACCACCCTTACTACCACCCTCCAATCCGAGTTGGTGACTGCACATGAAGAATCAGGACGACTCGACCAGGAAGTCACCAAATTGAGGGCGGAGGTAGGGGAAGGAAAGGGGAGAGGTGGAGAAGGAAGGGAGAGAGAATTGAGTGAGTTGTTGGAAAGGGTGAAATTAGATGCTCATGGTTGGCAGTCTGCTTGTTTGGAAGAGAGAGCGAAGAGGGAGGATGCAGAGGCGAGATTAAGTGAAGCCCAACAGGGTGAGGAACTGGCGAGGCAGGGAGAACAACATTGGAAGGTTTTGGCGGAGAGAGAGAGTGCTTCTGCTGCAGAACTCAGTGCTGTGTTGGGGGAGTTTCAGTCTAGTCAAGAGTCTGAACTGCAACGTGCGTTAGGAGATTACAGGTCTCAGCTTGATTCTCTCTCTAGCTCACTCGCGCAGTACAAGAGCAGAGCAGAGGCGGCAGAGTCCAAGTTAAAGGAAACGGAAGACCTAGCCTCACAATCCGAGAAACTCGCTGGACAGGTAAAAGAGAAGAATCTGCTGATAGGAAAACTTCGACACGAGGCAGTCATTCTCAACGAACACCTCACGGAAGCTTTGCGGAGGTTACGAAACGATCAAAGCGATAGCAACGTAGACAAACGGCTAGTCACCAATCTTTTGATTCAATTCATCACAACACCAAGAGCAGACGGGAAGAGGTACGAGATGCTGAACCTGATAGCGGGGGTGCTCGGGTGGAAAGAAGAAGAGAGGGAATTGGCCGGGTTGCAGAGGTCTAGTGGTGGTCAGAGGAGTGCCAGACCGTCCATTTCGGCAAGAAGCGTGTCGGGGATAGGAGGAGCAAGGGAGATGAGGGAGAGGGAAGGGAATGTAGGGGGTGACGAAAGCTTTTCGAATCTCTTTGTTGAGTTTTTGCTAAGTGAGGCTGAGAGAGGGAAGGAGGGGAAAGGCGGGGACGGAGGAGAGGGAGGAGGAGCGACTGCGCCTAGTACTCCAAGCAAATTGTTGAGTCCGACAAAGTCTCATTTTGGCGGTGCTAGTGGGCCAAATTCGCCTTCGAAGAGTGAAGCTGGAGCGAATGGCGATGCGGATGGTGCGAACAAGAGTGGTGGTGGTGGATTGGGGTCTTACTTTGGGTTGTCACGAGGGAAGAAGTGACTTTGCACAACATCGTACTACATATTGCAACCACAACGAACATGCACACATACACTTTGTCTGACACTAAACAAACTGTGTGGCTGAAATGCATGCATTGCAAGACAAAACGAGAATGAACGCAAGGAATCAAGACAGGATGCGTTACAGCGTTACTTGGCCTTCTTACTCTTCTTCTCCCTCTTCTTCTCTCCCTCCTCCTCATCTCTCTTCCTCTTTTCCTTCTTCTCCTTCTTCTTCCTCTCCGCCTCCCCATCGTCTTCGGTGGGAGGAACAAACATCTTCTGCCTCTCCGCCTCCCTCTTCTCCTTGTGTTCAGCCTGCTTTTTCAACTTCCTCTCCTCCTCCGCTCTCTTCTTCTCCCTTGGCTTGAGGAAGTATTCACCGCTCTCCAGTTGCAGATCAATCTTACTTGGCTGTTGGGGCGGTGGGAAAGGTGTATATGTCTTCTTCTTGATCTCTTTCTTCTTCGAGCTTCCTTCTCCGACTGCATTCGCACCGGTAGCAACTCCGTTCGCTGAATCAGTAGTAGTGGAGGCGGGCTTAGATTTGACGTTTCTCTTCTTGAACTTCGGTAAGAAACGATCCCAATTCTCCTCTGCTAGCTTTGGATCTTTCGCCAGCTCCCGCTTAATCATCAGCTCCTTAATGTGGTAGATCGGATGAATGTTTTTCAAGCAGTCGATAACAATTCTTCGCACCTCCTTAAGAGCCTTAAAATGACCCATAGCCGAAACAGTGTTACCCTGCACCAAAACATAACACCCCGTCAAGAGCTCGATCGCTTTCAACGTACTTCCATTCGGCCCAATAATCCTCTGTCTTCTCTTCACAAATCTCTCCTTATTCCGCAAAAGATGTCCGATCTTGATCACATCACACTCCACTCCATCCTCTAGAATCTTCACCGCCTGTGGGAAAGGTACTGACCGACTCAGTAGCCGAATCATGTCCCTTGCCTTCAAGATGATATAAGGATCATAAGTCTTGCGTGTTGTCTTAACCGTCATAGAACCTTCGACGAGATCGAGCGTACAAGCAATACCGTGTTTCTCGAGTGCAGAAGTGACATGTCCCCAAACCTCTTTGAGGTAGCGTTCGCGGTATTTCGGGAAAAGAGTAGCGAAGGAAGATTCTTCAAGAAAGGTACCTTTGATTTCGTTTGGGAGGAATTGGGGAACTTCCCAATGGTTGATGGAGTCAGAGTCCCAGGGTTTGTCTTTGCGATGTTTTTTGTTTTTGGAGACTGCGGCGGATGAGGTGTGGGTTGGTTCGGTGTCGGACATGATGTCGACACTCTGTGTTGCTGCGAGTCCTAGGAGCGCAGCTGATGGTGTCGAGGGCGTGGAGAGGTAATGCTAGTGTGCGATCAAGGATGTAAGGATGGAGGGTGTAGTTCGAGGATGTGAGGTGGAGCGAAGAAAGAAGGGTCCTTGAATCGGCAAACTTTGAAGAAGCTGAGCAGCAGCCGGGGAAAAATTCTAGAAATCTCATCTTCTCCACGTTCAGAAGGAAATTTTCATCGGCGATTCAATTTCTAATCTGAAAATCGGGGTCTACGTCTCGGAATTCGGATAGTCTCTCGGCTTGGACCCTCGACCGTCATTCCTTGCCCCTCCTTTACTCATTTTCATCTCTTGCACTTCGTTCAAGGACGAGGGTGTGAGAAGGATATCGACAATGTCGACAACACCATCACCATCCAAGCGAGCCCGCCTACCCACGGCATCGACTGTCCCATCCGCAACCGCCTCCCCATTCCCAACTGGCCCCTACGCCCGCCCCCCTCCCGGCCCACGATCTGTTGGTCCCAGCGGCACGTCCAATCTCGCTCCCGCAATCGGTCTTGGCATGTCCCCCGTCGACGCCTTATCCCCCTCTCACCCCGAACAATATGCTCTCTCAGGCTTTACACCATACAATACCACTTCTCCCGCCTATGGAAGTAACTCACATGGTGCAATGACAGCAGCATCCCCGATCTCTGCTGCTCTAGCACACGGATCAAGGGTGCTATCCAACATTCAAGCTTCACCGATGTATGGGACTCCAATGATGATGAATCAGCTCTATCCCCCACGGCTCGCTATACAACCACAGCAAGCGCAACAACAACAGAATGGTGCGGGGAGCAAGGTTCAGACGGCTCCACAACCAGGCAGTCCGGAGTACCTGAAATTTGCGCTACAGCATCTACAAACGACCTTGTTAGCGAGGCTGGAGGCTGAGGCGGAAATATACTTTGACGCGGTCGATAGCTCACTTTCGGTGGAAGCAGATACGAGGGTTGTTGCGCAGAAAGCAAAAGCGTTTGAAGAGGCGTTGGACACCGTATTGAGCTGGGTGGAGAAGAATGGTTTGGCTAGTATACCTCTCCTCCCTCTCCCCGATCCAGGTACGGGCTCAATGTCAGGTGCACTGAAAGACAATGTAGCAGCAGCAACAGTGGACGCACCAAGAGCGAAAGAAGAACCACCAAAAGAAGCAGCGGAAAAGGAAGACCCAGACGCAACAACAAACAAGGATGCCGCAACAGGGCCAAGTTTAGAAGAGCAGATATCAGAATTGCAACAAAAAGCAAAGGAACTGTTCGATAGGAGACAAAGGCTGAAAGAATCTGCTTCGATTGTGACTGGTATACTCGAATCCTGATGCAAACAAATACAAGCAATTACTCTTGTTTACACATGTGTGTGAAGGAGGAATATCACATTGCTAGAAACTGATACGATTACAAGAAAACAAACACAAGGAGCGATACCCACCAGAAACCTCTTCGAACCGAGGGAAAGGAGAAGGAAGACCTAGGCATACTGTTCCAAATCCAACGTCAAACTACTACTCGAGTTGACCTCCTGATCTCTATAAATTCCCACCAGACCCTGACTCCTCTCGTACAGACTCGCCTTGAGACTAATAACGATAAACTGGAACTGATCGCTCGCATGTTGTCGAATATAGTTACTAACCTTAGCAACATTCTGTGAATCCAATGCAGCATCCACCTCATCCAGCACAAAGAACGGAGCGGGCTGGAAAGAGTGAATCGCAAACAACAGTGCTAGGGCAGCCATTGTTTTCTCTCCTCCCGATAACGCTGTGATATCTCTAAACCTCTTCATTGGTGGTACGACCGAATAAGTGATACCGCCGAGATAAGGTTCTTCAGTGTTCTCGACGGAAAGATAGGCTGAGCCGCCCATAGGTGCAGCTTTGGATCGAGAGAGTTCTTTGTAGGTAGGATCGATCGATTGAGAAATGTGGTAGAAAGCCTTGTTGAAGAGATCACATCGACGCTTTTTGATGCGGTGGAATTCGTCACGAGCTTCTTTGGCTTGGCGTCGGGAACGGTCGAATTCCTTTTCGGTTTCGGCGAGTTTAGCTTCGGTGTCGTCTAGTCGTTCGACCGCTTTCATGTTGGGAGACATTTTCTCGATCTCTGATGTGATGCTCTCAATTTGGGTTTGCAGCTCGTTGCCCATTGAGGGACCGCCGTCCTCACGAGCCTCTTCGTCAAGACTGCTGAAATCAACTTGGATGCCAAAGTCAGGTGCAGACATGGGCTTTTGAGTGTTATCATCATCATCAATATCCATTGGGGCATCAACGTCGATGGTCTCTTCCAAGCCCACCTTCGAAAGAGAGCCTTTGATAAGGGGTAGAGCAATCTCTTCAAGTCGACAACGTCGGTAAATAGCAGCACGCTCGGAACCAAGACGCTCGATCTCGTCGTTTCTCGCAGCAATTTCTTTCGACAAAGAATCGAGCAGTCGTGCGGCTTTTTGGAGATCGATGCGCTTTTCCTCGAGAGTGGCCTTCTTGGACTCGTTCTTGGTCTGCAGCCTCGAGAGTTGGGATTGCATCTCTTCGATCTCCTCCAGCATGCCATCGAGTTCGTCTTGCTTGCCTTGCTTCTGCGCTTGCCATGACTGCAGCTTCTCGCGCTCACGAACGATGGCTTGACGAACCGTCTCGAGTCGCTCTTGCGTGCTCTGGATCTGCTGTCTCTCGAAGTTGGCCTGGTGGTTGAGACGAGCCAGTTGCGACTCGAACTGCAATTTGGCATCGCTCTGACGTTCCATCAGCCGCACCTGACGCTCTTCGTACTCTCGAATGTTGTCGACGCCAATACGACGGCAGAAAGTGGCAAAGATGCGGTCCTCTTCGCGATTGACCACGGTCTCGAGGGTAGACATCTTGCGTTGAAGCTTCTCGAGCTCAGCCTTGACTGTGCGCAGCTTGGGCTGAATCTCCTTGGTCTGCTTGTCGATATTCTTGAGCTCATCGCGAATACCTGTTAGACGCGTGTTGACAGCCGCAAGTTCCTCCTGGGCCGAAGAAAGATCGGCTTCGAGACGAGTGATGTTGGCAACCATCTCTTCATCGCTTGTAAGCGCGCGCTTTTCCTTTTGAAGCTCTTTGAGCTCGGCAAGACACTTGTCACGCTGTGTGGTGAGACCTTGGACTTCGCGCTCTTCCCAGCGTTTGCCGCCAGAAGAACTGGATTGACCACCGGTGATGAGACCACTCTTGTGGATGACGGTGCCTTCGAGTGTGACGGCTTTGGCTTCGACTTTCTTCTCGTAGACGGCGTTTCGCGCAATATCCATAGTGTCGCAAACGAGTGCATTGCCGCACGCGTGGTGGATTGCACGTTCGATCGAAGCGTCGAACTGAATGACATCGACTGCAAGACGAGCGCCTCTTGCAATGCTGCGCAGACGATCGTTGATGGGTTTGGCCTGAATGCGGTCAAGTGGCAAGAAGATGGCTTGGCCAGCTCGTGTGTTGCGGAGATACTCGATGCAGTCGATGGCGGTCTTCTCCTGGTCGACAATGATAGCGTCGGTGTTGCGTCCGAGCACAGTCGAGATGGCAGTGTTGTACTTGCGCTGTACAGGCTTGCACAAGTCTACAACACGGCCACGAACACCAGGGAAGATGCGTTGCAGCTTGGCCATGGTCTCCTTCATCGCCGCCTCGCGCTCGACCTCTTTCAGATCGTTACCAGCTTGTAGGAGCTTGTTGTAGCAGACTTGGAGGGTATCGTTGAGTTTAGTCTCGCGCTGGTTGATGGCTGTCTGCTTGGCTTGGGTCTTGTTGAGCTCATCACGAGCAGCTTGCAGGTCGGTGTCGATGTGATTTCGCTTAGCTTCAAGGGCGGAGTGTCGTTCGGAGAGTGTCGACTCTTCGCCTTTGAGCTTGTCTTTCTGCTTGGTGAATTGCTCGAGCTTCTCTTGAAAGTCATTGACAGCGTCAGTCTTGATTCTTGCCTCTCGCTTGAGTCCATCGAGTTCCTGACGCTCAGCTACGGCTTCGAGGTTGGCTTGTGCTTTGAGGTTGTGGTATTCGCCGAGGTCGGCTTCGCTGAGAGTAAGACCTGCCGACTGAAGTGCGCGGCGCTGCTCCTCAGCTGCACGATCAGCAGCTCGTTGAACGGTTTCCTGATCGCGCTCGAGCTTTGAAAGTGTGGCCTGCTGTCGCTCCAAATCTCGCTGGATCTGCTCTGTCATACGAGCTCCGTTGTCAATCTTCTTGCGCGAGATGGCGATCTTCTCCTCGTAAGCATCGAGCGTTGGTCGAAGGCGTTCGACATCACGCTGTTTGCGCTTGATCGCCTTTTCGACTTGTAAGATCTCGGTCTGTGTCTGTCCCTGATCTCGTCTCGCTCTCTGCACTGCTTCTTCGGCTTTCTTGTGCTCGGTTCGCAATGGACGCATGTTCTTAGCCTGACCTTTCACAAAGTCTGTATTGAGCTCAATGTCTTGGTTGATGTGAAAGAGACGCCAGAGAGTGTGGTTGAGGATGTGTTGGACTCGCTCCTGTTGCAGACGATCGAACTTTTCGGCCTCGCTCTTCTGTTCACGGAACTGCTTGAGCTCGGAGTTGATGCCTCTGCGCTTGTTGAAGTTGAAGGTCGAGTTGTCTGTTGCTCGCTCCTGCGCTTCTTTGGCACGTTCGTACTCGTCTCTGAGCTCGAGCGAGCCGCTGATCTGATCGATCATACGACTGAGCTCCTTGGCGCCCTGAGAGGCAACTGCTTCGACATCACCCTGGAAGACGAGGAAGTTTTTAGCTTTAACGAGGATGTTGAACTGTTCTAGCTTGGTATTGTACTGTGCATATTGGATGGCCCTGCCGTTGTATCTGTATTCGCTTGAGCCAGAGATGGCGATGGTTCGTTGGAAACGGTGTTCATAGCCCTTGCCATCTTCGTAGATTGCAGTGACGCTGGCTTTGGTGGCGGTGCCTTCACCCTGGTCGTCCTCGTCCTCGTCTGATCCGGGAGCATCCTCGTCTTCCGGGTCTTGACCGGATCGAGCCATCTTACGCCCACGGAAGATGAGATCTTTGAGCTGACTGGAACGAAGCTGTGCGGACCGGACGCCAAGCACGAAAGAGATGGCGTCCATGAGGTTGGATTTACCGCTACCATTGGGACCGATGACGGCGGTGAAGGCGTTGAAGGGACCGACGACCTGATGGCCGCGGTATGATTTGAAATTTTCGATCTCTAGACGTTTGAGAGGCATGATGAAGGAGGCAGTCTAGGAGGAGGGGCCTGAGACCTCTATCGAAAAGGGGTGCAGGTATCTGCCGGAGGCGGAAGTGCAAAGCTGGTCGATATCGGAGTGGGTATAGGAGGGATATCAGCGACAGAGATGGTGAAGTAGGAAAGCGCAGGCAAGAGGAGTGGGTGATAATTATGCTGCGTCGGGTCCAAGAGCGAGACGCGACGCCCTCTGCCACTCAACGCGTCGTCAAAAGGACGCGTCTATCTTTTGTTCACTTCTACGCCAAGGCCGACTGAGCGTTGCTGATCGTTGCAGGTAAGCTGAGACGCGTTGAGATTTCTCCCATTTTTGCCTCCACTCTTGCTGCGCACGGACCGGCAAATTATTCGAGCTGAACACTTGGCCCACCAAGTCACAGTGTGGGCCAAAGTGGCTTCTTCTTTCAGCATCGGAACAGCGGCGGTCGCCTTCGGCATCCTTCCGACGCTCCTATCATCAGCTCGGACATTCCGAGCAGATTCAGCTTCTAGCAACTCGACCACCATGCGAGCCTGAATAGCCACTCAAAACGGCTACACAGACGAGGCAGGACCCTCTTTCGCTCTTCTATCACCCATACGAGTCAGCATGTCGGCGCCATCCTCGCCGCGCAAGCAGGCTGTATCTCGAGGTCACAAGCGCACAGCATCCGAGAGCGCCGATGCTGTTGCTGAACCATCAACTTCATCTAGTCCATCATATGCCGATTACGCATCTTCCTCCACCCCATCGCCGGTCAAACGCTCGACATCCCGGCGCAACAGCCGCCATTCGACGCGCACTTTTCAGATAGCCGACATCGACCAAGATGAAGAGCTGGATGCGGATGCAGAGGAGGATGAAGAGTATCTTGATCAGGATGCAGCTGCTCTAGAGGACGCTGAGGGCGAGGCTGCTGCTGTAGAAGAACAGGCAGGAGAGGAGGAGGATGAGCAAGTGCTACCCAGCGCAGTAGCCCCAGCACGTCGCTCGGCAAGGCCAAAAGGAGCTAATCCAACCAACTGCTATGCACCTTTACCCAACCTTTCCGATGAAGAGAAGCAAGGCGAAGATGAAACACCATCGAAACGAAGAAGAGTACGCAAGGCTAAGCTTGCTTCCACGTCTGACGTGGACGATGTTGATCAAGGTCCTCCTCCGGCTGTCACCACAACACAAGCTACCTCAGCGAAGCAGCCTATGGCAAAAGCACCGAGGCAGCAAGCGAAGGAAACAACTCGAAAACCAAGTGTCAAACCATCCGAAGAGCCTGCAATGACAGAAGAAGCCAAAGCGCACGCAAAAGCTCAAAAAGAGGCGGAGGACTTGCAATCTCGTTGGACAGAAGAGTATTTCGAGATCGTCGAGCAACTTCCTCTCGAGGTGCATCGAACCTTCGCATTGATGAGGGAGCTGGAAGGCCAGATGCAGACGAGGGTGAGTGGGATGGTGAATGATATGACGGTGTATCGAGATGCCAGGGTGGAGTTGCAGAAGCGGATCGATGCGCCTACTCCCTCTGCTACAACTTCCGAGCCCGAGGAAGGAGACAAACGAGGTAACGAGAAAGCAGCGAGTGAGGATGAAGCGGAAAGCCTGTCGGGTGGGTCGCAAGAAACACCTGCTCGTGATGATGATGTTGTTGTCATGGTGGAAGAAGAGGAGAGAGTACTGGATAAGGAGGGGCGCGTGCAGTTACTTAGATCGATTTCAGCATCAGCGAACGAGTCCGTCAAATCAGCAGAAGAGAAGATGGGTCTTGCTGCTACGGCCTACAACTGGATTGATAGGCATATTCGACGTCTTGATGCTGACATTTCCAAGCTCGAAAGCAGTATCCTCCTTGGTCTTCGGACAGGAACGGAAGAGTCGAGAGGTGCAAGAGAGGCGCTTGGCTTGCCAGTTGACGACCAAGCCACCACCGACGCAGCTGCAAAACAAGCAGACGGGGAGGAGCGCGAAGCAGTGGAAGGTATCAGTGCAGAAGCCGAGTCCGCGTCCCTCGCGAAAGCTGCTGGAGCTGCCAATCGCGCCCCGTTTTCTGGCAGACCAAGTGCTCGCACCACCCCTAAAATGGGTGGTCAAGCTCAACTCCCTCCCCTCTCCCCACAGACCTCGGTCCGATCTCGAACACGATCTCGCTCAAGATCCACATCTGCAGCTCCAGCACGCAAAACTACCGCCTCACCATCTACCACCACCGCCCCACTTCCCAGAGGCACAAGAAAGCGAAAACCAAGACCACTCTCACCACAAAAAGGTGGTCGTCGTTCAGCACCTCAATCTCTCATCTCAAACATATCTCAAACACCAATGGCAACAGTCGGTCCTGATACGTCCGAAATGCCTTACGACCCTACGGAGCCCAAGTATTGCTACTGCGATCAGATCTCTTTCGATGAAATGGTCGCATGCGATAACGAAGATTGCACCATCGAATGGTTTCATTATGCTTGCGTTGGTTTGAGCAGTCAACCCAAAAACGAGTGGTTTTGTCGCTTTTGTGCCCCCAAGGGATGGAAGGGGGAAGGGATGGGTGTTCCGCCGAATGCAAAACATAAACCGCCAGGGTTTAAGAAAGGGGTTGGGATCAAGCCGTAGCCTCACCAGCACTTCCGCATCTCCTTGTACTTGTGTTTGTCACTCATCAAAGCTCTTGTTCATTTCTCTGGCTTGCACAATCGAAGCGATGGTTCAAAATCAAATCTCATGCATTGTCAACACGTCAAGCAAGAGACAATAGAGTATGTACAGAGCAACGTGTAACAAACGAGTCTTCAATCTAGAGTTGAGCCAAAACTACACCGCAGCTATCTTCGATCAATCCTCTTCCATCTCACCACCATTTTGCTCCATGGCCTGATCAGAAGGAGCATCCTCCATCACATCAGCCAACCCTGCCATCTCTACTAGCCCATCAATGATCCTCTCGCAACTATCTACGTGATATTCAGCCAAAGTCTTTCGATTGTTGGGCCCGATCATCGTCGCATAGATCCCAGACCTGGTCAACTTCAACTTCTTCGGACTGCCAACTGGCGAGTTGCTCTTCAGTGGCGTCGGAGGAGAGATCAACAAAGCCTGATTCTTGCGCACCTCCAGATCAATGCGTCGAGGTGGAGCGAGAGTGTTGTCGTTCGCCTCGATTTCCGGCGAAGAAGGAGCGAGGTTGAACAATGTACGGAACATGTCTTCGTCTGTTTTATCATCTCCCGCGCAGAAGACGAATTCTGCATCGGGATGATCGTACAGGATACGCTTGACAATCTCGCCCTTGTTGATGGCGAGTGGCCGCACTTCTAGATTCTTCTTGCCAACCAGTACTTCGATAGCGAGCTTGTTTTGCGAGCTCAGATTCTCGAGGTGTGCCTGACATTCTTTCGCCTGGAATGAGCCGAAGTCAGGGTCGGCGCCGCGGTAGTGCCATGTGATTGCACTCTTCTTTTGCTCGATGAAACTGCCAGCGGTTCGTTCGGTGTAGTATTCGAAGACGCTGCGAATGTCCTTCATCCAAGTCATGTCTAGACTTTCAGTCAGGTTGCGATACTCGTCCTGACCGGGCTCTTTGACGAATCCACCGTGCTCGGCGGAGAAACCAATACCTTTGAATTGACCCAAGTGCTTGCCCAAGAAGCCGCCATCTCGGCCAGAAATGATGTAAATGACGTTGCGCTCTTCTTGCGACAAAACGTCGAGCGCCTTGAGGAGTCGCTCAGAGGGTAAGGCCATGTCGGGCACCTTGACAATGGGTGTGAGCGTTCCATCGTAGTCGAGCAGCAAGAGACGCTTCTTCGCCTTGCGGAAGTTGTCGACCATCTGCTTGCGGTCCAGCGGCGGGGTCAAGTGCACTGAGTGCTCGGATTGGAGGCGTGTGAGGAGCTGCTTGACCAGACCAGCGGCCCAAGTTTGCGAAGTGTGCATGACCACCTGGTGGTAGAGCTGATCGTGTCGAGCTCGCTTCTCCTCGTCAGTAAGACGCAGCGCATAATCAATCGCTTTGGCCACACCGAAGATGTTCCACGGGTTGACCTGAATGGCAGAACGCATGCGACCTGCTGTTCCCGTGAACTCACTGAGGATGAGAGGACTCTTGTTGAAGCGGTTCTGGCAGATGATGTACTCCATCGAGGTGGTGTTCATGCCGTCACGCACCGAAGTGATGAGAGCCAAGTCAGCAACCGAGAGTAGCGCAAAGTACTCGTCCCTGTCGATGATCTGGTGGTAGTGATGGACGGGCGTGAAGCTGAGCGAGCCGAATTCGCCGTTGATGTGCGAGACGAGCTCAGACACTTGCCTCTCGAGCTTGGGCGAGTCGTTGAGCGCAGGAGCAGTGACTTGGATAAGGACGACCTTGTTTCGCCATTCCGGGTATTCGGCGAGGAACTTGTGGAATGCCTGCAATTTCTGCACTACACCGCGAACGACGTCAAGCTTGTCACGGCCAACCAAGATCTTCTTGCCCTTGTACATCTCGCGGATCGCCTCGATCTTGGGCAGCACGCCCGGTGACGAGCTGTCCTTGGCAATCTTGACCGAGTCGATACCGATCGGGTTGTAGGTGATGTTGGTGACGTGCCCATTGGGCGACTCGACTGCATTGGACGAGGCTTCGAAGCCGCAGACACGGACACATGACGACAAGAAATGGCGCGAGTAGCTGAATGCTTGGAAGCATGCAAGATCAGCACCAAGCATTCCCTCGAGGATCTCCTTACGCTTGGGCAAGCAACGGAACACTTCGCTACTTGGGAAAGGCGCATGGACGAAGAGACCGATGATCGCTTCTGGGACCAGCTTTCGCAGCATGAGCGGGACAAGCAAGAGATGGTAATCGTGAATCCATACCAAGTCGCCTGGCTTGTATTCTTCGGCGATGCGCTTAGCAAAGGCCTCGTTGGCGGCGTAGTATGCATCCCAGCTGTACTCTTCCCATGCACGGCGCTCCGAGTGGACGTCTTGCCAGAGCAGATAGTGGAACAGAGGCCAGAGGGTGGCCTTGCAGTAGCCTTCGTAGTGACCATGGGCGACTTTGTAGTCGAGCCAGACAGGCACGTATTTGATGCCGTACTCCTGGTCTCCCAAATTCTTGGTGGCAGCTGAACGACTGGTGGTGGCAGCGGCGGCAGCAGCAGCAGAGGCGCCGTTGGGGTCGGAATTACCATTGGGACGAGTGGTAGGGTCGACAGATCCTATAGGTTCTGCACCGTTCATCACGGGCACTGGCATTTTGCCAATGGGAGGCTGGTTGTTTTCGGGGTTGATCGGTGCACCAGCGACAGGAGCCTGTTGAGGAACCCATGCGCTGGCCTGGTCGAGAGAAGCCAAAACTTGTTCGATTTGGCGCTTCTCGTTATTGGTTGTCTCTGAAGGGTCGGAGCGGTGGTCGGAGCAGGCCTGCACAGCAAAACGGACGTCGCCGGGCCATCCGATGAAGGTCTGGCGATGTGTACTGCACAAGCTACGAATACCGCTGTTGAGCGCAGTGTGTCCACGTCGTGGTTTCAAGACCCACTGCGGCGGAGGCGGTGCTGTGGGTGGCGAGTTGACAAAGGGACTGACAGCATCGCTGATGGCACCCCACTGTCTCCATGGCTCCTGATAGATGCTGCTGAAACTTCCACGGCTGGATGCAGCCCACGTGGAACCTCGTCTTGATCCAACAGGTGTGAAGCGATCCTCTTCGGAGCATTCGCTGGTGTCATCGACCACCTCAGTCAACATCCATGCTCTTCGTCCTGCTCGACGCTTGGCACGCTCCTGATTCTCTCGGAGTGTCGCTTCAAAGTCCTGTCCTTCTAGACCAGTCATGCCGAAGCCGGTTGCAAAGGAAGACCTGCGTGAACTGACACGGAAGCTATTCTTGCGGGAAACTGTTTCGAGCTGCTGACCGGCTTGACGCTGTAGCTCACGCTGAGCTTCCATCTCGCGCTTCTCAGCCTCTGCCGCGAGTTTTGCCGCTTTGCGTACACGAGCAGCTGCTGCCATTGTGGCAACAGTAGCGGTGGCGGCTATCCTCTCCTCGCGTTGACGTTCAAAGTCGACTTCAGCGAGTGGGCGAATCTCGAAAGGAATGTAATGGCTGACATGGATGATACGACCGCTCAAAGGCATCTCGGGATGCTTTGCGTTGAAATCATCTTCGAGCTGCTTAACAACTTGGCGCATATCGTCGAGCGTCTCGAGCTCGTCTTGAGCAGCGAGATGATCTGTAGCAGCAGTTCCGCGACCCATGCCGCCAATAGCATCTGGTCGCATCGAGATATTGTTCTGAGCAGGAGCGAAAGAAGAGGGCGAGGCGACCACCTTATTGCCGTTGCCAATCAAAGTGCGTTGAGGAGCAGTGGCAGCACTAGCTTCGTTGGAAGTCGAAGCTGAGTGGGAGTGGGAAAACGAGGTGGAAAGGGAAGCCGAGATGATATCTTGCTCAGCCTTTTCAATCTCGCTCTGCGGTTGGACGCTGGTAGAAGCGAGAGATGGAGTCTGGTTCAAGTTGAGTGCTGGACTGGGACCATGCGAGCTGGGTTGTAAGATTGAATCGACGGCCGAGCCAGATTGTGAGGGTGCGGCACCCTTGAAATAGTCGACGCTGGATTGCTGTGATGAAGAGGTGTGAGGAGAAGATGAAACGTTGATGGAAGGGTGGGTCGCTACAGAGGCTGAAGCACCATCAATAGCTGCTTGGAAAGCTGGCGGCTCTTCCGCAAAGACGCCTGGAGTGAGAGAAGGGCGAGGCTCAAGTGATGGTGGTTGATGGGGGGAAAGCGTTGTTGAGCGTTGCGCCGAAGTAGCGTCACTGCTTGTGCCTGCGCTGTCTTCCATGATTGTGCTGCGCTCTTATCAAAGTGTGGGCTGGAGCTTCAGCCTGGGAAAGAAAAAAAAAAAAAAAAAAAAAAAAAAAAAAAAAAAAAAACAGCTCGAGGCAGAAAAGCTGCAATTCGAGGCAACAAGCTGACTAAGACAAGTTTCTAGATCGGCAGCGATAACAGCGGCAGCAGTGGAGCAGTGGAGGCAGTGGAGCAGACTGGGGCAAAGAAGCGCCGATGTGACGATGTAAAGTGTCACTTGCCGAAAGAGAGCAGATCGGATCGCTGCTGCTGTTGAGTGCTCAAACGCTTGCTTGAGTCGGCGTGTGTTCCGAAGCAGATCAGCAGCTAGGTTTTGTATCGAGGAGCTGCTGAGATCGTTCCCTTGTGGCGCTTGCAGGGTGCAGATGGTCAAAGTGTGCAGGATGAGCGAATCGAGCCTGATCACAAAGGCTTGCAGCCGTCTGGAAGCTTTGAGATGTGTTGTTGCTGTTGTTAGTGGGAAGACAGCCCAGCCACTTTCCGAATTCGACTTGATTATCAGTCAGCGCGTGACTGGTTGTGCAGGCTCACAGAGAAGAATGGAGAGATGTGTGTGGAAGCCAGGCGAAGCCGTCGATGCAAAGCAAAACTTCTGCAGCTGCAATGTTAGACTGATTGTGTGATGGGAGACGGTGTTGGGTGTGGTAGAAAGTCACGCACTCTTCTATCTTCTAGAAGCATCGTTGGAGTGGACTCACACTTTCGGTGCAAGATGAATGCTGACGTCGTTGATGCCGAGGCCGATACTCAGACCCACCCAGATCATGTCTTATCGCGGTTGATCAAAATGTGCTGCTCTGGTGCCATTGAAATTTTTAGCAAAAAAGCAGTGGCAGAGCCAAGAAGAGTCGAGAAAAGAGCTTGCGAGAAGGATCAGTAAGTTCGTGAACGAACAGCGAAGAAAAGAGCGCGTTCAGGCCAGCTTCCAAAATTTCCATTGTCGTCGTCACACGCTTGCTCTCTCTGCCCCTCGAGTGTAAGTTCTTTTTTTTCCAGCCCACTCATGCCTGCTGCTGATGACAGGAGACGTGTTGGGAAGAGGCAAAGGAATCACCTTCTCTCGGCTCTTTTGACCCTGGACTGTCTCTTTAAAGCTGCTTGCTGTGATGCTTAACTAACTTAGTACAATGCTTGCTTGCTGCTGTTGATCGACACGGTTTGTCTGGCGTTCCGAATCGGCGGCTGTTTGAAACTGTGACCAATTCGCGGTCTGACAGCCTTTGTAATTTAGCGAACGTGTCTGCTCTCTGCTGAAAGTAAACAATCCAATATGGTGATGTAAGCTGACATGAGAAGATGCGTGAGGGATCGGGCGTAGTCGATCTGATCAGAGATCGGGTACAACTTAGTCCCGCTCGTTGTCAGACTTCGTCATTAAGTAGGATAGTTGAAGATGCGTCGGCATCATAATGGGATTCACGGGGTCCATAGAGCATAAGCGAACCATCAATGAAGCGAAACCACATATGGTGGCATGCATGTGGGATGCATAAGCATTACCATAATAACACACAGGAGGTGACAACTCAGGGGTGACATGAAGAGTGACTCATCACAGATTGACATGTGTTTGGAGGCAATCATCAAGTATATATATGCCTATGTAGATAGTAGTTCATCAATTGAATGGTCAAGAGACATTTCAAGTAGACATATGCCTGGGATCTAGAGCTTGTTAGTAGTTGAAGATCAGTGTATAGGACTTGTGATCTTCAACTAGGATACACCCACATTCGGCATGTGCCACCCAGATGTATATATATCAAGCTGAGAGCAGTAGGCTCTCACCACGTTCTTTAGTCAATTGAGTATATATGTTTCCGTCTTAAAACAGCAGTGACATCGTGCTCCGACTCTCACCGATCGTCGAGTATCGGGACAAAACTCTTTCACTTTTTAACACTCTCTTCTTGCTTCCAGCCGAGAGCTTCCTTTATCGCTAGAAAGTCATATCGACCAGGACGGCGCCCGTACAGAGCTCATGGTCTTGACTTGCCCAAGTAGAGCATCGTAAATAATCTTGATTGCAGAGCTTCCAGGCTTATGCTAATAACGAGTGAGGATGTACTGAAGTGGAGCTATACTTCACAATCTCTAATCCTCCTCCACGATCATCTCCGCGAACCATGTCTTGGCAGATGCCTCCTTACCGCCATACGCACCAGCTTTGTTAGCCGATCTGACCGAGAAACGATCTTTATTGGCGTTGGCTTCGATGCTCGATCGGGATGACAGATCGAATCGGAAGAAAGGGTCTTTGCAGCACAATTGGACGACGGAGAGCATCCATCTGCGGTGGGTCTGAGCTAAACGGCACGACTAAACGCGGGCCAACCTTTATGGTTTTATATTTGATATTCGTGAAACATCGTGGTCTTCCCCCCACACACCCGGAGCAGGCTGTGCCTTACAGCTCCTTGACTGCAAGAAATTCCCATGCCATAGACCCTTTGATGGCAGCGAGCACGTTGCGCTAACGTGGCTGAAGCGAAGCGTTCGGCCTTCGGATGCATTGTCGACCAAGCTAGTACAAAGGTACCTTGCGGAATCAAGGGAAACATTGTCTCGATGTGATCGCCGCCAAGACTTTCATATCGATGAGAACCGGGAGAAGCAGCAAGCGCTTTTGTGCACACGATGCCAAACCGCGCTAACCAAATAAGGAACACTTTCACATTCGGATTCCTCAACGCTTCCCCCCAGTTTGTGATGGAGCGGACATGCAAAAGTCGCGATTCCTCAGCATCCGAGTCATGCAAAAGTCGTCGACGAAACGGCGGAACAGAAAACCTTGGTTCGGACAGCTTGGCGGTCTCTTCGGCTACAGATGTCCTTCGGCTCCATCGTTCTTGTTCCTCTGGCCCATGCCTGTTGCGATCGTGCAGATTTCTCTCCTTTCACGCCATTTCTTGCTTTTGAGGTCTCGCAACTGTCAAATAGCGAAAGCCTCGCCACCGTGCTGCGACAGCCATACACATGTTCAGGCGGGATTTTCATCACAGGCTAGATTCGAACAAAGCATGGTTTAGGATTAAGGCGGTACGACAGGTCCAGGAGCAGCGCTTGCAAGTGTCTGCGACCACAATGTGCTGCACGCCCTGTGGGCACCCGAGCGTTTCCCATTCACTTCGGAAAGGCGAAGGCCACTGCAAATCGACTATAACCTCAGGCGAATCACCGCTTCTTGTCTTCTCCAGCTAGCATCGCCCGACCACCATCCCCATTGTTCGATCTGGTTTCGGAGATCATTGCGAACAATATTGTCATAGCTTGCAGCAAGCCACTAGGAACCACGACAAGGTCCTTTGTCTTGAACGATGCCTCCTTCTGGAGATTCCTTCAATCCATCGATTCCTGATTCTCACCCGAAGCTGAACCTTGATCGGAAGCCAAAATCTTCACATGAGAGATTCCATCTCAGAACGATACTCCGCCTCACTAGCGTCCTTTGGGCTTTCATTGTCAAGGGGTAAGGTCCATCTAGTCACTGGTCGACTTCGGCTTCCTCCTTCCGGCGAGATCGACTGTCTAGCTTGCCCTCTCTTCATGATTTGGCCCCGCTTGGATGGGTCTGACCGCACGCCCTTAATCTTTGCGCATTGTGAAACGATGCTAAGAAGATGCACGAGAGGAGCGACAACGTGTTGCTCCGATCACACGGACCTCCTGACCTTGCATCGAGCTCATGAGCCCTAACGTCACCGTAATGTCGGCAAGTAATGAGACCTCGTGTGGGCTAAATGCAGTGTTGCTTCTGTGATTGCCTTTGAGTTGTGCTTCGTTGTACAACGACCAGCTGAACAAAGTTTGGCTCTTGCGACGGAAAAAGCTGACAACCGACTTCTTCCTCCTACGAGCGGCTCTGTAATGAGTGTTTCGAGTCCACCATTTCCTATATAAATAGGCCAGCAAGGCCTGGACTTGGTATGCAAAGCGAAGATCCCTTGCCCTACCCTACCGCCCCTTCCACTTCTTTCCCTTTTGTGTACCACCCCTTTGGAAGCTTTGCCTATTCCCGACCCTCCCCTCCCCCTGCAAGCTCTGCTCCCAAATTTTCAGACTTGATTCGCACCCGTCCCTCTTCCCATCTTTCCTTCTTTGACAGCCAGACGTTTCATTAAACATGACCCCCCTCACTCTCCGCCTGGCCGTTGTGATTGGCATTGTCGCCTACTTCAGAGAAGTTCTCACTCACCCTGTTCCGCGTGAGCAGTCCCAACGTCGTCTCCTTCCCTCTGGCCCCACTACTGACACTTACGACTATGTCATCGTTGGTGGTGGTACTTCGGGCATGACCCTTGCTGGCCGTCTCTCGGAGAACAAAGGCGTCACTGTTGCTGTTCTCGAAGCTGGTATCGACTACCGCTCCAACCTCGTCAATCAACAGCTCGTCGACACTCCCGGCTATGACACGTTCGGTGTTGGATCTTCCCCTTCCGACTGGTAAGTAAACTCAAATCATTTCATTCCACCGCGCAATTTTTACGCACAACTCAACCAACACCATCTCAAAATATCCATTACTCGAAACTATACTCACCTTCTCATCATCCTCTCTAATCCTTAATCTTCAAACACTGCTTCTGAATCGATTCTCCATTCTATAGGGTAAATGGGAACATCGATTGGGGCTTCGTAACCGAGGGAGAACCAGGCTATGACAGCCGCAAAGTCAAGTACGCGCGTGGAAAATGCATCGGCGGTTCCTCTGCTCGTAACTTCATGCTCTACCATCGCCCTCCCAAACAGGCTCAACAAACATGGGTCCAGTTGACCGGCGACGACCAATGGTCGTTCGACAATGTCCTTCCCTACTACCAGAAGACGTTTACTGACTTCGGCCCCCGACACGAATTCCGTAAAGACGATCCTCCCGCACAGTACAACCCTGCTGCGTTCCCCGGAAACGGCCCGGTTAGCATTGGATTCCCCAACTACGCTCAACCATTTTCTGGGCCCTTGCTGAACAGTCTCAATGAGGTCGGTGTGCCCACCACGACCGATATGAGTTCCGGTAACATCCTCGGAGCTCAGTACTCCACCCTCACCATCGAGGCTAGCAATGGAAAACGAGCTACTTCGCGCTCCTTCTACCAACAGGCACTCGACCAAAAGCGCACCAACCTCAAAGTGATCTTCGAGGCTCTCGCAAAGAAGGTGGTCTTCGACACTTCTGGTCGCAGACCTAAAGCTGTCGCTGTAGACTACACTTTGCCTTTTGGTGTGAAGAAGACTATCAAGGCGAGGAAGGAAATTATCATCAGCGCTGGTGCTTTCCAGTCCCCCCAACTGCTGATGGTGTCGGGTATTGGACCTGCTGATCAGCTTAAGGCGGAAAATATCCCTGTGTTGGTGGAGAATGCTAACGTGGGACAGCACATGCAAGATCACGTATTCTTCGGTCCAACATACACCGTTAACGTTGACACTCCCACTAAAGAAGCCAACGACCCCGTGTTCCTCGCTTCCTCCATTGCCGCATTCAACCTCCAAAATCAAGGTATTTTCACCAACAACGTCGCCGATCTCATCGGTTTCGAGAAGTGGAACAACACCTACCTGGACTCGATCCAAGCTTCTTCCCTAAAGCAAAACCCAAGTGACTGGCCTGAGATCGAATACCTTTCTGGTCCTGGCTACATTGGTGATTTCTCCAACCTCGTCGTGAACAACATCGTTAACGGTCTCACTCTTCAACAGTTCGCATCGCTCCTCGTGGCCATCGTCGCTCCTGTCTCGGAGGGTTCAGTTACACTCAAGTCTGCCGACACTGCTGATCTTCCAGCTATCCGACCTAACTGGCTCGGCGATCCCATCGACCAGAAGGTGGCTATCGCTGCATTCAAGCGCACACGTCAAGTCTTCGCTGCTAACGCAATGAAGTCTACCCGTACAAGCGAGAAGGAAACATTCCCCGGATTCGAAGTTGCCACTGATGACCAGATCCTGGCTAGCATCAGGAAGAATCTTATGACTGTCTGGCACGCAGCAAGTACCTGCAGAATGGCAGAGACCGACAGGACCGGTGTACTGGACAGCAACTTCAAGGTGTTCGGTGTTGATGCATTGAGGGTAGTAGACGCCAGTGCATTCCCAAGGCTGTTGCCTGGACATCCACAGGCGGTTTGTTATATGATTGCTGAGAGGGCTGCGGATATTATTGCTGCTGCTAACAAGTAGGCGACCAAAGCATGGCTAGCTTTGTGTCGGTAGTCTTTTTTTCTTCCCCCCCCCCCTCTTTCTGGAACGAATTCTGATTCTTAGGTGCTTCATTGTGATCTCCTCTGCATGTCATATCTGAATTGAAGATCATCTTGTCGAGTGTTTGAGAGGAGCGAAGAGGGGTGTTGGCTGGACATGTCAAAAAGTGCGGAGGGAGTTCTACTTGAACCCTAATTTGTGATTTCTCGGAACATGGAATTTGAACTCTTCCTTCGTGACTTGGCCTGGGCGTGTCTCTTTTGCTTCCAACACCACAACCAACACCACCATCCCTCAGCCTCTTCGTCCCCCCTTGTCCATCACTTCGACTATAGGGATAGGGTAGAACATGCAGGCTGTAGCTAGCACTCCAACAGCTGCAGCTTCAGGGCTGCTCCCCTCCGCCTCTTCCTCCGCAGAACCATCTCACACAGCCCTAGCATCCAGCAGCACAGACCTATCTCAATTCCTCCAACCGTCATTTGACGCTTCCGTCTACGTCTCGTCCCTTCTCTCCGCCGTCGACTCCTCCTTGGAACCTCGAAATGCTGCTGCCTCCATACCAAAAAGTGCCAGTGGATCGCACCTGCATCTCCCACCAGCCACAAGTTCGGGGAGAAAACAAGGTATCTCCCTCTCCCCCATCTCCCCCACCAACCCTGACACTTCGAGCAGAAAGCAAGAGCAAGCGCAAGAAGATATAGATCTGTCGCTCGCTATTTCTCGACTCAATCTCGCTATTGAGGAGCTTGATCGCTCAATCTCTACGCAGGTCACTTCGCATGCACCAGCACTGCTATCGCGGACTTCTGCGCTGAGCACGATGCAGAGCGGTGTGGGGGCTATCAGGGAGGGTATATCGGCTTTGGATGCTGAGGTGGCGAATCTGAGAAGGAAGATCCATGATCCATTCATCCGAGCACAAGAATTGCAGGGGAGAATGAAGATCTATGATTCTGCAGGAGACCTTCTCTCGCGTACAGGAAAAGTGGTTGAACTGGCGAGACGGTTGGAAGTTCAAATGGAGGTTCTGTTCTCTAAAAAGGAAGCAGCTGGAGAGAAGAAAGGCGACGGAGAAGATGCGGTTGTGGGTCAAGTTCATGGTGGCGATCTCTCCAGAGCTGCCCTGTTGATTTCGGAGCTTACATCATTGCTCAACTCTCCACCAGCTTCACCAGACGAGCCTGCATTGACGCAATTGAAGATGGTGCAAGATCTGCTCCCAGCGATAGAAAGTTCGAAGGAAACGGTAGTGGACTATATGGAAGATATGATCGTCCGTGGTCTCCGTGATTTATCCCCTTTGATGCTCGGTTCGAGTCTTCAAACAGCATTCAATTTGGGTACTCTTCCGACACTTGTTCAGGACCTACTCAACGACCTTACTGAAGTTGTGAAGGAAAGGACTGCGGCCGCTTTCAACCTTGACACACTCTCTCGTCAACTCAACAGCCCGGTACCGACGCTCGACACTCCAACGAACTATTCTGCATACAGACGCAAAGGTACAGCAGATGCAGGAGTAGCAGCAGATCAACAGAGGATGATTTGGGGCGATGTGATATGGAAGAGACTCGAATCATTATTGGTGGTGGAGATGGGTGCGGTCTGTAGTAAAGTCTATCTCTTGGAGAAGGTGTTGAAGCTAAAAACATCGGATAGTGGGGCGAACTTCCTTGAAGCGGCGCTGCAAGTGCTGGGTGACAAGCCGAGTACAACTTTCTGGCTCACCCTCTCACAGAGTCTGCAGCAGCAGATAGCTCTCGCAACAGAAAAGAGCGCATGGTTGGCGCAATTGCTTTCATCGGGAACGAGTGCTGCTGGAGAAGGGTATACGAGGTTGTTAAGAATTGTGCAAGAATTCTTTGGCAAGATAGGCGTGTATACGGATATCCAGTACTCGGCAGCGCATCAGAGTGCAGAGACGGTCATTCTCGTCAAAAGCCTAGGCGGATTAGAAAAGACGTATCTGGATAGGAGCACTGGAAGAATCGCAGAGGTCCTACCTCAAGCAACAGCAAGAAGGGCAGGAATGGGAGAAGAGGAAGCAGAAGGGATTGTGAGATTGATAGCGAATGTTTTAGATGCGACACGGTTCGATCCGCTACTCTCAAGGGCTGCGGTGGAGAGGTGTACGGGCTTGGCAGATCAATTTGCAGGGAGGGTAGATAGCACAGTTGCCAAAGATGCGGCGGGGCGGAGCTACAATGCTAGTCTTGTACGTTTTTCGTATACCCTAGCAGAAGGATTGCGAAGCGTGGCAGCTGAGCAGGATCTAACCCAAGTCTCAACTGCTGCTTCTGCCGTCGGTAGTGGATCGAGCTACGTATCTACTCGACTTCTCATGTCTTCCAATCTCCTTACTTCGACTATCCGCTTTAGCATCATCGCCCCATTCCGAACTCAGACTGAGACTGCGATCTCCACCGCTCTCGCAAAGATGCATGCCCAGCTTTCTGTCCACTCTACCCCCAAATCCAACCCCGAAAAGGGGAGAATCTCAATCGACTCCTCTTCCGGGGCATCATCTTACGCCACCGAGACATGCGATCTCCTCTGGTCGCTACGCGATCGGACCCTTCCGCTATACCCTCCATCTATTGCTATCCATCTCGTACAAAGCTTGGCCAGGACAACATTGGAGTCCTTCCTCTTGCATACGGCGATACTCGCCTTGCCGCAGGGCGGAGGGGAAGCGGACAGGGCAAAGCTAAGACTGGCAACCGATATGACCGAGGTGGAGTTTGCTTTGACTCAGCTTGTTGGTGATACACCGTCCCCGTCTGCATCAACTGCGAATGGAAAGAGTTGGGTAGAGGAGAAGGAAGGAAAGACCTTGATCGGTGCTCCAGTGGATGCAAAGAAGGTGAGTGGCACACTGAAGGCGTTCCGCCGGATCCTATTTCAGTCGCTAGAGGAGATGGAAAAGGATGGTGAGAAGGTAGGTAGAGGAGACTTGCCAAGGTTGATTTTGGTGTTGCATCTCGTGGCTCGTGCTGGGGCAGTAGGCTCTGTATTGGCCAAGATTGGCTCAGTCAAAGGCAAGGGTGCAGGTGCAAAAACGGAGGTTGTGTCATGGATCTTGCAGGAGGTATCGAGCAATGGTGGTAAAGAAGAGCTCTTGCTTGAACACATTCAGCAGAATCTACCGAATGATCTTGACGCTAGCACATCAGAACTCATTCAACACCTGCTCAAACCTAGTTCATCTTGAATTCACTCGTCCTTCCTTTGCAATCACATCCGCAAACATATCTTCATGACACATGCAAAATGCTTCACAACGGTGGAGTCTCTTTCTCCTGTTCTCAGCGGAGCAAAACCCTGTGAGATTGATCATGTGAATGTCACGGATCGAGATGAATCTGTCTAATCTCAACGCCAGCCTGCCTCATCAAGCCTTTGGTCTTTTCATCCATACTATATTCCAATTGATAAACCACCTTCTTTATGCCCGTTTGGATAATCTTGACTGCGCATCTCAAACATGGACAAGTATTGCAATACATTGTTGCTCCACCCCCTACTCCTCCTGCTAATTTAGCTCTACCTGCTTCCAAAAGTGCATTCTCTTCAGCGTGTAAACATAAACATTCTTCCAAGTTCTGACCGCATCCGCTGTTGCCTAGGGTGTTGTTGCAGCGAGGACATCCGCCTTGATTGCAGTTGGCTAGGCCTGAGGGTGTACCGTTGTAGCCTGTAGCCAGGATGCGGTTGGAGGAGACGAGGACTGCGCCAACACGACGTTTCATACAGTTGGAGCGGAGGGAGGCGAGGTTGCATAGTTTGAGGAAGTAGGTGTCCCATCCTGGTCTGAGTCTTTCTTCGGAAGGGAGGTGGAGGGAGGAGAGGTGGGAGTGGAGGGCAGGTAGGGTGAGGTGGTCGTTCATTATGCTGAGATGTACGTATCGGCGCAGAGCGGAGAGGCCCAGTGATGATGATGCAGAGGTATGCTCAGTGTGAGTGTGGGACAGCGTCGTGTCCAAAATTCCATCCCCACCTGTCAGCAGCGAAGAAGAAGATTTGCTAGACGCCATGGCTGAAGAGCCTGGCTTGATACCAGTCGCCGGCGAAGTGGGTGTCGACGTTCCCGGACCAAAGCTCACCCGATCATCCAACGCAACAAACTCCTCCAAACGAATCTCACCATGCTTCTCCTTCCACCTGCTCCACCTGGTCAACAAGGGACCGCCTACTTCGACGCACAAGAAGAATGGCCGTTTGATGAATGCTTCCATATCGGCTGATGTGTCCAAGTCGAGGGTTACGAAGCATTGATTCCATCGATCTGTGACATAGTCCAACATCTCTTTCGAGGATGATAGTGCGGTCATGTCTGTGGAAGCGTTGAGGTTGGAAAGTGGACGAATCGGGGTGGTTGCAGAGGTAAGGGTGAGAAGGTGAAAGCCAAGTTGAGTGCCGAGGTAGGAGGCGACCGAGGCCTTGCCTGCGCCGGGCGGGCCTATGAGTGCTATCAGCATCGCGATCGAGTTGACTGCGTACGTGCTGTGATGTCAGGTTGTGAAGAAAGAAAGGAGATCCGCCGAAAGGTTGGCCAAGTTTTGCTTCGAAGACTTGGAAGCCGCTAGAAAAGTAGTTCAGAGATGTTTGTATGTAGAAGAAGATGGCGATTATGATGGGCAATGAGGGTCGATTAAAGGATGACAACAAGTATTCGTGATGAGAAGCATGCGACATCACTTGGAAAGAGACAAGGCTCGAGCACCCGTTCTTCGAGAAGCGGCTGGTGTTGGGCAGTTGAAATATAACCAAGTGTGATAACTTCGGAGCCACTATCAGGCTTCCTTACCACAGGTGTATGACTACCTGAATACTTGTTATTTCTATAATAGAAACTGAAGTCGTTTTGGTCCCGATACTGGCGATCGGGTAGAGCCTGAGTACAATGTCACTGCTAGTTATAGACAGAAACAAATATACTTGATTGACTAAAGAACATTGTGAGGACCTAGCATCCTCAGTTTGATATATATACAATTGTGGGATGTGTGATGAATGTGGGAGTATCCTCCTTCATGATATAGTATGGCAATGAGTGGGACTACATTGCACCTGATCTCCAGACTGATCCATCCCATCCAATTGCCAATTGTGTTTAAATCAGAGTACATTATCTTGTCAGATCGCTTTCTTTGTCACCCCCTCTCGATCCAGCATGTCTCTCCATTGTCATCAAACTGATCAGATGCCTAAGGTGTGAGAGTGTTGGTGTTGTGAGTGGTTTGGTCATGATGCTGGCTAAGTTGTTGCTGCTCTGGACTGGAGCAATTGTGAGTTGCCAACTTGCAATCTGATCCTGTAGAAAGAAGTGAGCTATGTTGATGTGTTTCATCCTTTTGAAGTGTTGTGGGTCATTTGCAATTGCTTGGGTGCCAGATGAGTCCCTGTGCAAGATAGGTACATTATGGTTAAAGATGAGTTTGCCATCATGGGAGTGCAGGACAGATGTCCCTGCACTCACCTGTATTCTGGCTGTCATCAACATGGGTTGCTTGAGTTCGTGTAAGAACATTGTTGTCCACAGTAGTTCCCTTACTGCCCCTGCTAGTGCCATGTATTCTACCTCCACCGAACTGTTTGCTACCATTGGTTGGAGCCTGGAAGACCAGCTACATACTAGTCCATCAATAGCAAAGATGTATCCAGATGTCAATCTTCTGCAATCTCGTGAGCCAGCCCAGTCACTGTCAGCCCACCCTGTGAGCATTTGCCCCCTGACTGGTGTTGCTGCCATGAGAGTTACCTTTATGGTACCCTTGAGATATCTCAATATGTGCTTGGCTGCTGTTAGGTGCTCCCTGGATGGGTTTGCCACAAAATGTGTGCACCTTCCAACAGCAAAAGCAATATCAGGTCTACTGCCTTGCACAACCCATAACAATGATCCTATGGGCAATGCATAGTACCACACCTCTTCTGCACTTGCAGTGTCACCTTCTCATGGTCTGAGGTTGTTTATTGATTTGGTTGCTGGCATTAGAGCTGTCCATGCTTTCTCCATTCTGAACTTGATCAGAATCCCTTTGATGTATCCACTCTGATTGATTGAGAGTGTACATTCTTCATGCTTGTACCTTACATTTAATCCAATGATATGGGAGACATTGCCTTGGTCAGTTATGCTAAACACACTTGAAAGTTGTTGTCATACTGACTGAATCCATGAGGTGGATGCTCCAATGACTAGCAGGTCATCAACATATACTGCCAGGAGTACCATTGCATTGCCAGAGCCTCATGTATATACACATGGTTCTGCTTGGCAGCACTTGAAACCAAAGGCTTGCAGCTGCTTGTCAAGTGCCATGTGCAATAATCATCCTGCTTGTTTGAGGCTGTATAATGCCTTCTTCAGCTTGTAGCACTTACCATCATTCTCCTTGGCTTCGAATGTTGGAGGTATCCAAACATGGATGTTTTTGTCAATCTTCCCATTCAGAAATGTGGTGCTGACATTGAGCTGACTAATGTGTAGTCTGTATTGTCGAGCAAGGGTGAGCAGCATTCAGATGGTCTGTAGGCGAATGACTGGGCTAAAGGTCGGGTCATAGTCCAGGCCTTGGCATTGAGCATACCCTTGTGCAACCAGTTGAGCCTTGTATCACATTGCTTGTTGTTGGGCATCCAGCTTGAGTTTGAACACCCAGTGGACACCTATGAGCTTCCCATCCAGCAGGATATCTGCAAGTTCAAAAATGTCCATTTTGTTCATACTTGCCATTTCATCAATCATTGCCTGTTGCCACTTGTTCCAGTCATTGTGTGATGTAGCTTTGTTGAGTGAGAGCAGTTCTAGTAAGATTCCATTGGCACTGTGCAGTTGCTGGCCGCTGGCAACGAGCGCAGCCCCATCCATTACCATCGCTGCGAATGCCATCCACGCTGCTTCTTGAGATGCTTGACTCTTATTCGTGAGGCCTCGCGCCCAGATCATACTAGAGTAGGTGTCATGGATGAACAGTACATAGGCGAACTTGGTTGCACCATGCAAGGGACCCATGACGTCCATTGAAACCAGTGTCAGGGGTCTCGCGCCTGAAACCCAGGTCAGTCTGTCGAGATACTCAGTGACTATCAAACTGTGCGACAGCTATTGTCTTGGTATTGGTCTTGACAAGCTAGTCACTTGGTGACTATCAAGTTGCACAATGACAGCAGGTGGCATTCATTGTATATACTATCATAGGTTTCAGCTGACCTCTGTGGACACTCCATTCAGGGGTAGCTTGGCATGATCAATATCGATACATAGGTTATGATGACACCAGGGTCTGGTGTGAGTGTTAATGATGATGAGGTTGATGGTGTTGGTGATAAGGTTGGTGAGTGTTGATGATAATGAGGTTGATGGTGTTGATGATAAGGTTGGTGGCATCAACACGAGTGTCCAGTGTGTTGACTGATGCTTGAGGTGATCCCCAGACTGCAGTGGACTACTGCCTTCAGTTCTATCTATATCCAGACTGCTGACCTGCTATAGGCCACCTTCAGATGTCAGGTAGTGGTGATACAACACATGCACTATGATGAGGAGTAACCTTGATAGATTACTACTATGCTGACTGAAACTAATATATACTTATGCTGAAGTGATAACTAGTTATGATGTGTGTAGAGTGGATGAGGATCCACTCAACCTTTGATGATGAGAAGGTATGGTTATATACCTCTTCACAGCGTCGCCAGCGACGCTGCTCCTGCTCTCTCTCTCCAGAGAGTACCCTCTTCATCGAGTACTGAACAGGGGGGGCCCCTCTAGCACCACTCCTGTCCTCCTTGAGCTATCCTGCTTGCTTGGCACCCTTGTGCCTCTTGAGCTGTGTTGACTCCTTTGACACTGCTCCTCCTCCTCAGGACCTGCTTGCCGGTTCCCTATACACTGCTCCTTCTCCTTTGACCAGTGACAGTTCCTTTGGCTCTTGTCTCTCAAGCCCCTGAGTGGTAACCATCTGCATGCTCCTTGAGCTTGGTCCTCTTCATGGCTGTGCCTGGCCCTCCTCGCATATGGCTCAGTGCTCCTTTGCATGTGAGTCCATAGGAGTCCATGGTCTCCATGGAGACTGCACTATGACCATGCTCTCTACTGGTATCGACTAGATCTCTGATACCTGTGCTCCTTCCATATGAACCAGTGACCCTCCTGCTTCCTGAGCATTCAGGCCCATGACACATTGCATGACATTCCCATGACTGCCATTGATCAATTTGGTGCACTCTCTTGCGCTGGCCTGCTGACCCTGTGACAATGGTTACCCCGCTGCCGCCATGCTCATATGGGACGATAGAATGCCTGAGCCAGCTATCTCGCTTGCCTTTGCGGCTCAAACAGCAGGCCCAGGGCAGCAATGCAGGACTCGAGACAAGGCAGCCCTATGGCACCATTGTCTGGGCCATGCTAGTCATGATGCGACACTGCATATGAGAACTGTCACCCTCGCCCATGACATCCCGTCATCCTCACCCACTCATCCTGACATACTCTGCGACATCTGCATCTGGAGCAAAGCCACCACCAGGACACCGACTCACCCCAGACACGTCGAGGCACCACTCGAGCTGGTTGTCATGGGCCTGAATGCTCAAGAAGCAGGAGGGTCACTGGTTCATATGGAAGGAGCACAGGTATCAGAGATCTAGTCAATACCAGTAGAGAGCATGGTCATAGTGCAGTCTCCATGGAGACCATGGACTCCTATGGACTCACATGCAAAGGAGCACTGAGCCATATGCGAGGAGGGCCAGGCACAGCCATGAAGAGGACCAAGCTCAAGGAGCATGCAGATGGTTACCACTCAGGGGCTTGAGAGACAAGAGCCAAAGGAACTGTCACTGGTCAAAGGAGAAGGAGCAGTGTATAGGGAACCGGCAAGCAGGTCCTGAGGAGGAGGAGCAGTGTCAAAGGAGTCAACACAGCTCAAGAGGCACAGGGGTGCCAAGCAAGCAGGAGAGGCCCCCTGAACAGTACTCGATGAAGAAGGTACCCTCTGGAGAGAGAGCAAGAGCAGCATCGCTGGCGACGCTGTGAAGAGGTATATAACCATACTTTCTCATCATCAAAGGTTGAGTGGATCCTCATCCACTCTACTCACCATATAACTAGTTATCACTTCAGCATAAGTATACATTAGTTTCAGTCAGCATAGCAGCAATCTATCAAGGTTGCTCCTCATCATAGTGAGTATGTTGTATCACCACTACCTGACATCTGAAGGCAGCCCATAGCAGGTCAGCAGTCTGGATATAGATAGAACTGAAGGCAGTAGTCCACTGCAGTCTGGGGATCACCTCAAGCATCAGTCAACACACTGGACACTCGTGTTGATGCCACCAACCTTATCACCAACACCATCAACCTCATTAACATCAACACTCACCAACCTTATCACTGACACCATCAACCTCATCATCATCAACACTCACACCAGACCTCAGTGTCATCATAACCTACATATTGATATTGATCATGCTGAGCTACCCCTGAATGGAGTGTCCACAGAGGTCAGCCAAAACCTATGATAGTATATACCACAAATGCCACCTGCTGTCATTGCGCAACTTGATAGTTGCCAAGCAACTAACTTGTCGAGACCAATACCAAGACAATAGCTGTCACACAGTTTGATAGTCACCGAGTACCTCGACAGACCAACCTGGGTTTCAGGCGCGAGACCCCTGACACAATGGAGCAATGTATGAAGGGTGCGCAATGGATCAATATATGGAGGGCATGTCAGATTGATTGGCGCCAAACCATCAGGGATCAATGAGACCAATTGGGCTGGCAGTGCATATGAATTATGAGATCGATCAAACCCTGGGTTCCAGATTAATCTCATGGGGATCAGTCAGAATCAGTCAGATCAGCATGCCTCAACAAGTTGGCTGATATGAGCAAGTACTAGGAGACTCAGGAAGGAAGGTACTGGCATTGGGAGGAGAGGCACTCAGAGATAACCATAGGAGAGAGCAGGGGACTGAGCTCAGTATCATGCAGATGGTTACCACTTGAGGGGTGCATGCATAAAGTCACTCAGGCCCAAGCACAGGGGTGACCACATGACCAAGGGGTTTGGTCATGAGGTTCAACAAGTGGCTAAAGGGATTCACAAGACAAGGTTGAGAAGGAGCTGTGTCGAAAGGGGTCATCACACATCATCAGGCAGAAGGAGAGCATGAAGGCAAGAGGGCAGTGTTGCATAACCCTTACACTGTGCAAATGGTAGGGGTGCAGTATTAATGGGATTGATGCCAGCAGGACAAGACAGTGTTGAACAGGGGACAAAGGCCCCTCAGGAGGAGCAGGATAGGTGTTGTGGGCAACACCAATCAAATGCATAAATACTCTCACTCTACCATAGCATATGAGTGGAGCCCCATCCACTCTTTACTCTATCTACTTTACTTACTTACTCAGTTATGTACCATTGCAATAGCAGTGCTCTTGCAATGACTCTCAATGTGTGTGTTGTATCACTGTTAGTTGACAACTGTAGGTGGTGTTCTTCAACACTTGTGGTCCAGTGCCCTTACTGTAGGCAGTGTTCTTCAACACTTGCAGTCCAGTCCCTTACTGTAGGCAGTGTTCTTCAACACTTGCAGTCCAGTCCCTTGCTGTAGGCAGTGTTGCTCGACACCTGTGGTCCAGTAACTCCTGTCCTCTGTAGGTGATTAGCATATTGCAGTCCAGATGACATCCAAGAGCATTATCAACAGTACTATGAACACTCATACTGTAGGAGAGGGTGTATCACTCACTCACCAATGAACAGCATTTGTGCCACACAACCTCTGAACAGAGTGTTCAAGGCAGTCAGCCAAGACTTACCAGTTGGAGATGTTTGGTTACATTTAAGTCAAAACATATCAAGTAGACCTTACTCAATCAAACCCAATATAACACCCAAAACTAAGTCTCTGGCACGCGACCGCTTACAACCATCTCCAGTCATTGGCACTCGAATGGCATGACCATGCTTGTCTTGGACTGTAACAAGTTCATTCTCAAAGATCACTTTACCCTGAGCATGTGTGATGGATTTGGTTCCAATGAGGTTTGTCACCAGATTGGGAATGAGGAGGCAGTTCTGGTACATCATCTGCTCCCATCGCCACATCTTGGGACTAAAGCTCAGTAGACTAACTGTACCTCCCATCTTAGATGCCGAGAGTTGCCCACTGTCAGCAGTGGTGATACTAACTCTTTGTTCCATGTCTTGCCAACCTTTCCCATAGCAAGCACAATTGACCATAACACAAGATGCACCAGAGTCAAACACAAATGGTACAAGCCAAGGTGGTAAGTTGATTGGTGCTGGCTCGACCTCTGTAAAGAAGGCCAAGACCAGCGCTGCATCCTATTCTTCCCAAGAACTTGTAAGTGGTAGTACTATACATGTTTTGGCATGACCTTTCAGTGGTATCTTAACCTTGCCTTCTTTCCAGCATGCATGGGCCATGTCATTGGGACAATGGTTGGCTGCATGACCCAGTTTGCCACACACCCAACAGTTGATAAGGGTGGCGGCTCGCAATGCAGTGAGCTCAGACTCCTCTGTCATGTGGCAGTGACTCATAGGGGTGATTTCAGCAGTGAGTTTGTAACACTGGCATAGGATGTCAGAGATGCTTTTGACAGTCTGTTCCCTGCCATAGACCTTCTCATGTAAGATGAACACAGAGTTGAACAAGGCATTTCAGTCCAAAGGGAGTGCTTGCTTGAGGGTCCTGTAGTGGTAGTCTGGCTTCCAGGGGTCTTGTAGGTACTTGTGCAGCTCTGATATGTGAGCTTCCCACTTGACAAGGAAGTTGTATGTGTGGCTTCCCACTTGGTCCCAGTGCAGATCAAGAGTTGCTGCAAATAGTTCATACTCTTTGATGGTAGAATGTGCTTTACATTTATTCATTGCCCAATCAAAGAGGTCCACAGTGATTGGTATCAGCTTGTCCCCATGCTCAGCAAAGTATTCAATACATAACTTATTAGAGAAGCTCTGCATGATA